CGAACGCTGTTGGCCTTGCCATCGCCCAAAAGCACACTGCCGCTGTCTTCAACAAGCCAGGATATGACCTCATCAACAACTACACTTACTGCATTTTCGGCGATGGTTGCGCCATGGAGGGTGTTGCCAGCGAAGCTGCCAGTCAAGCTGGACATCTTCAACTTGGTAACCTGATCTGCTTATACGATGATAACCACATCTCCATTGGTGAGTGCGAAGACTGGAAATCACCCCTTAAGAGATGCTCTGCTAACTACACCGTCAGATGGCGACACCAAGATTGCCTTCACCGAAGATGTCATGAAGCGCTTTGAATCATACGGCTGGCACACTTTACACGTCAAGGATGGTGATCACGATCTCGATGCCATTGAGGCCGCCATCGAAGAAGCCAAGAAGGTCACCGACAAGCCAACCGTGATCAAGGTCACAACTACCATCGGGTTTGGTTCCAAGCTCCAGGGAACTGGAGGTGTCCATGGTAACCCTCTCAAGGCCGACGATGCCCAGAACGTCAAGAAAATCTTTGGTTTCAATCCCGAACAGAGCTTCGTTGTCCCTCAAGAGGTTTATGACCTGTACCACAAACATTCCGCGGAGGGAGCTGCCAAGGAGCAAGAGTGGAACATCCTCTTCCAGAAATATAAGTCTGAGTATCCCGAGCTCCATGCTGACTTCACGCGCCGTCTCACCGGGAAGCTCCCGGAGGGTTGGGAGAAGAACCTACCCACTTACAAGCCATCTGACCCACCAGTCGCTTCTCGAAAACTCTCTGAAGCCGTCCTCGAGAGAATTCACGATGCCGTTCCTGAACTCTTGTCAGGCTCGGCTGATTTGACAGGTTCTAACAACACAAGATGGAAGAATGCCAACGATTTCCAGCCTCCTAGCCTTGGAATCGGGGACTGGGCCGGTCGCTACCTCCGCTACGGTGTCCGTGAGCATGGTATGGCTGCCATCATGAACGGTATCGCGGCATATGGTACCTTGATCCCAGCTGCTGGTACTTTCTTGAACTTCGTCTCTTATGCTGCCGGCGCTGTCCGCCTTTCCTCCTTGTCTCAAGTTCGTGTGATTTATATCGCCACCCACGATTCCATTGGCTTGGGAGAAGACGGCCCTACTCATCAGCCTATTGAGACGCTTGCTCATTTCCGTGCCTTGCCAAACATGATGGTCTGGCGCCCAGCTGATGGCAATGAGACAAGTGCTGCCTACTACTCTGCTTTAACTTCTAAGTCAACACCAAGCATCCTTGCTCTGACCCGCCAAAACCTCCCTCATTTGGAATCGTCTAGCATTGAGAAGGCTCTCAAAGGTGGATACGTGGCTCTCGAGGCTGAGAATGCAGACATTACCGTTGTCAGCACGGGTTCTGAGGTCAGTCTCTGCATTGACGCCGCCAAATACCTGAAAGAAAAGCACAACATTACTGCTCGCGTTGTTTCGATCCCGTGCTTTGAGATCTTCGATGTTCAGCCCAAGGAATACCGTCTCCAGGTCATTCCCGACGGTATTCCTTCCCTCAGCGTTGAGGTTATGTCTACGATGGGCTGGGAACGATACTCTCACGAGCAGTTCGGCTTGAACCGCTTCGGAGCATCCGCCCCTTACAAGGAAGTTTACAAGGTATGTATATACGTAATTCTTCATCTGCAAGTTCCTCAAGGCTGACAACGTCTCCCTTTTCCTAGAAATTCGAATTCACCCCAGAAGGTATCAGCAAGCGTGCTCTCACGACCATTGATTTTTACAAGGGCTATAAGGTCCGATCGCCAATCAATCGTGCGTTCAAGCAAATCATCTAGATTTATTACTCCCAGTTTGGGTGATAGATGAGTTCTAGTCTAGATAGCATGCTATTGCTGCTTTAGGCGCTTCTCAGAGAAAAAAAAAGAAACAGAAAAAACCCACCGAAGGAAAATACCTATTCTGTGTTACCTACGTTGAACAGCTGATGGCGAAGCTATTCACGCTGTGGCTGGATAATTGATAAGATATGTCGAGAATGTCCGTTCAGTTTCTTTTTCTGCTTCCTACCTTCAGTAGACAGACACTGTGAATAGAAGCAGAATTATCATTATCATTAGCTCCTATTATTTAGTCCGTACATGGTACTACAGCTGAGAAGGAATTTCTACCTCTTGGTGTGATAGAACCAAACCAAACGTTCGAAAGTTCCAAATCCGAGAAAGAGAGAAACAAAAATAAGAAAGAATGATTTGGAAAAAAAAAAAAAAAAAAAAAACAAAAAGGCACCAGAAAGGTCATCGTAAATTTCTCTTCTTATCATTCAAAAAACGGTTGATTTCTTTTTTTTGGGACATGTCTTTGTCTCATTCATTTCCAGGATCACATCACATAATTTTTATCTTCCAACAGACGCTATTTATGTCTGACTAATATGGTTATTTCCTTTTCGTGCCTTATCTCTAATTGATTCCTTTCCACACACCCCTCATTAACTACCCAAGCCGTGTGGAATTACTCCAGAGCCTTTCTGGCGAAGCCTGGCAGAACGAAGCTGGCGCGGTGGATGTCCTGGTTGTAGTATCTGCACAGCTTGTCCTCCTCCTCTCTGGTCCATGACCGCACGGGCTCACGGATATTGCGGTTGGGGTCCTTGCAGGCGACGAGGAATCCGATCTGGCCGGATGGATAGGTAGGGATGCTGGTGTAGGCGTATTCAACGACGGGGAAGACTTCCTTCATGAGCTTCTTGAGGTCGGTGATGAGCTTAATGTGAAGCCATTGGTTCTCAGCTAGATGTGTAAATAAATTAGCATCTCGGCTGCACCAAAACAAGGGGGAATTAAGAATTTGAAGCGTGGAGAGGTGGAGGGGAAATTGCTGATCAGGATAGAATAACCTGTAAAGCCGTCAGAAGCGTGGACTTCATTTGGCGAACAAGAATCGTGTCGTGCTGCAGAGGGGGGTAGGACTTTAAAAAAAAAAAAAGTGCAACGAGGTTAATTTCAGAAAGGAGACGGCGACGAACAACCTTGAGTACTGATGACACCGCCCTCTCGGAGAGAGCCGTAGAGCAATTCGAAGTAAGGCTTCTGGAACAGAACCTCAGCAGGGCCCTCAGGGTCAGAGCTGTCGGTAATGATAACGTCGAATTCGTTCTTTCTCTCCTCGAGGAACTTGAAGCCGTCTCCGATGTGGACCTTGACGTTAGGGTGCTGGAAGCCTATGCTCATGCCAGGAAGATATTTCTTAGATGCACGAATGACGGCCTACGGCATAGTCTGTCAGCATCCTATGGTATACACAAGGCCGACTAAGGACTACTGGTGCGGGCCCATACTTCATCGATATCGCAGAGAATGGCCTCCTCGACTGATTCGTGCTTGACGATCTCACGGAGGACACCACCGTCACCTCCGCCAATGACGAGGACCTTCTTGGGGTTTGGGTGGGAGTTCATGGCAAGGTGAGTGATCATCTCCTGGTAGCTGAATTGACAAGGACCCTGTCAGTTCAACTTCTCTCTTGCGACTCCTATCTGGGCATAACGCGTGATCAACCGGGAAAAGCATACGAGAATTCATCGCGCTCTGTGCACTGGATCACATTGTCCAAAACCAAGCAGGTGCCATGGTCGGTGCTCTCAAAAATGAGGATATCTTGATACTTGGATTTCTCGTGGTGGAGGATCTGGTTAACCCGGAGAGTCATGGCCTGGCCGGGCCACATATCAGAGATCTCGGAGAACCATCCATCTACGGTAGCGAAAAGAGTACATTGTTAGATCCTTCACAGGTACAAGCATTGTAGAGTTGAGAATTGGCTTGGCTCTGTATAATCCTCTTAAATTTAAAAGAGAAGACAACGCACCTTTGATGGTAGGATGTGTGATTTCCGTCATAGTTGGAGTTGGGGTTGTCTGCCGTGAAAGAGGGGCTTGACTGAGTGTATGAGAAAATCCGAGGATAGCTCCTGAAGGCTGCGGATGAGGTACCGGTCTGTTTAAAAAGAAAAACTGGCCTGCCAGATGACAGGGAAGCCGACTGCCTTTGCTCAGCAACGCGGTCATGTAACGCCCTCAGGAAAAATTTCCCCTCCTTTTCGGTCTGTTTTTTTTGTCGGTGGGGGGGAAGGTGGGGTGGTGGATTCTTCGGCTTCCCATTGGAGAATTTTGATGCAGATTCTGGCTTTTTCATTGGAGGTTACTGGTACGCTGCTATTTTGCAATTGTCCAATAGAAACCACGATCTACTTACGGTCCGGTAACTGTATGTTACGGAAACATCTTCTTCCGGTACTGTGAGGGCGCAGGAGAGCGAGTTTGCCAAACGCTCACGGAATCCGTCAGCCTGGAAGACCGCGGCGACGAGGGCCGACAGCGCGCACAACCACGTATGTGCGGCTGAACAAGCATGAGAAAGCAGCACAGCAATCACACGACCATTGTATATCTTCTTGGTCTCACACCAAAAATAGAAATGAGGCTCGATATCAAGTCGGGATTCTCGGGCCCCTCCAGCGCGGGCCAATCTCGGAAGCTATCAAAAAGCGTCCGTACCATCACGGTGGGCGCCAGGTGGATCCCCGTCCAACAGCCTGCGCACTAAAGGGGCAACTATAACCACCATTAATATGATACCCAGAACCGATCTTGAAGACTGAGAGCGCCGGCAGGGCAGGCCAAGCAGCGCATTTTCAACCACCAGGCAACGGACGAAGGGGAGAAAGATGGGATGCGCATTCCAACGCAAAACGGACAAGCTCTCAAATCTTCCCTGTCAGGTCCACAATGGAAGGCTCGCAGAAGTTTGTCACGATGTATGTATACATAAAGCGAGGGGAGAAATGTGGATGCTCTGGAACTACCTATCAAGCCAAACTCCATTGTCGAGCAAGAAAGAAGAAAAAAAGAAAAAAAGAAACGCAAAAGGAGGGGCCCAGGCCTCAGGATCGACGACTACTTTTATCCCAACATACAATTCTCGCGAGTCGTTCCCCCATGTCTCTCATCCTTCATCGCTTTAGCTTCTTCACCCTGGGGTGCGAGACGAAGGCATTGCAAGATAGGATACAGGGTCTGGATGGTCTGAAAATGCAGCCGGTGGATACGGGAGCGCGTCAAAATTCCCTGACCGGTGCTGCAGTACCATATTGTTGAACTCCATGGCATTTTCCGGTTTCAGTGTTTCGAGCTCGGCCATCAACTCCTTTATCCTGTCGTTTAGTCTCCCAACTTCTTCCGATTGACGGGCGTAGGATTGCAGCAACTCTCGGTACTGCTCGTGGAGACGATGCAGCCGCTCCTCTAGAGCCTTGACGTGTCTTTCCCTGCGTTCGCGAAAAGCTCGCTGCGATGCTCTGTTCTGTGCACGGCGTCGCTGTGGGAGCATTTATTAGAGGAGAATATTGCTATCTGGAGTGAAATACCTACGAGGTGCATACTGCTAAGGCTTTCTGCCTCGTCGTTTGCATTTGAGGCTGATTTCCGGCGGCAAGGATGCCGTTCAGAGAGCGACGTGGAACCAACATATTCCACGGGTATCATTTCTTGCGTTGAATAGCTGGGACTCTGGAAATTCGGTAGAGATGTAGGGCTATAATTGATGGCGTAGGCCTTCTGAATCGTCTCCTATACTGTCATATCAGACCGGCGGCCCGAGATCTCACATAGGGAGCACTCACGCTAGTGGAATATGGACCAGAGTCCACATGGCTCTCGAATTCATCCACCGTCAAAGGCTGTGAAGCCGGGGCTTCAAGAGAATGTTGAAGCCTGGTGTCGAATCTATGATCCATGAACTTGTTTTGATAAAATTTGACTGCGCTACGAGTTGATCAAAGTATCACGCCTGGTGATAGCTCTGTCTCGGCTTCGGTATACTAACCAAAAGATTTCAATCGCCCGAGATTTCAGTCCGCTGGGGTGAACGAAAAGCATCCATTGCCAGAGTATCTGTGGCTGCCCTTTTATACGGCCCTGATTTGGATAGGTTCTCCTTAGGATACTCACCGACCATATGCCATCGGTAAATTGATTTCGATTGGTGCAGCCATCGTGAATTCCGCGTCCGGATCTCTTCGTATTTTGGGGCGAGTATGACGAGAGATTCCCGGCAAAAACGCAGCAAGGATGCTGAGGAGCTGATACGCTATTCGACACGACCTTCTCCGCAGCCTTCCTGCTTCAACGGTCAACCCCAAATAACATAGATTCACGGGGATCTCGGGCCTGGCAGTCTGTTTGAGATAGATGGAAAGGTCTATATATAAAGTGACTTTTCTTTTAAATTTCGGGACCTCGGTAGCGGCTTATCGGCGACGCCGTCGGCATGGCTATCATACATGAACAGGCGGCTCTCGAAAGCTCGAATATGCCTTGGCTAACTCCAGTTTGGGCGTAGATCGGCCGCTATGGCAGGCAAGAGTCACCGGCGTGATGTTAGCTTTTTGGCTACCATATTTCGCTGGGTCGTTGACTATTTTGAGGTCATCCAAAGTATTCGGTTTGTTGGTGACCCTACAGGCTACAGGCTCAAGGCTAAAGATTTAATATAAAACTGCAAGGCAGGACGTGCAAATTTAGCCTTGACATCAGCAATTGTACGCAAGCTTCCCGTGCCTGCTATTTAATACACACTAGACTCGCTCTATCTCTAAGAATGCCATCGCCCTTCCGAGCGTCTCGACCCGGGAATAAATATAGGCGTTGCCCGTAGAGCCCTAGGGAGGCATATCACTTAGACGAACTGTTTGCATGGATACCCCACACACCCGCACCCACTTTTCTCTCCGAGGTTCGAGTACCTGAGGAATTTCAGCAGTCAAGATTCACTATGGCCGTCCTTGGCGAAATCGTGATCAGAGTATTTATAGCACGTCGAAAATCGCGCGTTGAACTTCGAGCCAGTAATATTATAATGTGTTTAAGATATTTATTTTTATTCCAGAGGAACGATGGCCACCCCCTAACGGGAGGGTTCAAGCCAGTCATAATCAGCGCAGGTTCGGAAATATGCAGATACCGTGCTCAAAATTGGCCCCCACGACGTAAATTCGAATGCATCTACGCATCAGCGGAGATTTTTAGTTTAGTTCATAGCCAGCCAACCGTGTTGGCTTCATATGCTTCTATCCGGGCATATAGAAAAGGCCCAAAACCTCATTCCGGATATCGAGAGAGCACGCATTTGGTATGGAAAAGCGTCTAAAAGGAGAAAGAGGTCACGCAGTAGCCGGGAATATACAAATATGAGCAATTCGATGGTGGCATCCCTTTTCTAGTAATGGCAAAGAGAGATAGAAATTTATAATAGCAGCTCCATGATGTAAAAGCTATAGCTTCGCATTCCACACCAATTCCCAGGTGCACCCGGAATAGAACTCAACATGGAGGTCGACGAGGGACGCCCTTGGGGGCGAGAGACTTTTGTTTTCCCGGAGATCAAGAAGCCCATAAACTGCCATGTAACTTGTATCCTTCAATCATGGAGACCAAAATAGGTAGAAAAGACGTACAATGTAGTCCTGGCCTCCCATGCTGATTCTATGATCAACGTGTTTCCCCTCATCATCTTTCACATGGCTTTTTCAACACATTGAGCTAAAGAAAGTCCGCTTTCCTCGGAGCGGAAGCGTTTGCAATATCCTCTTCAACACCAGGAGGGCTCTTGCATCAAGACAATGTGGCCTTTCAATATCTGCTACCAGGTGTCCCACTCACAATAGTCATCAAGAAGATGCATCTTGCTTTCTTATGCTGCTCACCATCACGTTTCTCAACCATTTTTACTGTAGCTACCACTTCCCAGTGTGGGAAACCTTTCTGCTTGCTTAAGCCTGTTCGTTACCCCCCAGTTAATCTATTTCAGGCTGTTGCTCTAATAGTCCACTGGTGCCGTATTGATATCGTCATCTGTAGTTCAGAACAAGGGATCCGAAAAGCCTCAAGGCTTATCTGGCGTAAAAATTTAAGAAATCCACTTGATGGACATATTATGAGCTATTATCCATTAAAGGGGTATTGCAAAAGCATTCACTAGAAGAAACCAACGTGCCTCATCTGCTAATATATCGTTCCCCCGGTTTGGACCTAGTGTGAATTTCCTAAATACCTAACATTAAGAATGGGGAGGAAGATAAGTACTTTACCACACAGTGCAACTTATGACTTACTAAAATCCAGCCTCAAGGCCAAGAATGAATGGCAGGGTGGATTGTATTGAAAAGTCACTGCGATGGATCAGATGAACCAGCAACTTCAAATTTGAATTAGACCTGGAGATCACAAGGTGGAAATGCAAAGTCCCATAACTCGCGTTAGACGCAAGCTGCGAAGAGCTTCTTGGGGAACTTTGGACTTTTCAGTTTCGCCTATAATATGTGCGACTTCACGATACCCTGGGTGATATTTGCAACCTGTTTGCTCTTCTGGAGAAGGAAAATCTCATCAAAGGTACATTTTGGTGAGAATCATCGGGGAAAAAAAACAAAAAAGACAAAAGAGGAAAGAAGAAAACGGAAACAAAAGGGTACTGGAGTAAAGAATATATTGTTTGTGGAGTAAATTGGGAGAGAAACATATGAAGTTGAATTTTGGCTAGAAGAAGCCAGATCCCTTGTCTCGCGACAGCTCCATATAACTAGTAATGGTCATTTCATCGCCAGGCAAGAGGACAGCATGACGCTGCCATTGCTTACATTCATGTGGCGCTGCAGAGCAGATAACACACGATGAAAACATTTGAGGACTCAATACCATTCATCTGGCATGGTAGCCCGCAAGTACTCCATATATTAAGGGAATATGGTTGACCTTTCACATGTTCGAGTGCTCTGTCTGTATGTCCCATAGGCCAAGATGTGACATCGAACAACGTTTGCCAGCAGGTATTTCAAAAAAAAAAAAAAAAAAAAAAAAGTTTTAAACTTCCAACACCATCAGCAACTATTAATTTAGCAAAGAGTTTGAACTCTCATTGCTTGATGTTTGCACTTAGCCCTCCTTTTCTTTTTCGCGAAGAGTTCTAGAACCTGGGAAAATCTTGGAAGAGTGCAAAAGCCGGGATTATGGCCACATTCCCAACAACTGCTACCAGTGACGGGGGATATTCGCGACCCTGCCTACCACTCGGACGTCTAATTCGAAATGGCGGCACAAATCCCAAGAGTCCACGACACAAACGTTGGGTTGCGAGCCCAACGTCAGTGAAACATGTGTATTTTGTTGGACAAGGGCAGCGACAAGGTTCGGAGAGGGACCGGAATCAAGGGAAGTTGCAGTTCTCTGGTCTTCAGGGGCATGAAGGCTCGATCAAGACTCAATGCTCGCAGCGGAGTGAATGTTCCCCTTCTCTTCTTGTGGTGTTATGACCTTATTCGTCGATACTTGGATAAAAAGACACCACTCGAGGTCCGGAATAGCTGAATGCAACTGAATTTGAAGAACGACAACGGATATCGGCCCATGCAGTTGAGGTTGACTTTTGATTTTTGCTTCCCACGTTGACAAAAGCCCAGGGAGGCGCTGGATCCATACGTGTTGCGTTCATTGCCGGTCTGAACCGGACACAGCCAAATGCAGGCCATGGGGATCCCGCCCTGCGATCACGACGAATCATAATTGGGAATTCACGGGTTCCGTGGGCCTACCCCTTGCATTAGTTAGTTGAAAGACTGAAGCTTACGGAGGATGAACTCAGCTTCTGGAATTTGAGGTGGCATGCTCGCCAAGACGGCACCGCGCTGATGTTTCCAAATACAGAGGGTTATTATCCCGAAAGCTCGATTCTCGATGCCCGCCGGCACTTGATAGGTGTTCGATCTTCCGCCCCTGAGTCTTGGTTTTTCAAGGATAAGAGCTTCTGCAACGTTCAGTGTACTTAGTTAATAGAGTTAACTGCTGTGCGTGTAGTACACAAGTTACTACATGGCAGCACAACTGACGCTTCCCGTTGAGTTATATGGTCGCTCTACTTAAGATACCCACCGAGTTCAACCGGCTAACGGACGTGGACCAGTTACGCATCTTTCATTTGAAAAAACTGCTTCGCAGAACAGACAGATGTTGGAGGCCCCTGATGCATACTTTTGTCCAGAGTACAGAGCATAGGCTGTCGCTTTTCAAGGACGCTGAAACATGCCTGAAATCCGGAAACAATGCCGGAATTGCCTTTGCCATGTGGAGATCTGCCACTTGTTTTACGCAATTGGGTACCCCGTAGAGGGCAAGGATGTTATGCACAAATTTTGCTCCTCTGTTTTGATGCTGTCGAGATGTTTCCTCCTGTTCCCCCCGTCCTTTTCGGAGACTGGAAACTGAATGCTTTGCCCAGGCAGAGAACATTCATCAAAGTACTCCGTCTTGCCTTTGATTAGCTCTTTCCTGTACTCCGTACCCGTCACTAATATTGGAGAGAATTGGCTAAGGAGAATCGACCGCCTTGTGGTACAAGCATGGCTTCTCGCCCGATGGTTGAATCGCAGTCATCGCGGATGCGGGATAAATACTGCCTGTTTGTTCCTTCCAGAGTGCTTATCGAAATCTATCAACATTACAACAAACACTTAACCATGCATTTCAACGCCTGACCGTCTCCCAGCTCCCGTCGAGTGCAATCGAACTCGATAATGTGGGATAATAGAGTTCCCACGGACCAAGGATATGGGATTGCATCAGCGCCAAGGCCTGAGCGACGCGGGCCGTAACGCTATTTGACCTGGAACTCGTGGACTGCAATTTGTAAAGCTTATCGCCACTCGCGCCTGTTTGCTGCAAACGAGCGGACGAGGAGCTCGCGTGGCCTGCTTTGCTGCAAGATCTAGTCATTGTATTCTCCGTAGAGTAGGTGATTTTCCCCTGGGTTACAAAGTCCAATCTGGCCAAAAAGAATTTCATGCAAGTTAGTAAATCCCGCTGTTCGCCCAGCGAGGGATCCCGGCGGAGATAGCAAGATCGTATCTCCCTTGCCAGGACCCGGATGGGACAGGGGAACCAAGAAACGACTCTCTCACCGGCTTGATTGGCTCTGTCTTTTTCGCAATCCAGGCCCCACGGTCTTCATGAAACAGCGGGATGACAGCATTCATGTAACATGCAGAACATGGGCCTCGAATCCAACATGACACGAGGCTGCTTTAACAATGGTTTGTTAGGCTTTTCATCTGCGAAAGACGGGTCTGCCCTCATCGCACCGTTCCCAATTCTGTGACAAGCGCGCATTCCTCCGAAATCGCCTCCAGAAAGCATTGACTTTGTTGCCACTAAAATAAAACTAGTGTCGGACGGCGGCTTAAAGACATCTGAAAATCGATAATCCCACCCGATGTGCCGAATAGACCCACGACTACGGAGTATTGAGTTAGTTAACTCGGCCGCTTGGGTGAGGGAAGAGTTTGTGGGGAAATTCGCAGTGCTTGGGCCCCAGTTGACTTCGCCCTACTAGCTACGCGCTGCGCCTTTTCTCCCTTGATTCCGTATTTTAGATTTGTTTTATTTTTCTTTCGATTATGCAGAATCTTCGAGCTTTCGCATTTTCATCTGCCAGGCGAGAACCATAATTGATGAAACCTCGTGGCTGGAGGCGACATAAGTGGCCCCCCATCACAACCGAGACAAGCATCCCCGGCCCCGATCACTTGTCAGCAACCCCAGCAAGACCATACCGCGTACGGGGTATGCGCATCTTTTCCCGCCGGCGCACCCAATAAAACTTCCAGGGGATGCAGCAAGCCTGCGTTGCAGGCTGTCAAAAATCTCCTACCATACTCTTCTCGCTCGGTCGATATCTCTAGCGGCCTTCCATTCCGCTCCACTGCTTCGCTGCTGTCGAGGAGACGACAAGGCTGCCTGCTGTGTACTCAAAGCCCACTAACCTTCATGATCTGATTCACTTTCACTCTTGAACAGTGAATATACATTATTCACATATTATAATTGGTCTATCTGGGTGCCTGTCGTCCGACTTGTGACCGCATTTCAACTCAGTAAAGCTTGTGTTTCCTGGGTTACATTCACTCTTCCTATCCATTTGGCATCTTCCTCACCCAGCCATTCACTCATACTCCCCCTGCAATAATTTTCCCCTTATCGCCTCCGAGAAAATTACTCTGCCTATTTGCTCTGTTGTGTTGTCTTATGATCTTGGTTGTCAGGTGTTGCTCTGAGTTCTAAACTGGTGAGTGGTATGCGAACCTCTTTATTCTTTTTGAACAAAACTAACTATCTCTCATACACATACAGATAGCCTCTTGCAGTAAGAGATCTTTGTTCCCCCCCGCTATTACAACCTACATCTATTTCAATGTCCGCAACTTGAACAATACTATCTGCCCCCTATTTTGTTTCGCAACTCCATTCTGGCTGGATTTTCCGGGACGAGAACTCCCTGATTTAACATTGGAAGCTGATGGATTAGTGATTAGGGACTTTAAAAGCCTTTCACCATGGGCTGTTCTGGATCCAAGGAGATTAGCCCTGAAGAGCGGCAGGCGATCAAACAAAATGCAAGCATTGACAAAATGATACGGATGGACAAGAAAACATATGATCGCACAGTCAAAATCCTTTTACTCGGTATGCTGCACTACAACAAGCTCCATATTATCAAATAAGTTTCTAAGAACATTTTAAAACCAGGCGCTGGCGAATCAGGAAAATCTACTATCATAAAGCAGATGCGCATCATCCATGCAGGCGGTTTCCCAGAAGACGAACGCCGACAGACCCGCGCTATTATCTATTCAAACATGATTGTGGCCTTTAAAATCTTGCTGGATATAATGGAAGCTGAAGGAATCGAGTTTGAGGCTGCTGACACAAAGGTTAGCCTGGTCCTCTCAGTAGCCCCCTTTACAATGGCTGTCAAGCACGTCTTATATACCGATTGCTGATCTTTCTTATCTAAAAGTCATTCGCGCAAGTCATAGAAGAGACTGAGGCAGACGTGGAGTCTGATGAGGCGTTTACCGATTTGAACGTTCGACAAGCGATGAAGAGCATGTGGGCGGATCCAGGAGTTCAAAAAGCTGTCGCAAAAGGTCATGAATTTGCTCTTCACGACAATCTCGACTAGTAAGGCACCAGCATTCGTTTGCAGGATCGAAGTATATGCTGACCACTTGCGAAGCTACTTTAATTCCTTGGACCGCATATTCACACCTGGATGGCTTCCGAATAATCAAGATATGCTCCATTCGCGACTGCGCACGACCGGCATCACTGAGACCCTCTTCGAGTTAGGCCAGATTAATTTCCGGATGATGGACGTTGGCGGACAGCGCTCAGAGCGTAAAAAGTGGATCCACTGCTTCGAAGGAGTTCAATGTCTACTCTTTATGGTTGCGCTATCCGGCTATGATCAGTGTCTTGTCGAAGACCAGACTGCGGTGAGTTTATCTCCACGAGTTAGATGCAAATAGCCAAGGTGCTGACGTTAACATCAAGAATCAAATGCACGAGGCGATGATGCTCTTCGAATCTCTGGTCAACGGGGAGTGGTTCAGGAGAAAACCAGTCATCCTTTTCCTCAATAAAATTGACCTTTTCAAACAAAAAGTCCCTACTTCACCCGTGTCGAAGCACTTCCCAGATTTCAAGGGCCCAGACGGCGACTACCAGGCAGCAACGAAATTCTTTTCAGATAGATTCAAAGGCATGACCCGTATGCCTGAGCGAGAAATCTACGTCCATCACACTAATGCCACCGACACGACTCTTCTAAAAGCGACCATGGACTCGGTGCAGGACATGATCATCCAAAAGAATTTGAATAACCTTGTTTTGTAGGCTCCGTGATACCCAAAAAGTCGCATTCCTTGCAGATGGTTTTTTTTTTTTTTTGCATTTGCGTCTTTGCATCCTACCATGTGCAATTATGTCTCTTGCTACTATGTTCCTATATTTTTAGTTTTCGGGAGTTTCTATATTCCTTTCCTTTTTTTCCTCCCTTTGAATTGGGAACCATTTGCGATGCTCGAATCCATTGCAGACGGTAATAGTTCTTGTGTCCATATTCTCTTTTCATGCCCACACGTATTTACACCCTTGACGTTCGGCCTAACTCCGCTTCTTTTTATATTCCTTGCCCGATACGTTTAATTTTTCTGGTGTCTGATAGAACTTTATGCTTTCGCCTTTCTCCTTGCGCGCTTTTCTTTGACTCGTGGCGGCACTCGCGAAGACAATTGCTCGGGGCACCACCCCTTTCTTTATATTCTCTAAGCAGGCGACATCTTATCGAGCTATTCAGGGTTAGTGCGCATATGCAAGCTATGGGAGGATCATTTGTGTTTCTTTAGGTCGCGATGGCGAGTTTGAGCTTCGAACCGGCTCAAACTTTAAAGCAGTGGAAGGACTCGATCCTGGTACTTTTTCACGCCGATTTTCGGGAATTGTTACGCTAGATGCTGGGACGATAAATTATGGGTTGACTGTGTTTCAATGCTGCTGTTTAACGATGCAACTTGTTCTGTGCTCTTGGTCAGTTTCTCCACAAGGTCTCTCCAGGAAAGGAGCAACATGCGGACTTGGGAGGCTGCGGTAGCGGCTAGCTGAGAAGCGCAGTGATCGGCAAGATAGAGTATGAAAACATGATTAATGGTTGTGGTCTTCGCTTGCCCCTGGCTGCCGCTCATACAGCTGCCTGACCCCGCGTTTGCGAACGACTCGATTAGTGACTGGGCTGAGACGGAAACCAGCCGACACAGAACGAATTGGCCGGGCGTTAGTTAACTAGTTAGTTACCCCTCTTGCGTGGCTGTGTATTCTCAAGGTGTTCTGGAGAGCACCAGGATAAGGTCTCTTCACACAGAGCTATTTATTTCAGGAGAATTCCATTAAATGAATCGACTCTACCGCGATCATGAAGCTCAACCAGCCCCGAAGTTGTATCCCGTATTCCGTATTAGAGCATTCAGGGTAATTATGCAATTTTGTTCCTGAGGTCACGTCATGCGGCGTTGTACACGTGATTATAGGATTACATAATGGCGGCAATGTGGTTGAACTCCCCGGTAGCAGAACTTGCTCACAACAAGCCCTCAGGTCCAGCGAACATTGATCTACCACCACCCTCTCATCCACTCTCTAAAATTTGCACAGGAGCTGTGCTCTGAAAGCTCTTGCTGCCCTCAAAATGTTTTCATCCTCTATATGCCGTATGGCCCGAGCGCCAACGGTGAGTCTTCCGGCCGTGGCGCCGCGCCCATGCACCATCGTCCTCGCAAGCTCCGCCAGTAATCTCTCCACTCCTCGAACCCAGCAGCGGCGATATTCGTCTTCCAAACCTCCAGTTCCTCCTAGCGATGGCTCCAGAGGCTTCGATGCTTCCTCACAGACCCCAGCCAAAAGCGTAAGCCCGTCCAAAAAGGATGAAACTGAGAAACGATCGAAACGCCGGGCAAAGGAAAATAAATCGAAACCGGAGAACACATTGAACCTTCCTAGTGTTCCTTCTACTCAGCATTTACACCCTCAAGGTTCGTGAATCATTCTCTTTCCATTTTGTGGAGGGTACTCAAGAGAGCCAACCCTTCAAATCACGTGGTTTTACCCAGAAAGCATACTTTTAATACTTACATTGGGACAAACGCTTTCAGATATCCATGTCGCCTCCTTCTTTTCTATTCACCGTCCAATGTCTGTAACCACGACTGTACCTCCGGCATCAACCTCCGAAGCATTCTCTACCATTTTTTCAGCGAAGAAGCAAGCGAAAGCTCGGCAAAACGACGTAATCTACACGATAGCTTCGGCTGTAAACGTTATTGAGAACGCCATTCCCAAACACCAGCAATCGACGGAGGATAGCGATCTTAGAGCGGCTGTAACGCAAGCGTCTGCTAGCAACGCAGAGCCCGATGTTACCCATCTCGACGGTGTGCCCATGCAAGATCTGAGAATATCTGTGCAAGAATTCGCCAAGCGGCTAAGACCTTTCAATCCACCCCCACCGCCCGTTCCTATGGATGAAGCCCAGCAGGCCAAAATCATGGATGCTGAGGCCGAAGGGACCGAGAGTGAGCAGAGCTATTCTACCGTCCTAACGATACGCGAATCCAGCCACGCGGACGGTTCGAAGAGCTACCAAGCGTACACAACGCCATTCGTCCGTGTGACAGATATGGAGGCGCCATCGGGAACCGAGACAGAAGCTATGGGAGAGCAACACACCCCCGAATCTGCTAGATTACCAAGTCGTTTCCTCGATAGAATGCGAATCCGACAGTTGAAGTGGGAAGCTTTCATGGAGCGGAGAAACAGAACCATGTACGCCATCAGCGTTAAGAGACAGCGAAAACTCAAGATCAAGAAACACAAATATAAGAAACTGATGCGGAAGACGCGGACTTTGAGACGCAGACTTGATAAGAATTGATGAAGTCAGTCTTCCACTGGAATCTCTGGGGCATATTGGCGTGTTGAGTTTCCGGGTTGTCTTTTGCTTTGTTTGATTCCTGGTGTCTCCTTTTTTTCCTTGACTACTCCTCCCCGTATCTCTCAGAATAGTTGGCATTATTGTTAATTCATGCATCTCTTTTCCTCCCATTTGGCTCTATTGCAGGCTGTGCTTTCATTTTTCCCGCGTGTCCATCTCCATTTCTGCTTTCCGTCGACAAGGTAATCAGAGCCAGCTAGACTATATACAGCCCTAGACGTCTCGAGGCGACGCTTGCCGCTCACCCAAAGTCTTATGCTTCGTCTATCCGATCTCGCCTTTCCAAGCATTTATACATAGATTCAATCAATACATGAAACAAGTAAATATTGTGGACTGAATGTATTCTTTAAGACATGTGTTTTGTAGACTACATACATCTTTCAATCCACAATTTTCTCAATATCCTATTCAATACTCAAGACATTATTCCAAGCCATAAAATGCGTTGATTGCAGTACATACGAGGCACACATACATATACATGCACACGAGGTTTAAGATGATCAAGCCCACAGTATTCAAAATCCACGTCTAGCACAGGTACCAAAAAAACAATTACGGCATAGTAACAAAGGGCAGGAGGCTACACGAAGGCGGCATGCGTATAATAAAAACCGGCAAAAAGAGAGGAAAAATTTAAGATGAAGTAAGGTGCAATCCCAGAGAGGTAGAATAACAAAGCTCAGGTAAGCCCAAGAATGAGAGTTTGGATACATGTTTCTTCCCACCACAAACAGAACGAAACAGGCTTGGTATAATAGAGGGATTATTAGGCCGTCCACCCTAGCTCATTTAAAGGGATGCTCATAACATGATAATAAATTCATCACTATTCACACTCACTATACGTTTAGTCAACACATTGTCACCAACTTTGATCGACATCTGATGTACGCGAAAGTGTTGGTGAACAATGTTCATATCGTGCCGTCCAATGCTTAGCACTCAGCGCCCGAGGCGCGCGAGTTCATAAGGAGGGCAACAATAAGCCCGTAAAGACCTAATAATACAAGTTAGAGTACTATGCCTAGAAATATGTCTAAAAAGAAAGAAAGCGCACCCAAGACTTCTGCGAAAATGAGAATCAGGATCATTCCGACGAAGAGGCGAGGCTGTTGGGCTGTTCCACGAACACCAGCATCACCGACGATGCCAATGGCGAATCTAAGAGCATTATCAGTATTCGATCTGAATGACACTCAATAAAGGAGGTGTAAATGATGAAAAGAACGTACCCTGCAGCCAAACCGGCAAGACCAACAGAAAGGCCTGCACCAAGTTGAATGAAGCCAGTATACAGCGACTTGTTCTGGCCCAAGTCGTTTGCTATCAAGACTGACACAACCAACCCGTAGATACCGATAATACCAGCCATGACAATAGGAACGATGTCTAGATCCAACACGCGTCAGCGCAAATCAGAATACGTGGCGTGATTCCCCACGCCATCGGAAGACCTCCACCGAATGGCTTCAGGTCTGCAAAAAGGATCTAATATCCTTACTCTTCACAATCAGGTCCGGTCGCAGGACGGCTGTCGAGCAGACACCGACACCGGCCTTAGCCGTCCCATAGGCAGCACCGAAACATGTGAAGATGATGGCAGAAGAGCATCCTAGGGCACCAAAGAATGGCTACAGCCGATCAACGTTAGCATCAAGGTTATAATCGAATGATGTTCATGGTGATGGAGGCCGGGACAATCGCGTTATACGTTCAGCCCAGCCATCGACGTCCAACACAGGTATGAAGCATCTTAGCACGAAGGTGGTGTCAACTGACCGCATAAACGGGGCTAGAGACATCTCGAAAATCAGTATTTCTATCACATATTTGCAGCACAGCCCGTATTCTCTGCTTTTGCACAGCGGAGTCTTGAGGGTAACTGACCAGAGGTCTGAAGGCATCTTGGGAGATTATGAACAAGCGTAGACCTGAACACCGGAAATGAAACGCGCGCAGTCGAAAGAGAGGTTTGCAGATTGAAAAAAGTAGGTTAATTAAATGAATAATATCCTCAGGAACCGTGCCTGAATGAGAGTTGAGAAAAGGATGAGAATATGGACGATGTAGCTTGTCACGCTGCGAAGCTTGAAGACGTTCGTTCGTTACGGGACCATAGCAGAAATGGGGAGGATTTGTAAACCGTAGATCCACTAGTCCCGATACGTTTACGTCGGAATATACGTTTATCCGAATCCACGGTTGTTTGGAAGTTTAAAAATATATACGTTCCGAATTCGGAAACGTAGCTTCCGATCCTCAACGTAGAAATCGGGAAACGTTCAAACCCCTGATCAACGAATATATCTAGGAACGTTCGGGATACCTTTTCGGGTTTATAAATGTTTATAGTATAGAAACCATTATAGTATAGAAACCATTATAGTATAGAAACCATTATAGTATAGAAACCATTATAGTATAGAAACCATTATAGTATAGAAACCATTATAGTATAGTTACCCCAGCAGACACTGGAGAGATTTCAACTAATGCGCAATACTACATACATCAAACCGCCCGATCCACCTATAAAAAGGAAACGCTCCAAGTGCAGTTGAGAAAGGTAGTCGGCAGAGCAGAATCCAGTTCGAGCCTTTCGGAATCTTTGCTGACAGGTATTGTGTAAAGGCTTGGTTTGCGGATTGCAGGTAGGCCGATTATATGAATCTCATCCCGATTCACCTGCAAAATCGGCAAATCCAGTACCCTCTCGCGCCGAATTTCATGAGCAGAGAACATGGCAAAAAAAACCCTCCAGCAGCTGCCCTGGTTGTGGGTGAATATGCACCTTATTTGCCCGATCTTGGTGCCCGACGCACGAGTATACTCAACCAGATCATCGAGTTTCAATGTAGTGCGATGCGCATCTCCATTGAATGTAAAGGTCAGCTTTTGAAACAATCGGATTGGGGTCGAACCTCCGCCAAGCATATGTTGATATGCCCAATCACTGCTGTATGAAAGTCGGAGCTTTTGCAAAAAGGAATGCGTAATTGGTAGTTCGGAAAGCCGCGCGCTTTGTAAACCAAGCAATTCCATGACTTTGCGGCTAGCTGGTAGTCGGCAGTAGGCATTGATTAAGGTATGGAAGGGGGTGGTAGCATATGAATCATCGGCTTCGTCGGCATTCTCATCATCATCTTGTTGCTCATTGTGTTCCGATCGCACGAGGTCTTGCATGAGAATCGGACATTCGCGATGAAGTTGCTTCATCTGGCTGCTGATATAGGGTTCCGATTCCATAAGAGCCCCATCAAGAACCAAGGATATAGTGCGTTTGAAGCTCTCATGAATCAGTAAAACCTTTTCAACATCACGCTTGTTGGTTCGCTGCACAAATGCTTTGTATTCACGGTGTTTATCCTCCCCGATCAGTACATTGCAGTTATTTGGCACAGCATACTCCTTTGCCTGGTCGGCATAGTGCACCCTGATATGCATGTTTGGTCGGTGTTTCAAAGCATGTAACATCTTACCTGCTTTCGGGGCAATACTGACAGTGTTGATCGAAATGTCCTCCGTCGGGGGTGTCACAATCTGATTGAACACTGGTGAATTCTGCCGTGATCTCAGCATCCATACTGCCCGGCTAGCCGACCGTGGTGCCTCGGCAGCCATGACAGTAGCATCTATCACTTTCTGAAGCATAGTTCGGGTGTTGGCAACCACACTTTTAAGTTCATTGTACCCGACAGATGTCTGAGAAGTCAATAGTGAATTGCTTCTTGCAATAGCACCAAAGGTTTTAGCAAGCAACAAACATGGAATGTCGGGATCAATTGACTGTTCATCAAAGGAGTTATAGAGAGCCTGCTGAACAACAGTCTGAATCCAGTCAGGCTTTAGGGCAAAGCGGAGTATAATTGGGATCACAATTGAAGCTCGGGCGTGTTCCTGGATTTGGTAGGACTCCAGATGGGTAATTGGGGACTGCAGTCGGGCCCAGCGTCTCCGAAATGGAAACCTCTGTAGGGTTTGGCAGTATTCCTTCTGCCCCTCAGGTGTCAATATATGTGATATCAATAATGTATGCGCAATTTTGGACAGGCCCGAAAATTCACTATGACAGGGGTCAGAGGGGAAAAATGTCACCAGATTCAGTGCCGGGCAGATCTTCAAAACTGGGGGACTTTCCTTGGCCAATCCATGGGTCTTCCACAGTGCTTCTCGCTCGCGAACAGTCCGCTTTGCCTCAATTTCGGCCCGCAAATTGAGTAGCTGGTAATGGTATCGGCCGTGTTTCACCAAGTTGAAATTCATATTGAACCTCTCCGCATTGGAGACAGTACAGCTCTGACAGGAGACTGTTGCAGTAGGGTGTTTGATTCCAGCATTGTCATTTTGCTGCGGCATGTCACCAAGGTAAGCAATACAAGGAGCAATGACCCTGACAGTTCCTTCACCAGTTACCACAATGTCAAATCCTCTTTCAACTGCTTGTAAACCGGGAGCCAACGCCTCCACAACATCGGGAAAATTTGTAGCATGAGGCCCGAGAGCAATTGTATATACATTGTTTTGTTGTCTTCTTTCGGAATCATTAAGTCCTGCAGGGATCATATAGAAGCCAGTTATATTTCGGTACATGTTCCGATATAGACTGAATCTGTCAATGAACAGCAGGAAGGGAATGGATATAGTCCTCTTGATAGGGTCGCCTGGGCAGAGCATCTTGATCAGCATATCCCTCCCGTATGCCGCGATTTCCAGTTCACCCCGGAGCGGAGTGCTAAGTCGGAGCTCTTGTACAGATGATGTGTGGCGAATTGTATTCATCACTCGCCGTACAAAGAACCCATTTGTTTCTGAGGGTTTGTAGCTACCCGATCCGTCAAAGGTGTAGTCAAGATGGACATCCAGTCGGGCTAGAATGTTGTCTTCATGTATGATGTGAGTTTCCTGGTCTTCCAGTAAGAGCAGCTCGTTCGGGCAAAGCGGAGGTCTCAGCGAATGGATTCTTTTATCAAAGCTGCTGGCAGTAATAGTGTACTGGACAATAAGAACAATTTCACCGGGTTTTGTGCAGGCCAGTCTCCGGTCCCGACCCACAAATTGAATCCTTCCGATATGGATTTCTTGTTCATTCCAAGTGCACTTACATGCAGCATTGTTGCACCTGAAACGAACAAAATTGGAAGGAAAGACTGGTGTCCCGTCAGGATACCATGCAAAGTCACCCGACGAACATCTAATGGAGCTCCCCCAGCTCCATGATTGCCACAATTCGGTCGGGTTGTCAACTAGGTCGGCCATACCAATATGTATCTTCTTGCGAAATACAGGAGACCTTGCCAGTAATGACAAAAGAGCCACAGGATCCTGAAAGAATAAATTAGATGTAAGAGATGTCTGTATTAGTCGCTTCTCGGCAGGCGAAAGAGTTGGCATTTTCAATGGAACAGCCGGTATGGATGCCCGTCGGATGGGAAGCATAGGGAATTGAGCTCTGCATTTCTTCTTCAACGTGCTCAGCCCCAATGGTAGAGATCTCAGTGCACCGATGTCTTCGGGAATCTGTAAGACTTCCCGCAGTGCCTCGTAGTGTTGGCGAGATATTCCTGATTTTTCGCACCATAATCCTAAAGCGAGCGTGAAGTGGTCCAGCATTTCATCAGGCTCCGCACGCGCATGGACTAGGACCTCCGACGGGTCATTCATTGTAGTCGGGATGTAGGTCTCAGCTGGCTGGTCGCCCAATGAATCCTCTAGTTGTGAATGAAAATTGGAATCTCCATTGCCAACTGGGTGCACTGGATGTAACATAGTCTGTAACCAGGGTTCGGATTCGGGCTCTTCATACTGTTGTGATTCATTGTTATCAACTGATCCCATGGGTAGAGCTGCCACTGCTTCTTGTATAATCTCCTGCACCCTGATGTCTTCTGGTTCAGAATGAGTGTCGGATAGAGCGTCGGGCGGAGCATCAGAGGCATCTGAAAGACTTGCTGCATCCTGTACACAGTGATTAGAATGATGCAGGCTGACAGAGGATCCAAGGTCTTACACTCAACCCTGACTCCTCAGTTTGATTGTTCGGCTGAATGTCGGGTTCCACTGAAGGTAAAACGCGATTGCAATCTTGCGATTCCCGCAACAAATGGGCAGGCTGTCTGCGCCTTCGAAACTGTGAGGCTGGGAATGGCAAATGAAGTCGCCTTCTCCAAAACATATAATCCTCTATGCGCCTCAAGTACCTCGGACCTCGCATGTTTGCTTGAGGTTTATACGCCGGTTTCCGCAGTGGTTGAGTTTCAAGTTGCAGGAACAGTGAGGGTTGCTGCGGAATTGCTTTGGGACAAAGTATGTAGGAATTAGAAAGAAAATTGCTGTTCGATTGGGGAATCGGACGTATTATAGCAAAGTTGAATGTTAGAGCAGCCGCAAAATGTGCCAACTGTGCCGCAGACCAACTGTAATATCCCGATCACCTAGACCTGTAATTGGCCCTAAGGGATGCAAGGTCAGCGATGATCTGCATCCTCCTGGGTGATCGGCCTATTTCAAAGAAATCAATCACTTAGCGGCGTTGAATTTTAGAATGTAGGGGAATATGGATACAGATCTGAATAGCAACTTGGGCAGTCGAATGCGCTCCAAGTCAACTATATAATAGATAGCGAACCCCTCCGAAATTCAAGCATTCACTCTCATTCATTCTCAACGGCAATCCGATAGCCAAAATGTCGGAGACACAGAGCACGCCAGCGCCAAAAAGGACAGCTCGCACCTTCCCATGGGCCCAATCGCACAACATGCCAAAGGCTCAAGGGGCATCATTCAGTTCGAATACAAGTACCCGAACTGAAGCGTTCTCTGATCATACAGAGATTGAAAAGCGGGTTCGAGTGGTGGAGCACGAGATACGAAATCGGGTGCGATGGGCCTATATATCGACATTAAATACTGACCCGATTCCCGATACCATCCAGGAGGTGCTGAGCCTTGAGGACTGGGAAGCCGGGAACGACTCATATTTTTGTGAACTTTCCAGGCGCATGTCGGACCTCTGTAAAGGTTGGAAATGTAAGACCTTGAGTAGCTTGAAGGTCGGAACAACGTCCCTAAACTCCTAGTTATGGTATAAACTGACCTCATTTGCAGGATCATGTCAGGGAATGTATTGAACTCAGCTTGACTGAGAATCCCGATTTCGGACTCCATGAAATAACCGATCGACAAAAGCTGATCAGCTATTTTGCCCGATTGTTCAAGTGGGACCAATTCTGTGAAGTCTTTTACTGGGTCAAGCCGTGTGTCGATTTTGAGAAGTCAGCTCCACAAGGGAAATGGTATTTTGAACGTAAGTCAATGGTAAATCTTAATTGCCATGATTTCTGCTCTGACAGTTATGGCAATAGAGGTGTATGCAAATTTAGCAGCATACGTGAAGCTGTATCTTGATGACAACAGTCCGAAACGGGACGCATCCACCCCGTTGACCTACACCTGGGATTCTGTACTCAAGCTCTGGGACTGCTTGACACAGAAACCAGGACTGAGAGATGTCAATTCGGACGACTTCGCCCGACGGAAGGTCCGACCAAGGAAGCCAAAGGCTGTCCATGTTGAGACTTTGCCAGGAATTCTGGATGCGGTCCAGTTGACATCTAGTATGCCGCCCAGGGAACCCGATTCACGTCCGGCTCAGGCAGTGCAAGCTCCGCGGGAGCCAGAGAATGACGATTCAGACAAGGAGAATCGGAATCCTTTGCAGGACATCACGGAGGATTATTTTGAGACTGCGACAAATCGGCCTGCCTGTTCAAAGAGACCCGCGCCAGCCGCAACTGGTCGCATGCCCCGAAAGAGACGCAGATTCTAGTTGAATACATGAAAAGGTGCCTTCTCGGGTCAAAATTGGCTGTTAGTTTGTGCTTCAAAATAGATTTCGGGGTTTGATATCTAGACTTCAATGCAATGCTCTGTTATATCAATGCTTGCAAGAGCCGAATTTCGCTATATTCAATATATATCTCTTTATCGTTCACCGTAATCGGCCGTAGGAGCTCTAAGCAAAATGAGTTAGCACTTAGTAATGTATAAATAGACACGTCCCGATTAGGAAATCCAAAACAATCAAGCGGACACGCTAGATATAATAATCTCTTCCCACACAAAATCTCTCTCTTCTTCTCTTCTTTTCTTTCTTTCCTCCTCTTGAGCTCATTATATTTCTCGTCGCCCCTCTCCCCCTATTCCAATATCGAGGTAAGTGGTGGATTTCAGAATGAAATAAGGAACTGCAGCAAACTGAAGGACAATATATGCAGAAATAGCAAAAAATGGCTCCGCAAACGCGTAAATTGGCAGCAGCTCAGGACGAGCACTCCCCGATGTCCACAAAGAAGAAGCCAGGGCGAAAGCCCTCGGCTGTCAAAGAAGAGCCCGCTATGATGGGCGATACACTCTGTGGCCGCTGTTTGACGTTTGTGTATACGGCGCACATCGAAAAGCCTTGTTCCCGCAAGCAAGGAACCGCGAAGGCCTGCACCAATTGTGCAGGAGATAAAAAAGCCTGTGCTCCTGTCCCTTCAGAGCTGCAGAAGGAAGTGGCAGCATTGCTGTCTGACCATGACGATTTCCTCAGGCTTAAGAACGCGACGCTCCGAGAGGAATTGAAAGCCAGTATGGCGGAACAGGCCGCTGGTCTCAGTGAATTGCTTGCCAAAATGGCACCCCCGTCGGTCCGAACTGACGAATCCCCCCCTCCCCCCCCCTTCAACGCTGAAGTTGGTGCTGCCACTTTGGCAGCGTTGGAAAAGCTCGTGTCCATCCAAGCCGAACAAAAAGAGCTTGCGGAGCATACATTCCGCTCTGTCAAGGTAGGTTGAACTGATTGGATATCATACATTCAACTCATGCTAATGTAGTTATATATATAGAATATTGAAAGGACCTTGGCCGACATCCGCCAGGACTTAAAGTCCAATTGTTTACCTTCTGCGGTCAGTATACTTGATGCAATGTCGGGATGAATTGAACTGACTTTGATATTTGATGACAGAAAAAGCGAAAGGCAGAAGAAACCGTCTATGAATCAGCAGCCAAGATAGGCCGATTTGCTGCTGCCCTGCCCTCTGCTGCGTCCGCTCCTCCCCCCCCCCTCCCCCACTCCGATCACGCCTTCTCCCTTCGTTCAGTCGCAGCCGAATATCTCTGCGTCGGGCCTGTCTCCAACTGGAGGCAGTGGAGCCGATTTGCTCGAAAGTACGATCAAGCGGCCCGAATGGGCTCGCCCTGACGATTCTTCTGCGCTGGTTTTACGCCCTGTCCCCGAACCAGAGACTCCAACCGGGGAGGCTCAAATTTAAAAAAAAAAAAAAAAAAAAAATTCATTACGATTCGGGTTGTGCGGGTGGTTTGTAATACTTAGTTAGTTCCTAGTAATTGAAAAGCTTCCGAATCGGGTTCAAAACCCTCAAGTTTAAAAATATATACGTTCCGAATTCTATACGTTTCGGACCCTTTATACGTGCATTGTAAATATATGGTTGATCTACGGTTTCAAGCTTGCGACCCGTGGTTCAACGGGTCGCGTCGGATAAACGTTTTCCGACGGTTGCCCGAAAAGCTCATTTTTCCGGTATGGGATGAGGTTGGAGTCACGTGATTAGACCGTTGCCGAGAACGCGCAGCTCACGAAAGAACATCCGCCCTTCAACAAAGAATTGTCTACAAAATATACAGAGAAAGATGTTAATATTACTTAAATTGGGTTCTGATGCTTATTCTCGAGCCAGGGACATCAATCTTTGTTCCGGACACTTCGAGAGCCCGCTCGTCAGCTCCCGTCAGGCTATCCTGCTCGAAGGTAGTAAAAGTTATACCGTTCTCAGAGAGCGCCCCAAAATGGTTTGGGACTACAATAAGATGCTTATCGGATACCTGGGTCGAAGATCGCAAGTCATTTTCGAGACTTGCCACAGGGACGGAAGCAGTCTCGACAGAAGGAATCACCCCGAAGATAAAGCGTTCCGCCACTTCCGCGGGTTGAGAGCCCTGCGAAGAATTCGTATGACCTAGTGGACTGTGGATGGGCACTGCCGTGTCTAACGGTGCAACAAAAAACTGTACGGTATCTCCTGGCTTTGCAGCCTCGGAGAGTGGCGTTACGAGTTTTCCATTATTGAATTCCATAAGGTTAGGGAACGAATCGAAGGCTGTCTGCTCGATATCGGGCTCAATAGTGTTCCTTTCGAATAGTTCATTAATAGGACGACGGTGGCCAGAGCTGTGCTCTTCCTGGTAACTGTATTCAGGATCTAGAGAAAGCAGACCCTGCTTTTTACCCCACCCTCCCCCTCCGCTCATGAGACGGTGAAGGCGAGCACTCTTTTTGATTGCATTAGATACGTCGTCTGTTCCACTGGCTTCAGGGCTAGCCTCTGAGGAGCAATGTAATTCTTCGGGTTTGACGAGAGCCCAAACTGCGAGCCTGCGATTTTGCAACTGATGCTTATCGATATATGCTGGGAGGGCTTTCTCTAGTTCCGCCGATGCTGGCGCGGATTTTGTGGAACCATTTCCAGTTGAAATCTGACTCAGAACATTTCCCATGCTTGTAATGACTTTCCTAGGCTGCGTAACTGGATGCAAAGGTATAAACGGCGTGACAGACGAATTGGCATTAGATTCGATTCGACAAATCACAAGATCCTTCGTTTCCTTTGGTTTCAATTTCCCAATTTCCTCATCAAACCGCCAACGTGATGCCAGCATTGTTCGCGGTGTGCCGGTGACAAAAATCGTGTTTGCGATGCGGACCCCAACTTCAGTGGACACTTTTTCACCTCCATCTTGCTCATAAGTCATGGCATACGTAATTGTGGGCTCGATTTCAGGCATTGAGACATCCCGCCTTCGCATGGGCCGGACTATGTCTCCGGATAAGGACTCTTGGTCTGCTATCAAAAGCGAGATTCCTTCGCACCCTTCTTTTTCGAAGGCTGGGGAGTCTTCAGGCGAAGCCGACCTTGCCGAAGAGACCAGTCCTGCTGGTATTGGCAGCTTATCCACAACAGCCGATATAGAATATATATCTTTAATCTCTTCGTCCGTTCGCAGCGCATCTTGGAAAATATGGCCCACTATGGATGGGAGCAAAGTGCTGCCAGCGTGAGCCCAGGCGGCAAACGCAGGGGTAGCGAGAAGTATAGGGACATTCTGGAAGGACCTCGATGTTCGCGGGAGAACGGGCAAGTTGGATATAAGGGCTGCAGGGTCCTAGATATATTCAAGTTATCAATAAGGATTATAGCTCTCTTGAGCTCGCGGCATCCGCGTGCATAAAGCAGAGGTCATAACATACCACAAGGGATGTTTCGGGGGTCAGCAATGTAATGGCAGATATCTGCTCCGTTCCTGGCCGTACGGCTGCATCCCTATGTAAGAGTCGATGGGAGCTAAATTTCCTCGAGCTCCAAGGCTCACCGCGAGCCCGCCAAGCAAGTCGCAGACAGCCATTGCGAGCTGCAACAATGACGCAGGTCGAGCACCTACTGAACATCCTTCCCACTGAGATCGGGAACCATTGCTGAAAACCTAACATGTACTTCAGGCACTCGCTACCTCACCTATGGAGATAGATTGCGCAATTCGCTCCTCGGGAAGTAACAGTCCGCTGCCAAGCTTCCCGCTGGCACAAGCTCCCAACCCGTGCACACCTCTCTCCTATCCTCCAAACCTGAGCCGAAGAGACATTCATCAATCAACTACAGGACTCCGTAGAGCAAATCAACTCGATATTAGGGCACTCTGCCTCTAATTTTTTTTTTTTTTCCTTTCCTTCCTTTTTTAATCAAAAGGACATTTACGTTGTGCTTTCCACAATACAGTCTGGATCGGCGGACAAATTTATTGGTAAGAGAAAAGAAAAAGAAAGATAAAGACAATGCCATTCCAAGCCTTTTGTATACCCGTACATAAACGCCTTGCAAATCATCAATCACTCAGCCAAACGCCAATATAAAAGACAATGTTTCCTTCAGCAAGGAGCTTCGAATTGACGAGCTCTTGTGCCATGGACGTTGTCGCAAAACTTCGAATCATCGGGTTCATAAAAACAACTCAGAATTGTACATGAATTTGACCCGTATATCAGCCGCAAAATATCACATCTTTAACTTTATACTTTCACCCTGCTGTTCTCCTTCTGGACGAGCTTTGTTAATTCTCCATAGACTTTGGAGTACTCCTCCTGCTTTTCGGCATCGTCTTTAGATTCGTCCTTCTTCTTCTTCCCGCCGGGGCGTGGAAGAACCATAACAACACTTGTTGGTCTTTTAGTCGACCCAGCACTGCCGAGTTCGGCTCGAGATGTAACATAAACATAGGGGATTCCGTGATCCTCACACAGGACGGGAATATGAGATATTACATCCATTGGGGAAATATCGGCTGCAAGAACGACGATACCAATCGGCGACGTGACCGCAACATTTGCAGCAGGGACAGGCGATTTTCGAACAGCTTTGACGACTTCCTTAACGCCTCGTTTTAGGGACTTATTCACAGCGGCTAATTTTAAAAAACTCAGTTAGCAAAATTACACGAGAACAAAGCTAGAAACGGCGCTGGCCAATACCCTTTCTGACGCTCTTCAACACTTTCTTCGCAACTTTATCATCTGCCAATGGGTTCGCAAACGGCACAAGCGAGCCAACAGGGCGCGTTTGGCGCTCCTCTACCTCCTCCGCGTCCGGAAGAGTATCAAGCTGTTCCACAACTCTCTCAGTCAAATCTTTCTCAATAGCTTCGGCGATAACAGTGGCCTTCTTCTTGTCCTTGTCCTTTTTCGACTTCTTATGAACGCCATCGACCTCGGAACGTTTCTTTTCCTTCTTCTCCTTCTTCCTCTCCTTGTCGCTTCGATCCTTGGCCATTATGACGGATAATTAGGAGAGTCCGGGATGGGGATTAAAATGGTTCTAGGGAATCAACAACCTCAAGAATGGAAAATTTAGTTTGTTCGCAACCAAATCGCTTGCTAATAATTGTTCGAGTTCTCGATAATTTTTTGGAGCTTTGGTGATTGAACTGAAAATTCGGGAACTTAACCTTTTTTGTCTTAGGCCGGCCCAAGCCAACCCTGGATTAAAATGGTTGAAGTAGATAAAAACCGCAGAGGAGATGTACTCCGGTTCCGGCCGAGTGGTGTAGTTGGTTATCACGTTTCGTTAACACCGAAAAGGTCCTGAGTTCGAGTCTCAGCTTGGTCAGTTATCTTTTTGCCCGCTTTTCAGTGGGCTATTATTTTTGCTTTACTACGAAGGTCTACAAAGTGTACTAGACAGGCAGAATCGCAATCATATAATCTTTTGAAGTGTGGTCCGGGATCTCGCCCGGCCAGAACCAGAATGGAAGGGAAAAGACGGTTTCCGCGAGGTGCGTGTCATCAGCTCCGAGTGCACAATGGATGCTCTATGTTTGAAACCACTGTGCAAAAAGGCGACAATGGGAGGACAGCGAAAAACACCCCGTGTTGCTCCAAATTGAAAATCAAGACAGAAATAGATGGAGTATGATTGCTTTCTATTACTGTACAACGCAATCAAAAAGAATCTCCCCTTCACACTTTTCCTTTCTAAATAAAGTCTTATCTCATACGAACGTCCATTTACTCCTCAGAAACACCCTCGGCAAGGCGACCAGGCTTGGAGTTCAAGTATTCGTTTCTGGCATATACCGTCAGTGATATCCAGAACACGAGGCGATTTAAGTTTATAGGGCAATTCGCATACCTCTCAACAGCCCAGTTCATAGCAGCGTAGGCGAGAACGAATGGAGGAACGACATAGAGGAATTGGGCCTTGCATCGTCGCCATGTGTTGAAGATTGCGTTGTGCAGGGCGCCGGCGAGAGGGCGCTGGCGGTTGGCGGCGAGGGAATATGTGATAATTCCTCTCTGGGGGTGAGGGGTTCCTACAAGTTAAAGGACAAAGGTATGAGCCAAACTCGCGAGATCCTACTGCCCGAATTGTAGCGACATCGGTTCATCGGCGCTTGCTCCCGGAGAGGAACTGCAAGGTCGTGTATCTGGCGTGCGACGTACCGAAATTACCCCATCCTCCCATATACCTATCAGACATTAGAAACTGGGCATCATAGGCTGAAAGATTTGTAGTCTCCCCCTTCCCATCCTACATGCGTTTCCACAGGAACTTAGGGTTCAATAGGGAACAAAAATCACACAGGGTCACTCACACGCCGTTCTTTGGATCCGCGGAGGCACCACCCATGGCTACTATAGACGAGGAAACAGAGTGGAGGGACTATATTCAAGAAACGGGATCTTGGTTGCCAGAAGAGCAATCGGCGTCTCAAATGTGCTTGAGTCGCAAAAGAAATGGATGGCATGGGATTGGTCTGCTCGTGGTTGTTCGCTGACAACTCCAACAACATCCGACGCTAAACTAGATTGGGTTAAGGCCAAATTTGGCCCAGCCCGTTGTCCTCCAAAACCTCTAGTATCAAATCGCCAGCTTTTAGAGAAGCATTCAAAAGCCGAACAAGGCCACTTCGCTCACAGATACCCACAAACGCTATTCACAATGGCCACTCCACTAACCTTTGTCTACAAATATGCGATCCCGATTGCCTTCGGCGCGTCGTTCGTTCAGGCATCCATGTATGATGTCAAGGGCGGTACGAGAGCAGTCATCTTCGACAGATTAAGCGGTGTCCAAGATAAAGTCGTCAACGAGGGAACGCACTTCCTTGTCCCATGGCTGCAAAAGAGCATTATCTACGATGTGAGAACGAAGCCTCGAAATATCTCGACAACCACCGGAAGTAAGGATCTGCAAATGGTGAGCTTGACGCTCCGAGTGCTGCATCGTCCGGAGGTGCAGAAGCTGCCAAAGATCTACCAGGTATGAAAACAGATCCAGGGATCTTGATGTACCCATTTTCAATATATTTTCCTATACGAATTCGAGTTGACACTGGTGGTAGTCCCTCGGTCAAGACTACGACGAAAGAGTCCTCCCATCCATCGGCAACGAAGTCCTCAAATCTATTGTTGCCCAATTCGACGCTGCAGAACTCATCACTCAACGAGAAGCCGTTTCGAACCGGATACGTACCGATCTCATGCGCCGTGCACAAGAGTTCAACATCGCTCTCGAGGACGTCTCCATTACCCATATGACCTTTGGAAAGGAATTCACACGAGCCGTCGAACAGAAGCAAATTGCTCAGCAAGATGCTGAGAGAGCGCGTTTTATCGTCGAGAAGGCTGAGCAGGAGCGTCAGGCTAATGTTATCCGGGCTGAGGGTGAAGCTGAGAGTGCCGATATTATCAGCAAAGCTGTTGCCAAAGCGGGAGACGGTTTGATCCAGATCCGAAGAATTGAAGCTAGCCGAGAGATTGCACAGACGCTGGCTACCAACCCCAATGTGACATATATCCCTGGTAATGACGGCGGAAAGGAAGGAGGCAAGAACACCAGTCTCTTGCTTGGATTGAGATCTTAGGGCTATCTTGGCGGGAATTTTCAAAGCGTGTATCAAAATGGTTTATTACTTTTTTTTCATATTGTGTCTAAAATGTATTTATCCTTCTCCACTTTATGTCGAGGTGTAGGCAAATCTGGACTCTAAGGGTTACCAGGTACCATGTTAAGGTTAAGCATAATGGAATACCCGAAGCATGTAAAGAGCTTTCCATTTTTGTCGGCGTTATTCTGGTGCCTTGAGATGTCTATGCTTGTCCATATCTTGCTGGAGACTTACATTTACAATGTCTATTTAATCTTAAACTTCCAACATCTACTGCCAGGTGTGGAGTGCATTCCGAATCTGCACTCCATCAAACAGCTATATACTTGTTTATTTAGCAGGCATCTAGGATTGCTTGCACACTTTAAGGCTGAGAAACATGATATAATGTGACCTCCCAGAGGCACGTGCGACAACATGTTTAAGGCAATCTACCGGAGAACCAAGTTTCACATAGCAATCGGCAACCGCCATTTATTTGGGCTCTTGTGCATCCCTAGACTCGAATATTAAAAGTTTTAAAGCCCTAGAACATAAACATCAGTCCTTCGGTTCTTCTCCTTTTCCACCACCCAGGTTAGCAACAGACTCAAAGCATCAGAAAGATGGACGGTTTTGATTGGGATAAGGTAAGGCAGCGGCGATCTGCTGGCCTAACAAACGCTACGCAAGGTCATCAAAGCGAGGCCCATAAAGACAGGGAGGACGAGCAGGGAACCCTAGGTCCGCAAAGAAACCCACGAGAAAAGGGTGTCTGGGGACGGTCCAAACTTCCCAGGAGTACCCCGTCGCACAACCAGAGTGACTCTCAGAATCCCAAAACGACTAAACATGACAAGAAGAATTCACAGGCATCCATGCCTCAGTTTTACCCTAACAGGGCAGAGAATCGATACAGACAACCCATCAAGCAAGAGAGGGAAAGCACTGTTATCAGACTCACGGATTTTGTCTCATTGCAAGACGAAGACACAGCGTCCGCAAAAATAACTGACTGTGAATATGTAGGGTCATATAACTGGCTTGATGCACAGGAGCCAACAATATTGACACCAGGTACGATGAACCCCTTGAAGCAACAGCAAATATCACCCTGATCAATTTAATAGGGGCACCGCCGATTTGGACTCCAATACGCGGACATCACCAACTCAAGCGAGACAAGGGCCAGTATTTTCGGGATCAAAACTCCGCACGCTGGCCCAAACATCCTCTCGAACCGGCGATTCGTGCAGTGTTTGACCTCAACCCTAGGTTTAATCCCGAAGACATAGATATCGTTACTTGTGCTGGAACCATTGGGAACATCTATAAATTCGCCTCTTCGCTCGCATGGACGTTCAAATTCGACATGCAAAAGGTGGGAAACACCATCTTCATGGTCAGAAAGGAACGCAAGCCAGACGAAATTTTCGAGAATCTGTTAGGCTACGGCCATACCTTCCCTGAGGTCAACACAAGCTGGGACCGATCGGTTAAAGGATCCGTTTCCCACCAGCGAATTATTCGATACAAATTTAGCGGCCTCAATCTGCTAGTCCGGTACGAGGCAGACGGCTACTTCCCTGACAAGGTCCATAAGCAAGATGAACCTTTCGAAGTTATTGGACGCGACGCAAAAGCAGCCGATATCGACACTCTTATCGGAGGTATAGAAAACCACGACGTAGCAGAGAAGAAAGTGGCTGAGAGCGGCACTCTTCACATTCGTCAGGCCGGGTTTATTGTACCACAAGATTCTTTGTTTGATATCAAGACCCGTAACCAAGGCAATGAGATCGATTTGCCCGTCCAACATCCTCGCCTATGGGTGCGTCAAATGAAAAACTTCATCATAGCCTACCATAAAAATGGATTGTTTGGCACAAAGACCCAAATTCACGATATTTCCACCGACATAGAAACATGGGAGCAGGATAACAGTGTAACGACATCCCTTGTGGGAGCGGTCCTGAAAAGATTGATCGCAGAAGCCACCAAATCGGAATCTGGCAAGCTCGAGATATCGCGAAATCGGAATGGTCCCCTTATCGTTCAGGCTCAGGACGGCGGCCCAAGAGAAGTTCTTCCTGCAGATCTCAAGGACAGATGGGGAGGAAACGGTCGAGATGGTGAGGAAGAAGAGGTGCTCTGTAGTGACGAGGAGTGGGACCTTGTTGCACCAGAAGGACGAGATCTTTTGTTAGATCATTAGAAGGCTGCAATTCTCACTTTAGCTCTTCTTTGTCTTAGCTCTTTCGATGTAACCCAAAGGCGCTGTTAGAGGAGATAACGACGCAATGAAGAGGTGAAGTCAGGATATCAGCGACTTCTTAGCACACGTACTCTTTTTTCTTTTTTTTTTTTTTTTTGGGCGGGAGAGGAGAGGCTGAATTTGGCCGCGAAGGGGACGACACGGAGAGAATTAGTAAACGAATCCATGGACTTCTAGTAAAGCTGTATCCCCATCATTCGATTTCTTTCCTCGGGCCCCTTTTGAATGTGAGTGTTGTTTTGTAACCGGTGACCATTGCCTATGAACGGGCCGAATGACCCATTTCCTCCTGACTAGCTTAGGGACCACGGTTGAAAAAAATTCGACGGAGGAGATCGTCGAGAGAGAAGCTTCCCGACCAATATGATCAGAGGCGCTTGACTAAGAAGACGGAACCTGAAGTATCGGAATCCGGTCTATAATGCCACCGATGTACAGTACATACTTCTAAGGCAAATAAGCCAATGGTCTCCCGCACCTAGTTCCTCTATATCCTGCGATAAACATGGATCTGATATCTCATATCCTCCAGCCTAATGCCCTCACCAACGTGATACATCAGAGCATCCCTATCCCGACGAAACCACCGTGACTCATCAGACAACACACACTCCCATTTCTCCTGGGCGACGGAGAGCAACGTGTGCGCGAGGAGGAAGCGCATGGGGTATTTCCTCTGAGACGACGGACTTGTTTCGTCAGGATCCGGTGCTTCTTGAGGCGAGCTGGCTTTCGAGCCTAGGGAGACAGTCGAGTAGCTCCCAGGGCTGTCGACGATGAGGAGTATGGATCCGGGTTTAAGCACGTCTGTCAGGCGAAGAAGGAAGGAGACTGTTTTGGGTATCGATGTGGAGAACAGCTCGTTGAGGGTGAACATAAGAGTCACGAGAGTGGTCCCCAATGCTGTCTCAGGTCTTGAAGCAGCAGGGTACAGGAGATTCCTGATATCGTCCTCAGAAAGACTCAAAACATCCTGCTTCCTAAACCCCACGGAAGAAGGCCCACTTCCACCGTCCTCTTCTGCAGGCAGAAGAGGCGCCGGGCACAATTTGGGAGACGGCACGGACTTCGATCTCATACCAGCCTCCAGACGCTCAACAACACCAGACCAGTCCGCAATATCAACCGCCGTAACCCTCAGCCCGGCCACACCAAAACTCAAATTCTCACAATCCCCAACATCCCCCAACTCCAATCCAGAAAACCGCTCACTCAACCTACCCTCTCTCCACTCCTCCCACAATGCCCTCCAAACCCCAGCCAGGGCCATGATCTCTGCTCCCGCTCCACCACCCACACACAACACCTCCACACCGCCCGCCTCCGCAAAAAGAAGCTCCTTCAGCCCCCAAAACACTGCAGCATACCCCAACGCCCTCCCAGCACTCCATCTCAGCGCATACGCCCTCAACGCATCCCCATCCGCCTCAGTAAACGCCTTCACAAAGTCCCTGCGGTACAGATGGGCCTTGATAGCCTGGATCTGCTCCGCCAAGGACAGAGAGGGAGTCTGGGCCTCAGGGCAGCTTAGTTGCTCTGCGGGGAGCAGGGTGGTTTTAAAGACGTTTAGGATGAGTTGCTGGAGGGGAATTGGCAATGAGGTGCCGGATGAATCCGCTTTGGGGGGCGTAGGTGCCTCTTCTGCGACCCTCTTAGGTTTGGTTTTGTTTGACTTTGGTTTGCCACCGGGCTTGGTGGTGTTGCGCTTCCCCTTTCCCCTACATTGCTGCTGTGGCAGACTCATGTCCCAGATCAATTAGTATTATTTTATAAATATTCCACCGTCTTGCCGGCTTGGTCTCTTCTAGCATTCGTCTGATGGGCCGATGGCCGGTCTGGGTCGGGGACAAAAAAGCCACATACTTTTCCGTGGCCAGAAGGTTACGGATTATTTATTTTCCTGAATTGTTGGGACGGGAAGCTTTCTTGGTTCCCTTTTTAAGTAACCACTCAGGAAGGGCAGACGGAAAAGCCATCTTTGCTCAGGAACTGAAAAAGCCCATCAATCTCTCTGATCTTCTCTAACAGCTAATGCTGACTCTCACATACATACGTACTCAGACATGCATACAACGCATAAATACTCCGACCTTCGGAAAGTATTGATTCGCAACATCCTAAACCTCCACTTCGTCACACTGTACGTAGTCGCAAATGGAATCCAGGGTTGGGAAAATGAAAAAGGAGGGTACTTTCATAAGAACAAGAATGAAAGATGAAGAGAGTACAAGGATAAGAAAAAAGACGTCTCTTCAAACAAAGAACACAGAACTAGGTCTGACAGCAAACAACCGGGAAACAAAGTCGTAGAGAGGGTAGGGCGAGATATTCGTACTCATGGATATCTTGAATGAATTTGGAGCCGCGAATAGACGAGGCACGAAAGGAACATCCTCCGCTGGAAAAACACCACTAGCATGAACTGCATTGGATAAGAGGGCTTGAAACGAGTGTGACGAAGAAAACCTTCAAGCAGGAAAACGATCGAAGTCCCGGAAAAAAAAAAAAAAAAGAAAAAAAAAAAAAAAAAAAAGGAACGCGCCGAAACAAAATTTAAAACAGTGGCCCGAAGAAACTCCCTTGGCTCCGGGGGGGGGGAGGAAATTGAAAGTAAGAACAAACACTTGGAGCCATCAATGTCGAACCTTTGAAGATCATAGAATGTGTTCGCTTCCCAAGGAGAGCGAACGAAACGCGATGAACAATATTTTAAGAAATGCACCGTAACAACGCTAGCAACGAGATATAATGCGCGACTGGGGCCGCGGAAAGCGGAAGATTAAAGAGGTAGGTGATTTCATAGTGTAACCGAACAGAGACAGGGGTAGAGCCAATTTTCATCCATAAAGTTGATTTCCCCATATATACGCCCAACAAATAAGCCCACCCAAGGATATCGAAAAGATCGCCTGATTCACCGTGACTGTGTCGAAAACAAAAATATTTTTATGGCTTTGTCTCGTCTTGCTTCCCCTTCTCCTTGCTCTTCCAGAAATGCATAAGGCGACTAATTCGGTTACCCCTCTTTTTCTTCTTCTTGTCTGCATCGTCAGAGGGAGCTTTCTGTTCGTAACTAAGCTTGCTCCTTTCCGCTGATGCCACACCAACTAGTTTTGAGAGGCTGACGAGACTCGATCGCTTGGTGGTGTGGGATGAGCTGGGTCTCGGACGATGCAAGGCAGAAAAAGAAGATGAGCGATCCCCGGTACCCTTGGCATAGAATCCGGCTGACAACCGTGGAAGCGTTCCGGTCATTGTTGATGCACTGCTTGTCAATGATGGAACATCTTCAACTGAATTGTGGAAGCATTCACTTCCAGGCTCACCACTATAGACAGAGTTGAACGTTTGTCTATCGGTGATCGAAGATGGCGTCCCGAGACGAGGAGGGTCGAACGATGTTGTGGATGGATCAGGGGAGGGGCACGCCGCGTCGGTGATGGTTTTACCAGGCTGAAATTTCTGAGGAGTGCTCGAGATAGTATTGGAAGAGTCAAGGGATGTGGATAGATGTTTCTCATGATGAGCCACCGGTGGAGATGATGGATTCGATGACTGCTCTATTTCCACAGTTTTCTTTGGGGATACATCCATCTGGGAGCTACGAGGAAGGCCAGAAACATCCCAGTCCGGAGTGCAGGGTGTCCCGGCAACCGTTGTGCTTGGGCAGCTATCAACAGTCTGAGGAGTTGTAGCGTTTGAGGACAGTAGTTCATCGGCGATGTCAACGATCTGTATTCCTAGTCCAGAGGTATTTTTTGATGCCTCATATTTGATTGTAGACGCAGAATCGTGTTTAACCGACGGATCTGCAGTATCTGCAACAGATTCCTGGGGGGATTTCGACTGGGTTGGTGTATCGGCTTGTTGGGGGTTGTTGTTTTCTGCAAGGAACTCGTCCTCTTCCTTCTCGTCAAATACATCAGGGTTAAGCATTGCCGCTGTGCTATAGCGACTGAGGCCAAGTCCAGTTCGATCAAATGGTTGCATTACGGGTGCACTTTCTGCACGACGATGATACCGCATTTCCGGACCAACAAACTCCCCTCTTCTACCGCCACTATACATCCGTTTAGTCGCTGCAGAAAACCCGCTAACTGGACGTTCGGGGCCCATCTCTGGGGTATTGAATGGACCCAAAGCCGCGTCCAAATCGATAACGGGACTAAACATATCCAGATCCCTTGCTTGATCATAGAAACTTTGAGGTTTCCATGAGGTGTCTAGGCTGAGGGTATCCTCAGTCAAGGCAGCAGGCAAGGAACGGCGAGGTGCATTAGGATCTGTTGGTGTGCGGATTACAATCGTGTTGTCTTCGTCAAAATCAACTCCGTATAAGGAGCTCATTGCAGAGTTTGTTCGAGTCAGCATCGGTGGTGGCGTAGGAGCTTTTCTAGACGGGGGTCTCTTAGTTCCTCTCTTCTTGGCTTTTCTGGTAAGGATACCAGCCCATGAGCGCATTTTCTTTTGCTTCTTGTTTTGTTTCCGGCTGGATAGTGCTCGCTGAGGGGTTGATGGTATTTCTTCGGAAAGCACCGAATTGCACAACGGATGTCGAGAAGTAGGCTTGGCTTGTGGCAACTTGGGTAGGGACTCTAGAGCTTCAGTCGAAAGAGTTATGGAAGCCGAAGCAGTGCGTGGCCGCTCTGTCATGTCATCTTTTGAGCCACTGAAGGTATTGCTCAAATCGTGCTTTGCTCCCGCAGTTTTCGGTCGGTTGGTGAGGTCGCCGGGTGGAGTTATGGTTCCAGACGCAGCTGCTGTACTATCTGATCGAGGATGCTTCGGACGAACGGCAGGTGTGCTGTCTTCTGACGGAGCGATGTAAAGACGACGCCCTTCAGGCGAAGTTTCTGCGGACTCTGATTTCAAGCCTGGTGATGATTTCAGACGATCATCAGATTTACGAGGAGTAAGTGGTGGAGTATAGGTGACATTCACATTCGTATGAGAATGCGGGCTTATATTCGTAGTGTCTTCATGTCCAAAAGGGTGCTTTTTCGTATCGACGGGAGTGGACGGAGCGCTTCCATTCACTGGTTTCGGCGGGAATGCTTTCGAAATTGCTGTTAGATCCACGCTCGAGATGGCTGCTGACCTACGATGAGCATGGCCACGCCGACCTGGCCCACGGGCGCTAAGCCCTGGTCCAGGATTGGGTAGAGCAGCAGTAGACGGAGGAAGAACAGTGAAGTTTTCTCCGCCATTCTGTTCACCGTCTCGGTCTTGATATCCACCAGAGTGTTGCGGACCGGTCGTTATCGGTGCCGAAGCAGGGCCAGACTCCGGGGCCTGAGGGAAGGAGAACGCAGGGAGAGGAGGCGGTATTTTCTTGTGTGGAAAGGAGTGTCGAGGTTGCATCTCCTGTGGGGTGAAGTTGAATGGAGAACTGAGAGAAGCATCAGCTGCCGAGCTCCTTCGTCCCTCATAAGTGTTCTGCGGCCCGCCCGACTGGATCCAGTGTGGTTCCGGGGAGGCAAAAGACATGGAAGCCATAGTGATGGAAAAAGCTTGGGTATCCGGCCGGATATCCCTTTTGTGACAGAAAACTAACGAGTCTGGAATCGAGAGGCGTCGACAATACCGAAGGAAAGCGACACCGGATCCAAGGAACCCATCAAACGTATCGACCTCGACTCATTGGAGACCCAATCGTAGACAACCAGAGCAAGCGTCGACGGCGGGTGAAAGCTGCAAACGAACAGGGAATTCTTTGACTATGCTCAATCAGTAAAAAGATATCTGCTGCGGTGTGCAATGACGACAGGCGGCGCGAACGGCAAGTGGACACAAAGGGACGTCGTTAATGGTAAGGAACGGACGGCCACAAGATGGGCCAAGTTGTTGATGGAGAGTGCGATGAGAGAGTGAGTGAGAGTGAAAGAGAGGATGAGAGAAGATGGTGGTGGTGAGAGAGGGAGGGAGAGAGGGAGGGAGGGAGGGAGGGGACGAGGAGGAGGAGGAGGCGGAGGGGGCAGGGAGATGAAGGGTCTGGGGAGAGAGAGGGTGTGTGAGAGAAAAGAGCGGAAGGTGAATAATCACACTCAAAACGAGCGAGGGAAGGGGAGACTCGTGGACGGACCCAAGAGAGATTTATCACCCAGATGGGCCGTTTTGGGGGGGGAAAAAGTGAGAGAGGGAAGTGGTTGTTGGGTTTCGATACTTGGCACCACCCAATGGAGGAGGAAGGGGAGGGATTAGCCGCCGCTGATTGGTCCACACAGCTGCACACCTGCATTAGTCAGGCAGGGTACATCGAGATGTAGTCCCCAAAGCGGCTAAGCGCTCGGAGGGAAACAAACTAATTGATCGTTAGTGTGATCAAGCCTCCCCTTGTAAGGATACCGGGGCAAAACATTCAGGTACCCGAAGCCTGGGGTGGTGATTGGCCCCGTGTGGCGGACCTGGTGATCCTCTTACAACGTGTTACCGACAAACCCAGCCTCAAAGCCGGCGGTGGATCTGTCCTCCCAGGCACCTGACAGCCATGCCTGTTACTGTAGGGAGCATGGATATGAATGTATCAATTTCGACGGCGATAATCACGGGCGGTACTCCGAAGACGGTATTTTCACCAGTCGGCTTCAAAATCAGATTTCAATCTGAGCATTCTTCAGCCGATGAGCCTCCCCAGCATTTGTGTGTCTGTGTTGTATGTATGTATGTATGTATGTACGTGTGAAGGTGTGGATTGTCCTCCCGGATGTCCGCCCAGGCACCGTCGGCTCTCAACGAAGCCATCCTCGCCAAAATTGGCTCTCCCGACCTCTCAAAACAGAGGTCATGAGACCATCCTCCAATAATTGAGCTGGCCTTATTGCGCCATTGTGTGGGATTTTCCCCCGTCAAAAATGTTTCCAGGTGCCTGACCCGTCCAATCACGAATTTCCAAAAAACGCTGCTCGTATTCGCTCGGTAATGGCTGATTGCCATGATCATAATCTTACTGCGATTTAATTACGCCCGCCCCACCCAACCTCCACCGTTTCTCGGCTGTCCCGTGCGTGTATCGAAACGCCCAATGAGCTCCGTGCCCTGATGCCTCCCATGCCTGCTGAAATTACGATTGCTTGTCTCCCAACACGCGTTTCGTAATTATTCCTTTATCATCAGGTCCTCCCTCCCTCCCTCTCTCTCCCCCTTCTGCCGTTCTGGATGGAAATCTTGTTTTGGGCGGCGATGTTTCTCCTTGCAGCCAATTCCACCTCCCAAGGCTGAGACACAACACGCAGACAAACGTCTCACAGACCGTTCTGTGTGGTTCCCCAACACCTGAGACCTTGTTCCATCCAGAAGCTGTTGTGTGGCAGCCTCTCGCTGGCCATCTGGCACAGAAATCGAGAGAGGGAAATCAACTGGGGTCCGTGAAACAGAACTAATAATGGGCAAATGCGCTTCGCATGGCATAGCCGCCGCTCCCGTCGTCATTCAAAAAAAAAAGAGATCATTTAGTCGGACTTTCCCGCAGACCGGCCGCTTCAGTCATGTAGATCGTATGGAGCCGACGCGGCTGACGAAAGCCACACACTTTTCATGAAACTAGGCCCGGAGTTGCTCCATGAAGGAGTTTCCATACGGAGAAACGGAGCCCGGAATCACGAAGACTATCGATTTTCTCAATTGTCATCGTCAGCATTACGAGAACCAACAAAGACGCTGCCTGGGAATGAGACATTCCGTCCAGAGAAGGATCCTCAAAACTCTGTAAGACTGCTTTCGTTGCAATACGACATCACCGTTGTTCTGTTTTGCAAGAGGTGAGAGCTTGAGTTAGCGCTTGACACCGTGGCATGCGCAACCTGATCCTAGCACAGCGCCAATATTCGGGATTGGCATCCCTTTTTGTGCAGTCTCTTGAACATGACGCGGGAACCGGCCCATGCACGGTAGATCCATCATCCCTGAAGTTTCCATCTCAGAGATCACTTAAAGCAAATATCTGCACAGCCCCGGCGATTAAAGACGTGGAGTCAGATCGGCTCGCTCCATCCAAAGTGGAATAGTGAAGAGATGGCCCCCTTGATCCTTCAGGAGAGCCACGTTCTGCTTTCATTGCATCCGCCCTGAACATAATCTCCCTCTCTCTCCATCATTGAAGAAAGTCCTGGTTTAATTGCAGGCAATAATTTTGTCAAGCTTGCTTTCAGCTGGTCAAGCAGAAATAAGCTTCCCTTGCCACCGGAAAAGCGCTCCCTCATCCTTGGAGAAATAGATCCATGAACACCGGACAAGGCATCAGTGTTTAGAAAGCCGACAATTGGCTGGCCCCAATACTGTTCATTTGGTCCATAATCCCTGTCATATCGACGAGGTCACCCAGCATGAAGAAAAGCAGCGCACGTTGTGCAACATATCTTCAACGCAGTGTACCACAAACAACTGCCTGTCCCTGACAGGATTTTGGTACATCCCCTTGAACAAAGAATATGTGGAATAACCAATGATGTGGAAATGTACGATAAAAAGTACACCTGCCCAAAAATTTTTGCAGAAAATCTCAGAAATGGACTAACAGCGGCCAAGCAAGGAATGGTCCCAGGAGACCTTTTTTTCCCCTTTGCTGATTTAGAAAAGTGAACTTTGCTCACAGCCAAGAGGCGCTCGCATTATGACGGGAGCGGCTTGAATCGAAGCCTGGTTCATCAACATGACCCAATCGGCAGCGAGTTCCGGCTTGCTAGCGAGTTCGCAGAGCGACCAGCCGCGCGCAAACCCTGTGCTCGAGCCCAATTGACTCTCAAGAGAACCAACTCTCGACACCGCCAGTTCTCGAGGGCTCGGGGTGCACATGACAACCCCCGTCAGCCAAGTCAGTCCTTCACAAGTTTCGCCCTGAAACCCGTGCGACTTGGAGGGAGGAAAAATGGAAAAAATTCTGCCTGTGTACCATGATTCCTCGGAGCGGCCCTGTTCCTAGATTCGGTTGTTGCCGATAACTACTGCGTAGATTTTTCTTTTTCTGTCTCCCAGGTCATTGTGACTCTGTGCAAGTTTCAACAAGCGCGAAGATTGCTGAACCCAAAATTGTCAAAGTGTGCATACAGTATGCAGATACGACATGCAGATATCCCCTTGTGCTGTCAACAGGACCGTCACAGTCCTACCCCCACACTCAACGTCTAGCAAACTATGACGTATTGGGGTTCCCAACTTCACATTGTTTGTCTTCCCTCCGTATTTGCAGTTATATCAACTCGACTATTGTCCCGTCCGAGGAGATTGTGAAACCTGCTGTTCGGCACATCCGAGCAACTTGAGTCAGTGGGACAACATTCGCTTCATGCAAATTCATGTCCACATCTCCAAATTGGAGCTTGTGCAGCGGATGAAATTCTATGGCGATTGATTATAATTATTCTCAATACTCATGGACGGAGGATGGAATAGCGTCCCAAGTGTTTGGTTCGCAACGCCTACAAGGATTAGCCACTCCTATGGAGCACTGGAATGTTGGGCTATAAGGCTGTGATGTTGTTTCTCTGGAACACTTCGGTGTTTCATACATCCGTATATATGTGCCTATATATAAATGTCCAATGACATGCATTTTACCCTCAAAACATCCTTATAATCAAACTGTGAAAGGAGGACTCCCTGAAGGTGGTGTGCATCGGTCAGTAGCCTTTTTGTGTATGTGTGCTTGAGATTTGAAACTCTCCGGCCTAATACTGTACAGTACATATTTCGTCTCGCGGTCTGTGTGCCACTGAGACGCCGAAGGCGCGACATATTCTTGACATCCTCAACAGTGAAACGGGGCTCAAGGCGTACGTGTCAGGAAACACATGGCATATTCAAATTACTTCCTTCGATATCAAAAGCCGGATACACAGCAGAGAGCCATTGACTCAAAGCCATGGGCCCATGATAGATAACAAACAAGACGGTACATTTTGCATCCTGATCATGTTCTCAAAAGCTACTCAATGCGCTATCGCTACCGCTAACCGAAATACCCGAGCCAAATAATAATGGGGACACAAAAAAAAAAAAAAAGGCAGCCGAGTAATAGCAAAACCAAAGGATTGTTGTACAAATTAAATGGTCGTGGCCGTTGACATCACGGGTGTACAGAACAGCGACGGAACTAAGCATGTTGCCCTCCCAAACAAAAAAACAAAAGTAAAATTAGAAGAGAAGAAGCCCTCGCCGCCCAAACGCCTTAAAAACAAAAGCAAAAAAAAAAAAAAAAAAAAAAAAAAAAAAAGAAAAAAAGTTACAATTTGCCCGAGCCCGAAATTAAAGGAAGATAACTACACAAGAAGTAAAGCTGTCGAAAGGCCTTTTTTGGATCACGATTCAATCGCCCCCGGTGCAATAGCCAAAATAACCACCAAGCTACTAACCATCAAAGCACCGGCTATGAAAGCAATAACAGCCACACTGCCGCGACTAGCAGGGAATTTTCCGCGAACCACCCAGTACTGACCCTGGAAGTATCTATGGAATCCGATAACTAGGACGATGATGGCCACACCGATGAACGTAGCGCCGAGAGGCTTTCCCAAGCTGCGAAGCCGCCGGCTCTCTTCCACCAAACCGATTGAGTTGTAGTCGTTAGCTTGGTACTCGTCCGATATAACGGGCGGAGGAAAGTGGGAGCTTATGGAGGAGGCGGAGGCAGGGGCCGGTGTCTGTTGTTGGATGGATGTATTAAGACGAAATAGCTGTGTGATAGCTATTCCGATGGAGGCGAAGGCGAGAGATGTACGGAGCCAGGCGAGAAACGTTCGTTCTAGGAGAGAGAAGATCAATGATGGTGGTCAATAACAAGACTGTCTGTGAGGATGTCGCGTACCGAGGGCGAGATGGTCTCTCGCCACGCTGCCCTTGTTGTCCAGTTCTAGACTCCCGTACTTGTCCAAGACCCGTTTATACCACGGGTGGCCATCGCCGAAAGTGCAGTGGCTGTCCATTGAACCGCTCGGAGATTTAGTTCGATGTGCCTGAGATCGCTGTTGGTTGTCGGTTTGCTGGTCGTTCGGGTCGGATGGGTAGGCGGTTACATTGTCGGTTGACTGATAATGTCTCGGAGTCGTCCCCGCAATGATTGGGGCTCGTTCGTGAAGTGGGGAACGCCGTGGAGAGGAGGTGGACGAGAAGCCGCTTGACGAGGACCTGCTGCTGTTGCCCTGCAGCGGCTTTCGGGGATGGGATAGTGTCTCTATACTGCTGTAGCTATCCGTCGACCGGCGGGGGTTACTGTCAGCATTATTATCGTAGGTATTGGCTATGGAGGTTAACACCGGGTTGAGGGGCATGACTCTAATGCGGTGTTATTTCTCGCCTCCCCTGCCGGAACCAAGGTACCACCGGATGCTTGTGTTCCTTTCGCGAACTTCAGAGGCGGACCAAACACCAGTTCCGGGAATCACACATAACTTGGTCTGCTCGAGGGTGAAACCAATCAACCAGGGCGTTGAAGTGCGAATATGGCATGCACTCTCTCTCTCTCGTGCAAAAAAGAAAACGGAGAAAGAAACCCTGTGATTGAATCGAGGATGTTCAGCTGCCCGTGACCAGTGAGCGGCCGGTCAGCGGAGCCACCGAGCTGCCCTTAGCGCTTGGCGAAGATCCTAAAAACATGTGACCCGCCTTCATTCCCGCACACAGCGGCACCTGATTGGCTGAGCCACCGGAACCAAATGATCGGTACGGGGCCCGTGCGCCACATCATTGCAAGCCGCCAGCCCAGATTGGTAAGTTTGCCGTGTTTGCACACTTGACAAGCCTGCTCCTGCCGTTTGCTGTCGCGTGTGACGATACTTGCCGTTTTTGGTCTGACATCACTTTCAACGGCTGTCGCTCAGAGCAAACGCGGAGTACAATATAAGTTAATGGGGACGAGTGTTGGTATTTGAAAAGATCTTGGAGGAGAGTCCACTGCCTGACCATGAACATTTGTATCCCTTTGCTGTCAATGAACCTTGATCTTTACCAAAATATCAGACCAGCCAACGCAGCACTTCCCACCATCACATTCGCTGAGGACCCTCCTGGCCCTATTTTCAAGGAGAATTGCGGGAGAAATTGCAAAAAGATTCTGCAAAGAGCCGTGGCTCCGTGACCGCAGTGATAATGGAGACGACTTCAGGGACAAAAGCGATCCGAGTCGTGAAAATCATGACAGCCGTTTCCGCGAGGGCACGGATTGTTATAATGGAGAGTTCACCGGTGAGCTTTGCGTCTCCTTTGGCTGTAAGGGCGGAGACCGCTTCGACAGCCGATGTGTCGGCCCTGGATGCCCAATTTTACTTGCCCAGGGGACGACTCCAAGAGTGAACGCTGTGTTAGCCGAAAATATAGCTAAAGTGCCGGATGCAGCAGGAAAAGCTGCAGGCTCGAGAGCAAATGCATAGGCCTTGAATATATTTCCTTTCGGTGTGTGGGAATTCACTGCAAGCCTCGCAAAACGCCCGAGTTGCTCAGGCGAGTGGCAGTGCATAGGATCCCTCTGCAATATCTTTCCTTGTTACGGGGATGAACTGTGGGAATGGCGCGTGCCCTGGATCCGGCTATCCGTTAGGTAGAGATTGGTGTGATAACGCCTAGATAGCACCCGGTTGCACCGAAATGATTAGCAAGTATAGACCTGCTAAAGTAACAACTTACTCATTTCAACTTCGAGCAACATATGATCCAAGATAACAGCTTGTCCTGCGCAACGACAGTAGTAACGACAACATATTCCCTCGATAAAATCAAATCGATTCGCCCATCCCCTGATATAAGTGAAGTGGATAAATGGACGCTGCTGAGGCCTCCGGCATAAAAGAAGGCGTCGTGAAGAACCAGAGTGAACCAAAGCAAGGCTTACTTGTAACCTCGATTTCTACTATCACCCCCCCCCCCCCCCCCCCGCCCCAAGGCCAAGGAAAACAAAGAATCCGAAGCCAACGCCGATTGAGAAATCATATTCATGCAGGGACTCTATTGTGTGCAAAATTCGGCGCTCAAACTTGGATCAGGTAAAGGCATTCTTAGAAGAGAACAATTTATACGGGTATGGCAACTCCTCATCCCATTGGCAGCCCACAGCCCACTAACCCATTGGTGTAGAAACACCACGCAGAGCAATGGTTGTGGAGAAACTCGCTATGCAGCCCCTGAGCGGTTCGGATCCGGCTGTGGCGTAGTGGTCCGGGGCCTTGGGGGAAGTGCCAGTATACAGAGTACGGAGTACAGGGAACTAAATAGCTGCGTAAGTATGGGCCATCTGCGTTAGAAACTCCACCGTGGGAAATCCGGAGAAGATAACGGTTAATTTTGGTTTGTTTCTGCATGCAGCGCTATGGGTCTCATTTAGGTGCATTGCGGTATGCAATTTTTGAGGCATTATCCTCGTAGGCTTCGTACGTAACGTACGGAATACATAAAATATTGAGCATCTCTATAATCTATAAAATGGGCAATGGGATGAATTCAGTCGGTATAAGCCATCAGCGATTTTGTTTCTCGAATATCTTCTGTGGGGGTTGCGTTGAGGTGGGATTAGCTGGGGATCGGCACGAGCCACGTGGTCCCGGGCCTAACCATATTTAGACTAGCTTCGGGCCCATATCAAGGTCCTCGTGGCTCGAGCTTATTGTCGCGACAACTCTGTGAAGCAATCCGTCAGCCATCAATAATAGAACACACAAAGGTGTCTTCGCTATGGCATCTCTACCTCTGCCCTCATCGACTTCTCACAAGCCGACGGCTTCATTAGACTTGTCAAAGAAGCTGTCGAGCTTGCGAACAAACCGGCGGAACCCATCTGCTCTATCTTCCCAAGCAGCAGCGCCCCCCACGCCACAGCTTCCAGATCGACCAACCCTCACCCAACATCAGTTTATTCGTCCGGTGCCTCGTATCCTTTCTCCGCAGGACCTCGAAACATTCCTCTCCTCTCCGGCACATAGTCTGATTATAGCTTTTGTTTTCAATGTGTCCGACAGTGTTCGACAGCAGTCAGTATCATCCCTTGTTCAGCTACCAGTGTCGGAAACGATACGAAAGGTTCTATCGATACTTTCAGCCATAGAGGAGCTGATTGATAAGCATCCCTCCCTTGATCAAAATGGTTCGCGGTTTGGAAACCCAGCATTTCGTGATCTATTTGATGATATTGCGGCACACAGTGTGCAGTGGCACAAAGATATCCTCGGGCTCGACGATCCAGCGGCGATCGAAGAGGTGTCAACATACTTAATACACTCACTAGGCTCACGATCTCGCCTCGATTTTGGATCTGGTCATGAGTTGAATTTCATGATGTGGCTGCTTTGTCTATACCTGTTTGGAATGCTGGACAGGAACGACTTTCCCGTCATTGTTTGCCATGTCTTTATCCGCTATATGAAACTTATGCGTCACGTGCAGACGACCTATTATCTAGAACCTGCCGGATCGCACGGGGTATGGGGTCTAGATGATTATCATTTTATCCCATTCCTCTTTGGCGCCGCTCAGCTAACCGGACATCCCTACATTACTCCTCTGGCCATCCACAACAACGTCGTCTTGGACGAAGAAGGAGACAATTGGATTTATCTAGACCAGGTCCGATGGGTGGACAGTGTCAAGACAGTCAAAGGATTGCGCTGGCACAGCCCAATGCTAGATGACATATCTGGTGCTAAGAACTGGTATAAGGTCGAAGCCGGTATGAAGAAAATGTTTGTCAAAGAAGTCCTCGGCAAATTACCGATCATGCAGCACTTCTTATTCGGAAGCTTAATACCTGCTTTGCCAGAAATGGGTGAGCGAAACGAGAAGGCAGAGCAGCCCGACCCCGGCAGCGGTCACCCCCATGGCCATGCCCATTCCCACCAAAACGATTTCTGGGGTGATTGCTGTGGCATAAAGGTTCCTAGTGCAGTAGCCGCAGGGGAAGAAATGCGGAAAAGGCAAGGAGGAACAGGGTTACGGCCAATCCCATTTGATTAATATCGGGAGGACGGAAAATACTACCACTTTACTAATATGACTTTGAAGGCATGGGATGTTTACCTTATGATTTTAACTAGGCATCGCCGATAAAAAAAATATGGGAAATGGGGTCCATTTGCAACAAATCCTCCGTAAAGAAGTTAATTACCAGCCTTATAGTATAGTTTAGAATATGTACGCCGTATCCGCCCCTTAAACGCCAGATCCTTAACATGCACCACCAAGATCAGAAAACGAAACCAAAGCAGAATATTTGCACTGCCAATGTTATCCGGGTCCGATTCTCGGCCTGTTTGGCAAAGAATAGTTAGCATACCGCATCATGCAAGGTAGCACGTTCCACTACCATCCCCTTCTGCAGACGATCCCGAAGGAAAAAGAATGGCCGAAATACGTACATGTCGTGATGTTCGCTCAACTTGCTCAAATACTTATTCAACTCCTCCACGCGCTCTTTGTGTGTCTTCGCTCCTTCTCGTTTTAGCCGCTCATTTAACTGTTGACAAGGTGCAATCAACAACCAGCCCGCCAAAAGCCCAGGACTCCTGGATCGGATCGGTCAGGAAACACGTACCCTCTTTCTCCTTGCCTCTTCATATCTTCTCTCCGCCTCAGTTTTTGTGTCTTCCACCGCCCGGTCAGCATCAGCACTTGGATCTACAACGCTCCTGCCCTCGCTTTGAGCCTCACGCTCATCGACGGAGTCCTCTCGTCCTTTGGCATCGGAAGATTCCTTGCTTTTGTCCAGTGCACGTTCATTGTCTTTGCTTCTCTTTTTCTTCTTTTTCTTGTCAATCCGACCGTCTTGAACCCCTTTCAGCTTCAGGCGACCACCGCCGCCACCCGGTATTGTGTATTCATTGGCTGGCGCCATCGTTACTGTGATGATGCGCCATATAATGTGGCAACCCGCCAGCGCAGGTTGAAGTAGAACTGTCCCCGAAATAGATTATATAAGCATAATCCACGGTTAACTAACTAACCTAACTTAGTTAGTTATATGCCAAGCCTGGACATCCGCCCAAGGCCTCAAGCCGACGATGATCAATATCGTTGCGCTACGATGCTCGCAAGAGTTATTGAAGGCGCTGGCTAGCATTTTGTACATCAATCTTATTCACAGTTTCCTTTCCTTAACATTTTCGATCCATACAGACAAGCAGCTATTCCCAACTCGACACCTCAGCTCATGCCCGAATGTTCAATCACTCCAAACTCCTTCCAGCACCGTGTCCTTGCACGAGCTTAGAATATGTTGGACTCCGGCTCGAGCCAATGCAGCTTATACTGATCCCAATTGATATCCATGTATTCAATACCCTGGGCCCAGTCCTTTACGGTTCGACCTAGGCAATCCACCACACCTGCATCCGCCCCACGGCTGAGCAAAAGTGTGATCAGGCTCTTTCTAAGGCTCCAATCTTCTTGAAATGCTGGCGTTGTTACCACATTGGTCAATGCTGTGGCTCCAAAACTGTCCTTGATGTTTGGGTTTAGCCCGCGGGCCAAGAGACACCACATCATGGTATAGGGTTTCCGCGATCCAACTGCCCAATGCAGTGCAGTCGATTGGTCAGGCCCGACGATATGGGCGCCATAATCGAGGAGAGTGTTTACTACTGGGACTCCCACAGCCCAGGAGATTGCTCTTTGAAGTGCTGTCTGGTTGTCTGTTGTGATTACATTTACATCTGCGCCATTCGCAAGCAAATATCGACATTTAATTTCGTCCTTTGATGCGACTGCGTTTATCAAAGGGGTCCAGCCATCTGTTCTTCGTGCATTTATATCAACTCCAAGCTGAACAAGTTTGTCGATAATTTCCAGGTTGATTTCAAATGTGTTGTTGGCTGCAGCATGAAGTGCTGTCTCGTCATCCAAATCCTTCGCAAATGGATCGGCGCCCCAATTTAGCAACAGCTCTGTGATTGGGGGGCTAGAGTATCGTGCAGCCATGTGCAACGGAGTGGAGAGCTTAAGATCAGTTGCGCGAACATCAGCTCCCCATTCCAGTAGAGTTTTGATCACATCCATGTCGTTGCTTATTGTGGCGTAAAACAAGGCTGTCTGCCCAAAGTCATCCGCCATGTTTACATATGCTCTTCTTTCTAGAAGCAATCTGACTGCCCCTGCCGAACCAGTTGCTGAAGCTGCAACTTGGAGTGGGGTGGTGCTCGGATGTGACCGCTGTCCATAAGCATCAGCTCCTCCAAAGCTCCAATTTTGAATTTGTGTTCTGGCGTCAGGCGAACGGCGTTGATGGTTGGGATCCGCTCCAGCATCAAGTAGCATTGACATTATCGTGCTCTGGTATGCGCGATACGTTTCATCAAACCTGAGGATGAACGGAATTACATTGCTTTCTGCCCAATGCCTCGAATCAACAGTTGAGAGGAGGGCGTTGCTCAACACATTTGTATCTTCGATCCCGTCCTTTAGAAGTGCCCATGTCGCCTCAACTCGCCATTCCCTTGCCGCATTAATGAGAGCAAAGTCCTTGTCTAACGGGCTGTCCCTTGATTTACTCCATTTCAAGAGCAGTTCAATTATAGCCACATTGCCCAGTTCAGCTGCAATTTCGATTGTTCGACGGTCGGTTACGGCAGGGTCCGCGTCCGCGTCTAGAAGAACTTGAACGATATCGGCGCGTCCGAGGTTGACGGCAACGGTGAGAGCTGGAATCGACAACTCTCCATATTTGTCGGGAGCGCGACTGTGGACGAACGCGCCATAATCTAACAAAAGCTCGATCATATCGAGATCCCCGTTTCTGATAGCTGCATGGATCGGTGCTCCGTTGGTATTCTTGTTGATCATGTCAATGTGTTCACCCGAAGGGAATGCTCTTGAGTCAAGAAGTTTTTGCGCGGCAGCTGCATTCCCCTTCAAGACAGCAGCATGCAGAGGCAACACATCCAGCTCAAGCTCCCAGGTTTTTTCATAGCAGGCCGGCTTGAAGCTGTCGCAGAAATAGTTTGACCAAGTGGAGGACCCTTCGGACATTTCTGAGTGAGCGTCCCTATCTTCCATTTTCTCGACGCGAAAAGGGGGATAGAAACCAAGTGGTTCAAATATATGAGTTCAAACAATGTAGCTCAACAAAGGAGAGAAGGACATGAGGATAGGAGATTTTTCCCCTCCATAGGGTTCTTCTATCATGCATGTTGTGATTTTTTTTTAAAAAACAAAGCAACTCCAACACAGCAATTGTACTGTTACTGTGCGAATGTATGGAAAGCTCCGTCTGATACCATGCTCACGTGAGATGAATACAGGCCATCCCCCAGGTGGCACTTGAGAATCTTCTGGTGTAGCTTTGAAGCGTACTGGAGAGGCTATCAGAGTGAACAATTTTTCTCTTCCATTGCGTTGACAAGCTTACAGCCAGTTCTTGGAAGCTCAAGCTGAATCTTTGTTGGAATAGGCATTGTCTCCCCCCTTATCCAGGAGAAGGGACTCTTGCAAGAGCTAGAAGCTTCTGATCGAGCATGGAAAGCAGGCTCGAAAGGCTTTCCTTAGATCTAGAGGAATAAACAAAAGGGTATCTGGCGAGCAGACAGACACTGGCGGCCAACATCATGCCTTATTTTGACCACGGGAAAATCCAAGTAGACATTGCCTCAGTCTTCGAGGCTCCAGTTTCATCCTCAAGAGTGATAAGAAGCCGATTCCATATGCCTTCTAAAGATTCCCCCAGCCCGAAATTCTACCAGGTGTTGCAACGAGCCAAGATCCGGGAATAGAGTGAATATTATCCCGGTTTATGCGGGAAGGCCCAATAATGACCCTTCCTACAGCTGCATGACGATCACCAAGTCGTACAGAAATGCTATGGACTTGGGAACCTGACATTTGCAATTATGTATGCACTCCTCTGCTGGCATAGTAATTCTGACTGCTTTTGGTTCTGATGTGTTCCATATACGCTGTTTCGCTCTGTGCTGTACACAATGCATATCTGTCTGGATGGTTGTGATTCAGACCAGTTATTCTCTGGGGAGTTCTAGCAGGTCTGTGTGCTGAGCACGACAAAACCACAGCCGTGTGGCAATTTGTACTTTGCCTGGTCTAAAGTGCATGTGGTTTTATCTACGTGGACTGAGTTGAGTGGGCTTGCATTAATTTGAGAACTTCCAGATGTTCAAGGACATGAATATCAACATATACATGCGGAGTACAGAGAACATGTTCTTGCGAATCATGAACTTGAGTGTCCAGAATTTACGAGGAAAAAAGTGTAAAATCTTTAAGTTCACCTGTTAAGAGTCTGAGAACTGGAAGCCGCTGGGCACTTCCTCTTTCTAACAGGGGAAACGCGAAAGCAGTCCTGGTATGCAGGGATCTGCTCTTCACATATAGAACACCATATTCACACCCACTCACTCAAGCAAAGAGAGAATGGACTAAAAAAAAAAAAAAAAAAAAAACAAACCTTCCACACCATGCTGAAGTTGCAGTAAAGAATAGGTCAAGAAACAAACCACCGGGAATGAATGAATTACATCTCATTCCAAAAAGCAGAAGCCCCAAGTCTCTACCCAAACATCCGAATGAAAAGAAGAATACCAGCTAAAATGCCAAAACAAAACCAGCATATCTCAGAAATCACATCCAAGTAGAAGGGAAGCCTATATATTCAAAAAAAAAAAGAAACCAGATAGCAAGTAGCTCCAGTGTCCACCGAGATTAGACCCCCTTAACCACCGTCGTCCGCTCCGCGTTTAACCGTTCCGCATTACGTGCGTGCGATTCTTTTTTGCAGTCTTCTAGTCCGCTGCATGAATGTGATTCGAGCATACGGTGCTTGCTGCAGAAATGGCCTTTGCAAAAGCTGCAGTCGCCGACGATGCGCTGGGCGAAGTCTTTGCAGTCCTTGAAGGTACAGCGTGGCTTGCGGGATGGGGCCATGGTTGTCGTATATAGCGAAACGAGACCGCGAACAGAGGGGGGTAGAGAGAGGAAAGAATAAGAGAGCTTGTTATTTAGTCGGTAGGACGAACGTAAGCTGGAACGTCGGGCGGACAACGGAAAATTAAAGGGGGGAGACACTCGTCAGGACGTGGGATGGGAAGAAGTCGTCGAGCTGATAGGTGAAAGTAGGCAACAGACAGAAAACGACTTCTAAACGGTACAGAGTGAGCTTGTTTGTTCTTCACAATTGCAAACGTGTTGAGTAGCCAAATTTGCCATGATCTTCCCAGGAGTGACTCACCTTCGGCTGGAGCTTATTGCTGTCGAAACGCTTTGGCAAAGGACCCTCTCTAGAGTTATGGGGACGCAGGGGTGTTCTTAATGTTTGGTAGGGAGGCGAATGAAAAAAAAATTCAGACAATGCAGGACGGGAAGAGGCGGTGAAAGCGTGTCGATGAATCGGTTTGGTGGAGGCGGTTGACGTGTTAGGGGCGGGTTTGGTGCTGTATGCAGTGGGAATGGGAGTGCGGACGGGGGCAGAAAGGACGGTAGGGTCGAGATAACGAGGTACCGCGATATTTAACTAGTTAGTTGACAGAGCAGTTGAATTGAGAGGAGGAAGGCCGAGTGTGGAGGAAGTGCTGGGTATTTAAAGCCTTCCGCCTGACCTCCGGGTCGGCCAAGTATTCAAAAGTTAGCTTGCTTGTTAGTGAGCTGGAGCGATATGTAGCTCGGCGAATCTGGGGGCAAATTGGAGCCTCTTGTTTCATGGTTTGCGTGATCCAGTGAGGCGCTTTCGGGGCAGAATGGCAAGGCCTCAAAGGTACTTTGACCGGGGGGTATTAATAATTTCCACTGCCTCAGCAATTCGGCTGGAACCTTCCAGCACCCTGGATGCGCTGGAGTACCGCTTCAAGGGTCTATGTACCCCGGAGTATTGTATCCGCCGGGTTGATCGTAAAGTATACAGGGAGTTACCGTGATGACGTTGATATACTTGTCGAGTGACCTTCGATGTCTCCAGCGGCAACAGTTGGGTATCGATGAGGACGAGAACTTTGAACCATGGTCACGACATCCCATCACGAAAATGCCAAGTTGCAAAGATTGTCATCTGAAACTGACAGTCGAGACTCGTGATTAATTAACTACTTCGTTAGCCACCGGGACCTTGACCGGAACCCCTTTTGTTAAACCTGGTCGGCACATCGCGACCATGGTGAACGACACGTCGGTCGCTTTTCTCAGAGTCCAAGCTGGTCCAACTCCAATGGCGTGCTCCGTACGGAGTACACTAACATGATTCGACTCATGGGCGAAATTATGAGATCGAAGCAGCCAAAAGTGTCGATCCCTCCAGTGTTATTGGCGTTTCATCTCCCGAAAGCCGGGCCCTGATATTCCACAGAGATGTCATTTGGTCTGCACGGTGCAAACTCCATATTAAGATTATCGAAAGCACCCCTGGAAGAGAGTAAACCAGCCGGTGTTATTCGGTACAAGGCCGCCTACGGCTATCTGTCGACCTATACTTCTGAGTTCTGAAGCCTGTGCCCAACCTCTTCCGAATTATCGCCCTGTTGAGTTTTGATTTCTCCCGTCTGGCCAGAATCTCAATAATCTTTCGGAATGAGATCCGCTCTTTCAAGTTCTGCACAAAGTTTCGCTCGCCAGCTTATTTACATGAATGGTTCCTGGGTGGAGATAGTCGAGAACAGCCACCAAAACAGGGGACCAAGAGGCTTCAGGGACGAGACCATTTTGGCCTTCAGCGAAACGGCTTTCTTCGAGAATACCCATCGGCGCTACGTAGAACGGCTAACATGCAGTAGCAGCTCAGTAGGATCAAGGTAGGATTTTCCTTAAAGAATTCTAAAATTCACACAGGCAAGAGCTAGTTACGTAGTTTTCGGTTATTGTATACGGAGTACATTGCGGGCTCCAAATCCTTTATGCCGCGATCGGAACCCAGGCCCATACCAGTCGAGATCCGCGCTTAAAAGACTCTCTAAGGACACACTTGAATGTTGATAGCATTTTATTCTGGTTCCATTGTCTCCCAATGCACCACAGTTCGCGTTTCATCTGCTTTTAGAATAGTAACCCCAAACTTGCTGGTTAGAACCTCCTGGACTGTTGTTATCTGTCACTTTTCATCATAGTTATATCTCGGCTATGGTGACTGCCTGCAGGATTTAATGAAATATCAAAGGTTATAGCTATAGTGAGCTATTTTGCAGCAATTAGGAATTCACCCGGGGTGAATACATGGGTATCACTTTAAAAATTGGGCATATGCCAGAGCCTTTTGTCGGTATTTGCTGATGTCTGCCAGCCTTTGAGTTATTCGGGTGTATGCTTGTACCCGCCATATTGTCTTATTTTGTTATTTATTGCTTCCTTGAACCGGGAGTGGCGTTCGACTTACTTATGCCATCGAATTTCATGTTGCACGGAGTAACCCCATGGCCACTAGTTCTGTGTTGACGACCGTGGCATGCAATAGGGATCATCCGTTTGTGGTTCCCGTGATGCAAGGACAGCTGGGTCTAGAAGACCCATGCGGCTGCGTTTCTCATCTGAAATCGCCTGTGCTTCAGCGCGCCTTTCAATGTCTGCTAGCACATGTAGGGCAGACTTCGCAGTCTCAATAAGTTCCTCTTTTGAAAGCAGCAGTGTCTTCTCGTCATTGCGTCCCTCCATCATGGCAGCGTCGGTAGTATAGCAATGCGACTAGGATCTAGGGGCTTGCTTGATCTTTGACAGAGTAGCAGTGATCAGATAGACTCCTCAGCAGATCTTTCAGAGTGCACTACTTTCTGCTCTCGGATCATGCCAGGATGTCTGAGGACCTTTGTACAACTCGAACAATAGATGAGCCGCACCAGGGTCCGAAGACATCAGAGTGACGTTGTCCCCTCCAAATAGTGAGTCACTTGGCCTGAACTCGGACCCAGCTTTATAACAGAGGATCATACTGACAGCTCGTCTTACAGTTGCTTTTACCAGCATTGGCAGAAGAGGTAGCAGCAATAGCGTGGGCGAGTGGTTGATGATACCAATGCTTGTGTTTTCTTGCTGGGGCCGAGCATCCGACGGTTGAGGAGTTCCATAAACGATCCCAATTCTTCCTAAGAATATCATCATAGGGTTAAAGGCATATATATGACTCAAGACTAACTCTAAATCCTTTCATATTCCTCTCAAGTAGCTTCTATCATCCTATATTAAGCAGTATAAGCATTGATGGAGCCGCCATGTCATTTCAATTTATGGTTCATAGGCACGAGGGCCACGGGGGCCGGGAATGTGAGTTCCCAGCGCTTCTCTATCTGGAGGAGTTCGAACCATGTGCATACCCTAAATCATTCCTTCTGCACTGCTGCCCTGCCAGAGTTAAAAGGTGACATTGCACTCCACGGTTCGGGATCTCTGAAGAGCCGTGAGTCGTCCCGGCCCGGCAAAATGAAAAGCTGAATAACAGACTTTAGCTCGGAGTCATACTTAATGCGGTATAGCGCTGCGCTAAAGCTCTTTACCCTTTGGCGAAATGCTTAGTCATTTAGATGGTGTAATCACCAAGGTGTGATTGGTCAATTTAGCTGACATAAACCGGATTTGCCCGAAGTACGTTCCCGAGGTGTTGATCTCAAACGTCAAACTTGAAGTCGAATAGCGAATTGTGTGCTTCTTCAGCCCTGGTCTAGAAAGAACTGCGCTATTGCTGTGTGCATTGTGAGCCACTACATAGCTCCCAATTCGCAAGAAACATCGCTGACAACCTCGCTGTTCTTGTGACTGTCAAGGGGCTAAGCTTCAAACACTCACCATGGCCTCCCTTCGATCAACCTCTTCCCTCCTTCGCGCCGCCCGCCCTCTCTTCCGCCCTGCCGCCTTCTCTCGCACATATGCTACTGTCGAGTCCAAGTCCCCAGAGACCAGCAACCCAGCTTCTTCGCCGGAAGCCAAGAATAAAACTTTCCACATTTACAGATGGGATCCCGACCGACCTTCGGAAAAGCCGCGCATGCAAACGTATACCATTGACTTGAACAAAACCGGACCCATGATGTTGGATGCTCTTATTAGAATCAAGAACGAGGTCGACCCAACTTTGACTTTCCGAAGAAGCTGCAGAGAAGGTATTTGTGGTAGCTGTGCAATGAACATTGATGGTGTCAACACTTTGGCTTGCCTGTGTAAGGGGTCCTTGGCTTTCCTCAACAAGCGCTCTAGCCATAAACCAGGTTGCTGATATGCGATGAATTAGGCCGTATCCCCACGGACGCCGCCAAGGAGAGCAGGATCTATCCTCTTCCTCATACCTATGTTGTCAAAGACCTTGTTCCCGATATGACACATTTTTACAAGCAATACAAGTCCATTAAGCCTTATCTCCAGCGTGAGACCAAATCTCCTGACGTGTGTCTCTCTTACTCCTAGTCGCATTCCAGAGGAGGCCGCTAATTTAAACGAAATTTGCAGGGCAAGGAAATCCGTCAATCTCCGGCCGACCGTAAGAAGCTCGATGGCCTCTACGAGTGTATCCTCTGCGCTTGTTGTTCGACCTCCTGCCCATCTTACTGGTGGAACAGCGAAGAATACCTTGGTCCTGCTATCCTCCTTCAGTCCTACAGATGGCTTGTCGACTCCCGTGACGAGAAGACTGCAGAACGCCGTGCTGCTCTTGACAACAGCATGAGTGTCTATAGATGCCACACCATCATGAACTGCACGAGAACCTGTCCTAAGGGATTGAACCCTGGCAAGGCTATTGCCGAGATTAAGAAGCAGTTGGCATTCGCGTAATTGGGGGAACTTGTTAAGTGTATTATCTCTTTTGTTTTGAGTTTCAATCTATTATCATCGTACGGAGAGCCTGCATTTTATTTGTTTTGGATTATCCTTCTGTTCCTTCCGTCTCACTTTCCGATACATAGAGACGTGATGAAAGGGGAGCCGAGGGCTCGATTGCCCCAAGGGAAGCACATTCACTCGGAGAGTGGGTCTGTGAACGCGGCCCAAAAAGAACCTTTTGTTGCAATCGCTTGCCGTTCTGCCCACTGTACATATATGGTGATTGATTTCGCAAAATGTGGAAATGGATGAATCTAAAAGACCTGGAACAACCTATTATGGTTCTGTTCGCTTTCCGATGCTTCATTTTTCGTCCATCATAAATTCAGCCTTTCCTGTGGAATCAATCATATCCATGATCTTCTCGACTGCAGCCTGCATGGCATTTGTGACCTCCTCATGCAGCCTTGTAATAGGCAAACTCCCTGCTTTCTCCCTCATCACTTTCACATACTCATTATTCACGGCCCTATTAACATTAACCTTAGCCACCCCGCGCTCAATACACTTCTCAAAGATCTCCTTCGTAAATGGGTCAGCGCCGTGCAACACAAGTCCCACCCGTTCCCCCACCGCCTCATTAATCCTCTGCAACCGCTCATAATCCAGCTGCACGCCCCTCGGCCCATAATTGCCGTGAACATTCCCAAACGCCGGAGCCAACCAGTTAATCCCCGTCGCCACAAACTCCTCGCTCTCCTCCGGGGTCGTCAAGACACCTTCCAAATCCACCGTATCCTGCACGCCATCCTCTCCGCCTTCGATTCTTCCCGGCTCCGCCTCCGTCGCGATCCCACGAGCATTGCAATATGCCACCAGCTCACGCGTCAGTCGCAGATTCTCCTCCTTGGAGAAATGGCTCATGTCAACCATGATACTATCGAAGCCCGGTTCGTGGGTTTCCGATCGCGACAGGTCTGCGGCCCGCTTGATAATTTCTGGGTCTTGGGCGTGGTCTAGGTGTAGTGTGATGGGCACGCTGGCTGCTCGACATGCAGATGCGGCGGTGCGGACGAGGAGTGAGTCGGCATACTGGATGGCCCACGGGAAGAGAAGGATCATGGCTGGGGAGCGTTTGTGTTCGGCAGCACGGATGATGGCTAGGATGCCTTCAAGGTTGTAGACGCATATTGCGGGGATGGCGAAGGAGTGGGTACGTGCGAACGTAAGGAGAGGAAGGGCACGGTTGGATTTGAGAGATGGGTGAGGCATGCTGGGCGATGATTTTAGTGTAGGAGTATAGGCTCAGCTAGAATTAGGATGTACAAGCAGTGAGTCTTAGGAGTGAAACGGAGGCAGGTCGAAAGTGACCATTGGTGGATTTCGTCGTGCTGGAGGTCATGACCTTGAACAAGCGTGATGTGAGATCGGCTATATGGACTTATCTGAGGGGTAAATAAGTTGAACCGGAATTAACAATCATTCTTGCTTCTCCTCTATACTGAGTCTGTAGAACCATCTGAAGAGTTGTATTCCTGTTTTCTTCGCGGCCACAACGTTTCAGAATGGTAGAATTTGTGTTTGAGAACCCCAGCGGGATTGTGTAGATGGTGTTGCGTTGTCGCTTGATGCATTTCATGCTATGACGTATGCACGTACGGAGTAGACTGACCCCAAAATGATACCTATATTGTACTGCGTAGGTATCCTTTTTCTAGCCGTGGAAGTCGTGCCCGTTGCTTCAAGATATAAGGCTAGTACTCCGTATATCTATGCAATACACAACAGAATAGATTGTTCTGCCTTCTACGGAATAGTTAGGTCAGAATTTGACAATTTCTATCAATTTCTCCGGGAATCCCGAGGCAGTTCCTTGGTTAGCTCTTCGCTTAGCGACTTGCCAATTTTTCAGAAATAAACATGTAGCCGAGAAAGCCTAGAATACTTTCATCGAATTCTACGCGGATAATCGGAGATCGCCAATATTGGACGAATCTGTGCCCCCAAGCAAAGCAATGCAATGCATCCCTCATGGTCTTTCAAGAGACTTGGGGAGCAATCACCACTCTATTCTCCAAGATGTCTTTCTAGGTGGGCATTTGTGGACATACAAATCTCAAACCCCTATAAGTTTTGTTGTCCACAAACAATATCCAATCTGTCATACTAGCGCTCATACCGTTTTATCGACCATTAGAACCCTGCTGACAGAAAAATAGCCATAGAGAAAGAACACATCACTGACATTTCGGCGAGAGAAGAGGCTATATTTCACAGCACAAACGCAACTCATCTGCTTTCTGTCTTTCTTTTTTTTTTTTTACTTTTGCAGGCCCTAATCTTGACAGGGCAGCCTAGAATTCAAAAAGGTTGTAGAAACCGGGTGAATGGTGCCGGAGTGAACTTGCTCTCGCCTCATAGCGCCACTATTTAATCAGTACGTGCTCTTTATATATTGAGAAAAACATGAAGTTTCAAACTTCCAGCGGCAAATTTTGTTGCGTTGACTAGCCACTGCTGAGCGTATATTCGGTCCCTTCGAGTAAATGGTGGGATAGGATTCTTTTTTCAACTCGTTTCGTGGCTTTCGCAGTAGCTACCCCCTTTGTCACTCGGGAAGGCTTCGGTTTTCCTCGTCTTCCATAGCTTCCATAGTTAGCATGCTGGTCTGGGCTTCGCTTGGCTGAAGACAGGGCTCCTGTAAAAGAGTTAGCTATATGACCATAGTGAAGCCGACACCACCCTCTTAGCAATTGACCCGGTGCGTGACTCCAATCGTGATGTGATCACAAAAGGCTGAGATAGCTCGAAGATGTCGATGTTTGAGAGCTTCGTCAATGCATCCCGCACTAGCATCAGCAGCGGATCGCTTTTGGCGGGAAGCATAACTTGGCTTCTCTTGGCGCTTACATGAGGGTGCTTTCATTGGCGCCGCCGCCCAGCCCATCCGCACATCGGTGGGATGACGTGCAAAATGTCACCTGCAGCGAGCTCGCAGCGCGCGCCTAGCCCGATCTGGCTAGCGGTCATAAAAAACAGCTCGCAACCCCACCTCATCCATGAACCGCAACGTCGCCCGTTGATCAATTGAAAAGCGATGGCTGTGGAGTCCTACTCATGCCGCCCGAACCGAACCGGAATCGAATGGCGTGAAGGCAAAGACTTCAAGAAAAAGCGCGCATAGAAAGAGGAACTACGGAGTAGTTGCAGGCTTGAAATGAGTATGCGGATGCTACTCCCGGCCGAGCGTAGTTCTCCTCGGAGGAGCATATTGAGTGCAGCATCTGGATGGCTGGGAAGCCACAGCCGGCCACCGTCGGAAGGACATAACTAAGACAGAGACGCCAGCTTACATCATGCGGAGAACTGCATGCTGATTGCGATTGTCTCTTTTCGTACGTTTCCGCTCTGCATGCAACATGGCTCCGATGGGAGATGGAAAGGTGCCAGAATATTTCTTCTTTCGTCAAGTGGGCACTCATATTCCACTTTTATTTTTCTGGGTGCCAATATTAGAATATAAGTGGCGGCTAAACTTCAATTCATCAAAGGAAGCAGGTCATTCCGAGAAATCGCCATTTTTCTCGCTGTGATATGATTACTGGGAAGTTCATTATTATTGAGCCGCGGGCGTCAAAACTTTGGTGTAATTTTCATGTCACCAAAATTACCGTAATGTTCATTATCTTGCCGAAACATACATAACGCAAATCATGCGTGCACGAACATCACACACCTAGAATGCTGTTCTTGATCCAGATGCGGCTGTCTAACCTTTTAATTGCTTTTTTTTTTTTTACCCCTCAATTTATAGCAGAATGGAGAGACAACACCTAGCCAGTGTCTACAACAGCCCTGCTTTGCTGATACCTCTGTGATCTCGACGTTGTATGCTTCGGGTTGGTCGGCAGCGCTTGGGGAGTAGGAAAGTTTTGCGAGAATTCGATCGGACGGGAAATGGCAATACAATAATACGCCGGCGATTACCAGTACCTGACGACAGCCAAGCAAAATAGCTTTTGGGGACCCAAGCTCGTCCCTTGCTCTCGATCTTTTCTTCTCCAGCCTCTTCTCCTCTTCTTCTCTTCCACTCGCACGTCAGTTCGTCGCATCCTCATCGCTGTCTTTGACTCGTCCTACACCCAGCCTTCGACTTCCTCTCCACTCTTGAATCGACTCGATTCAATCGCTGCGTCCTTGTCAAACGAGATCTCATCTCGCTGCGCTGCACCGGTGTAAGTCTGTTCCTCCGCCCCAATCCGCCCTTGGCGTTTCTCCTCGGATATCGCTCCCACGAACGTTCAAGATTTTTTCCTCGACCGGACACAAACGTCTCCTCAGCTACTATTCTCAATTGAATTCATATTTTCCCCTATAGTTCTGTTGTTGAAGCTCTGTGGCCGCTGATAGCACTATAGCCGTCGCCCAGGAAGTCGACAGGTCCGTCTCTGACCGCCTTTTCATCGCATATCTGGTAAGCCGTCGACTTGTCCTTCTGCTAAGTAAAGCGCATCTCTTGATTTCCACCCCTTTTTTTGTGGTGATTCTCGCCCGCGCTCATAGAAAAGCGAAACAGGAACTATTCCATACTGATCTATACGTTGCCTAGCCAGCCTCGTTTCATCACATCTCACAATGGCCGCCATCAGCGCCTTGATCTCCCGCGATGAGATTTTTCATCAATTGGCAAAGCGTGACAACTTCGCCAGCAGGAACGCCGGTGTTATCGTCGTCTTCTGCATCGTCTTCATCGTCGCCGTCGGCCTCCTTGGACTTTTCATCCACCGCAAATGGCTGGCTCGCCGTGCTGCCCGCACCGGTGGTTAAATTGCCACATCTAGTGGTTCTGCTTGTGGGAAGGGGAGAGAGATGCAGGAATTCGTAGAGAGAGATTGGTGTGGAGTTGTCGATGTGATGCTGCGAAGGAACGGAGAATGGTTGACAAATGCTGCAGAGAAAGGATCGCTTTGCTGACGATTCTTTCTACCCATTGCCATCGCCGATTCTTTTTTTTAATTATATACCCAGGAAGCTGTTTTGACAAGTTCGTTCCCGAAGTACGCCCGGCTGCGTTCGAAAATCGAAATACCATTTATCGCAATATTTAGACGGGAAATAATATATACAATGTGGGTCTTTCATGGCATTTGTCTTTATTGAAGCTTCATACCATGGTGAACGCATCCGTGTTGGAACTCTTTTCCCAGCCCTCTGCTATCTGATCTAATTCGCGAAAGTGACACTCGCAGAACTGCGGCTGGTGTTCTCAATGGGAAAGCTCTTAAACAGTTGGGTAAATTGTGTATAGTTCCTTTAGCCGTCTTTTCTTTTGTGTCAGATATTTATTTGTGTTACGCCCGAAGTTACCATTGCTTTTGTTGGAGTCAGGATCGTGGAATACCTATTGCTTGCCTATTAGATCGGGAATCATCACAATAACTTCAACAAAAGAAAAGTTCACTTTTTTTTCACTACTCCTCAAATCATGCGATTGTCATATTAGACATTCAGACGCAACGGGGCTCCAAAATGGACTCCCATTCGAAATAATCGTAGATCGACTGCGCCCCGGACCCACTTGGAATTCACATCTCTTCAAATATACGGAGTATGGAGTACGGAGTACATAAAAGCCATTTGAGCTAAGACAGCCTTTTATTTCACCTCGCGTCATTGAATGCAAGCCACGGACTTATCCTCAATAAGCCTGGGTGGACACCCCACAGGTAAATACATTACCATATGGATAAAACAAGATGATATACTGGAGGCGTTGAGCTACGTTGCTCCTCACGCCCCTTACGCTTCTTCTTCTGTATCATCCGCCGCAAGCATTCCAGGTTGGTGCGCCCTCGTCCCATGTTCTCTACTTCTCTGAACTACGCGTGGTATTTGCCAAGGTATTTGGCGTGGAGACCCGCAATAAGAATTTGATGCACTCTAGCTCCGATCATCGTTCACGAATCCGTAGGTAGTACGGAGTACACACTGTGGTTTCCAGGCCTAAGTCTACCTTCCCAAAGGTCCTAGTCTCGGACTATGGTAATTGCGGCCTTTGGAATGAATTCGGGCTCAGAGAACGCTGTGAACTGTGCCATTTCAAGGCTATTGTTCCTTGTAGTGAACCAGCCAGTACGCACCCCCAGTAGTTAGGACCCTAATTGCATGTATAGTGGCATCCAATACTCTCACACATTGTGATAAAGGGAGTGGAAAAAATCACAGTACAATAGTTTCACATAATTTCGATAAGTGTTGAATTTCAGCAAACCCCTGGGTTCCTGTCGCATTAAGTGGTATGGGAATTATTAGCCTCAAATTAAGGAGAGTTGAATCTTGATATATCCCTGATAAAATGATAGGATGACTCTCAACAGATTCATATTAGATTTTCGTAAACCTGCCACGGCTGGCTGCTTGGAGGCCAAGCTAGGGAAATGGCTTGTCGCTGTTATATCAGATGTGGAGGGGATTAACGTGTCCGCTGATGCTAAGGCTTGAGTAAATACTGGCAATGCTCTGCAAGCTGTTGTAGCTAGTCAATGCAAACATGTTTGACATATAGATTAGCTACGCGAGCGAAGAAGCATTTGAAGGCCTCATGATGGAATTGAAAAATGGCGATCATAAGATCAAGCACAGGCAGGCTGACCCGGGAGAAGACAGGGAAATCCTCGTGACCAAGCAGCAACGTGATATGTGCGGGTGATAATCAACAAGCAGTGGATTGGAATGGCATGCTGCGACCAGAGAATGGATGTTGGAGTGCAAACCAGTAATTGTTCAAGAGACAGGGTGGTCGAGATGGCATGTACTTGGGAGCGGTGTTGTCGGGCCGGAAGAAGGGCGAGTCTGTGAGAAGTATCCCGATAGTGCAGATCAGGTTTAACATCCTCTTCTTGAGGGCCAAGGTTTCAAACCAGTTCATTTGAAAATCGAGAGCTATGTTTCTCCGATCATAGAAGATCTGGGTGACGATAGTGATCTTGAATTATGGCCCTGCTGATAAAATGTAGTGAGAAGAGGAATGAGGTTAAATCTGACATCCTGCAAGAGCTTGAACATAACGGGGGGGGAACGGCACAAGAGAATTTGAACTCTAGGTTGTACGCAGGTTCAGCTTTGGGTATGGAGTTTGGAGTTCTGTCGTTGTTGCTGTTGTTGACGGAGAAAACGGGGAGGATTCTGTTGCTGCTTTAGTTATACAGAGCGCGTGGAAAATGGCTCTCAAGGTGAGATGGTCCGAAATTCACTTAGTAGAGCTACAGGAAGTAGAGAAGTGTAGCGCAAGCATTGGGTATTCACTGGAGTCTGGAGAGCTTGAGGGAGGCCAGAGCAAACGAGGCAAACATCACAACAGAGCAAAACACCTTTTCCTTCGATCCGGCGCAAGATGTTACTTACACCAGGAAGTCAGCGATCCGTGGGGAGAATTTTTCTTAAAAAATGGAGCAGCCATATTTCCGAAAATTAGAGCCGGAATCGGAATTCCGTCATCCTAGTTATAATACACTCCAAGCTTTGACTGGGCGTCAGCGAAGATGTAGCTTCGTACCGTGCTTGTTGACATGACTTTTTCCAGCCTGGTCCAACTGTCGAATTGCTTTGCCCTGAGCTTTTCCTGCGATTAACTGGTTAGATATAACTGATATGCACCAGTTACTTCCCTGTGCGAAGCAGCACTGTTGACTGTCTCCACGAGGTCGGATCTAGCCTGCACTGGCCAGGGTTGTTTACCCGGGCGTGGTCTGATCCTTCAAAGTCAACTCGATGATTGATTCGATGAGAAATGCGCGAGCGCCCATGCCCCTCTGCCAAGCACTGCTTCAATGGCCAATTCTACGGAGTGGCTACGGGTGAGGAGAGGAAATGTTCAGCATGACTGTGACAAGGATCACGGCACCTCTTGTAATTTAAATCTGGGAAATGAGAGTTGCCCACATCAGTCATTCCTGGCTGGAACGATAGAGCTGTCAGCTTTCGAATTCCATGCACTCTCTATTCGGATATACCAGTGGCTCCTGATTGCGAATACCGCAGAGTATCCAATCCTCGATCCTCTAATACCCCTCACATCAGTACAAACAGTCACCTCACACGGAGCGTTACCTTCCCGAATTTATTTCTCTCCAGAACCCTAGAGTTGCTTCTCTCGCCATGCGCCTCGAACTACAACCCGTCACGGACACCGGCTTCGCCGAGGTGGTGGCCGGCATGTGGACATCTTTCGAAAATCCTTTTTCTGGCCTTCTGCGCGTTGTAGCACCGATATTAAACGATGACCGTGCGGCCAGCTTTGCAACCAATATACAGGTGCAGCTCGCGCAACATAAAGCGACGCAGCCAGAGAGCCACTGGATCAAAGTCGTCGATTTAGATGCGGGTGGTGAATTGGCGGGAGCGGCGCGATGGCTTGTGTATGAACGCGATCCTTTTAAGGAAGGCGAAGAGGTGGTGGCGGATTGGTGGCCGGAGGGCTCGATGGGGAGAGAGTTTGCGACGAAAACACTTCAGCAGCTGGATGCACCGAGGGGAAAGATGGCCAGAAGACCGCATTTATGTATGTTTTGGATACTTACGTGTCACCAGCCCTCCCCTGTTTTAATACGTTAAATTTCGCAAGCTTAAGAGAATACTATGTTTGCTGACTAAATATAGATCTAAATGTCGCATTCACCCTCCCTGCATATCGAAGACACGGGGTGGCCACAATGCTAGTTGACTGGGGCATCCAGAAGGCCGATTCGATGGGGCTGGAATGCTGGCTGGATGCGTCCGACTCCGGTCGACCGGTGTATGAGAAGAAAGGATTCATATACATTATGGATCAAGCCCTTGATCCTGACATGGACGAGAAGAAAATGTCGGCCGCTGAGAGGGAAGAATTGATGAGGTTGAGGGAAATGATGCCCCCGACTCATTTGAGCACTATGTGGAGGCCGAAGGGCGGAAAGTATAGCGAGGGAGCGACAGTGAAGCCGTGGGAAACGGCCTCCAATGAAGCATAAATTGGTATCATCCTGTCGTAGGGACCCCGTAGACAAGTTTAATTGCATTGGCGTTTTGATAAGAGCCTTGCCCCACTAGATATGTGGCACAAGCCGCGTTTGTGAAATGTCATTGTTCTCTACAGCCTTGCTTTTACATATCTAGTATGAAGAATATGCTATGGACTTGGGACCTGACCGCCATGGCGATGCGTAATCCTCCCCGTATCTGAGTGGTGATACTGACCAGCGAGGTCACAAAGGCTGCGGCAGTGTTGATACTATCTTGAAAAGGATATCTACATGGCCAAGTACGAGGTACAGAGGGGCGAGTGCGGCGCACAAAGTCCCTCATCGTTAACCAGCCCTAACCCTCGCCGTGGTAAATCATGGGGGCAAAGGATTCTTGACCGATCCGTCTACTTCCCGGCGCCACTGATCAGTAAAAAAAAAATTCATAATTTTACCTAGTTAATTTGCACAGCCGAATACCGAGGAATACACTCTGTTAAGTAGTTTATGGAGAAAAACAGGCTCGTCACTGAGTTCGCACGCCGATGTCCGTAACCCTCGCCGCTGGCTAACCCCAAGCGGCACTGCATCGGCGCAATGGACACCTTGCGATCACTCCAAACTGCAAGCTTGGTTAACTAGCGCTTGGGCTTTAACTACCATACAAAATAGAGTGCGGTCGACTAACAACCGGCTCCACGACACTGCATTCCGGCAGGTTTTCCACCCGAGCAAATACATAGGCGCTGGCGAGATTCCGCAACAGCAGCCATCGCATCCACAAATACCAACAAGGTGAGTATCGGGTCCTATGGAATTGATGGCGGATTCAGGTTCCACCCTCTTCTTGTATCTTGGAGCTAGAACTTCTAATTGAGCATAAATGAAATCAGATAAGACACCCGTTGTTGGTACTTCGTACGTGCGTTTCTTGATCCTGGGTAACTAGCTAACTATCGCACGAAAACGGTCTCAAGTTAGGACCCGAGCCTTCTAAAAATACCCAACTTCTTGAGCGGTATAAACTAGCCCGTAGCTAGGCATCATACGTTGATGCTATCACACTGATGGTTCTCCATTTGTCCCTGAGCCGGAGATGGACTCCGTAATCAAGGATCGGACGAAGGGTGATGCACCGTTTTAATGCTCGGGCCCGTTCGCAGAGATGTTTGTAACTAAGCCTGCACCTGTTAACCTTTTGGGGTTTAGCACCGCAGCCTAGCCAAGTCAACAGAATCAAGCCAGACAACGAGCGCGATTCTTCTTTTCCAGTTCTTCATGCATACCTTTTTCGACATTCGGAGTATTTCACCAGAGGTTCTGGTTCGTTCTCCTATTGGTTCGGGCTTTACCTCGTGTGTTGCTCATCTTCATGTTAATACTTCGCTTTTGGCGCGATGAAGAGAGCATGTTGATTGCAATCCTGCCCGCGGCGGCACCACCTTTTCTGACCGTGTTTCAGCCTAGCTGAGATTGTGATTTCTCTTGGCTGTGCATTGCAAAAAGCACAGCATCTCTACGTTTGTCACTTTTGCTTCGAGCAGGGCCCAGTTCGGACCATTTTCCAAGCTCAGAGGCCTGCGGCACGACCACGGTGGCCCTACGCCCCCGCATCCATGGACCGGGCCAACTGTTTCACACAGCCTCGCTCCCTGTTGAACAGGGACTGCCAGGATGAAATGCGAATAAGAGAAATCTTCTATATGTCGTTGGCCATCGGATTCGTTTTCGGGTTTTTGCTTCGGATACTTCGGGTTGTGGACCTCGAGAATCACCGCTGCCAAGGAAGGGTAAACATCATCGTGTCCCGACAGAGAAAATTCATCCAGCAAAGCTGCATCATGATTTGATAGCTGGTTGAGGTGATGATATCGCACGTACAAGCATTCCATAGTAACAACATCTACATGATTAAGTTAGGTGGGACAAAGCTGAATCCATATTGGACTATTTAACCTGCGCGATTTCTTTGCCTGTCCTTTGTTCAGTATATTTTGACTCCTGAACCATGTGCTGGAGCATTCTTTTACAAGCCGTTATAGTTTGGATTACTTGAGTCCCTTTCTTGCACCTGAATTCCCTTTTATTTGCCTTTCCGGCCTTCGACAAGGCTCTGCCTGTCTTGATATCCCCCTATTTTCTAAGGTCCGGCAAATTTGAATGTTCATATAGCTACATATATTTACCTAGATCTCGAGGGGACCCCGACATCTAACCGGCAAAATGGAGTCTTCCTGGGACTGTACTCTAGAAACCTGCCCGATTGAATATGCCGTGTTTGGCTACCGTCCGTCGCTTCCAGCAAATATCATTTTCACCGCTCTCTTCGGCCTCTGTGCGCTCACCCAGGTGGCTGAAATGGGCATATTTCGAAGCTATACGTTCTCCATACCTGTTATACTCGGCGGTATATGTGAAGTGGTGGGATACGTGGGGCGTATATTGCTCTACGATAATCCCTTTAGTCAGGATGCCTTTCTTATACAAATATGTTGCCTCACAATCGCACCTGCATTCTATTCAGCCGCGATATATTTCTGCATTGCGGATATTGTTAAACTGCTTGGGCCTGAAGCGTCCCGACTGAAGCCACACCACTACGCTTGGATATTCATACCATGCGACGTGATCAGTTTGATTCTACAGGGTGCCGGAGGAGGGATCGCCAGCGTAGCATCCCAAGAGAACGAAGACCCCACCACTGGGACGAATGTTATGGTCGCCGGGCTGGTATTTCAAGTCTTCAGCCTTCTCATGTTCATTCTTCTCACCTTGGAGTTCCTCTGGCGGGTTCGAAACAAGCGACCAAAGAGCATTAGCGACGAAAGTATTAAGGAGAAATCGTCATCGAGGCATCAGAAATTCCTGCTTTTTGGAATTCCGTTTGCTCTTGCTATCCTGTGCATCTTTATTCGATGCGCGTTCCGTGTCGCAGAATTGAGCAACGGCTGGACTGGCGAACTGATCAAACACGAAGATACCTTTATCGCGTTAGAAGGAGCGTAAGTTCTTTCACCTAAACCTGAATCCCTTCCGGACGACAACTGATATAGATATTCTCCAGGATGATTGCGGTTTCCGCGGTTGCGCTTAACATTTCACATCCAAAACTCCTTTCGTCCTAGGCGTCGTGTGTTGTTTGCGGGCTTGGAAAATTGGTTTTGTAGCTTTTGCGCTTGACTAGCATGAATGGAATTATGCATACCTGGAGAAAATATAATGAGATGCATCGGTACGAATTTCGAATAGTTTTTCATACGAAAATTCAAAAAGGATGGTAATAATGGCGTTATGGAATGCATGATCTGGACGCTCTAATAATTGCTGGCAATGGCGCTTTTTGTTTTATATATAGTTGGATGCTTATGCAGACACGATAACTTGCAAGGCCCGGACCTTGCTGACTCAGCCATAGCGTCACCTCGGGAAGGCCAGACAACTTCAGATGATGCGGAGACTTCTGAAAGAACAATGAAAACTGTGCCTATTACTCCATATCCGTGCATGCTGACAGTTTACCCCATAGGACATAAAGGAATTGTTTCCTGTCCACATGGTGGAATTAAGTTTTACGGAGCAGGATCGCGCGTGTCTGAATCCTTGTGGCCGTAGTTAAGCCCTTCTCCGTGTTGGCCGAACTGGAGCGTTCCATTCCTCTCAGTGAGCTTGTGTCCGAGTTCCCACAGCAGCCATGGCGACTCGACCAACATCGCGTCTATTTGTCCTGACCGGCATGGTTGTCTTTTTTATATTGACAATCACATTCTTCCGACAACCAGCTCCACTGAGCCCTAAACTTCGGGCTCCGGGCCACCTGGGCAAGTCCTTACCGAGCGTTGATGTATCAGACCGAATGTTGGAGGGGAATATAGTCATGCCCCAATTGGGCAATGCGACTGCTAAGTAAGGACTTTCTCGCGGCTCAATTAATCCTCGTCGCCGATGCTGCGGTTCGAACTCGAGGCTGATGGGAATCCCCCATTTTTTGTTTGCTTGCTAGAGCCGAACTTGGACGCGCATCTTGGAGATTGTTGCATACAATGATGGCTAGGTTTCCAGAAAGTCCGTCGAAAGAGGAGCAGGATGCGTTGCGATCATATATCTATCTATTTGCGAGGTTATATCCATGGTGTGTGGGGTTTTCCTTTTTACGGAGTACGAATAGTGATGGGCCCGATGCTGATGTTATTGACCGTTTCCAATCAGTGGTGAATGCGCCGAACATTTTCAGCAACACTTGAAAAAGTTCCCACCTCAGGTATCCTCTCGCAATGCTGCTGCCGGATGGGCGTGCCATGTCCACAATGAAGTCAACAAGATGTTGAAGAAAGACGAGTTTGATTGCACAAAGTTGGGAGATTTTTACGACTGTGGCTGTAGCGACAAGCATGAAGATGAAGGGAAGCCGAAGCAGAAAGGAGAAATACCAGCAGGTAGATTGAATCAATTGACGAACCTTGGACGGGAGTTTAACACTGACGCGCTGCTGCCAGTTGAAATCAGTGCTGAGCCGTAGGTGTACCCAGTCTTTTTGCGAATCAGTGAAAGTGAACGAATGCTCATTGATTATAGGCAAACAAATGGATAAATGAATCCTCTTGTCCTTTTTTTCTTGTACTTTTAACGAGATGTATCACCATTACGGCATCCGTAATTTAGGGTTGGGCAGGACATTTGAAACCAGGCTACGCAAGGAGCTGGAACCGTTTTGTCTCAAATACGGGCGGGAAGAGTTGTATTCGGATCGTTGCTCTAATTTAAGAGACTGGAATGAGCGTGAGGAAATGGCATTGTGTGGTCAGGTTGTTGGATATAGTCGACATGGCCACTGATCCCAATATCCGGTTCACATCCGGCAGACACTACTGCAACATGATTAGTATCAGGAATGACACTCCCAAGAACGGTGTTTTTCGGAACCGAATGTCAAGGAAACGATAATGCAAATACTCAAAAACTTTGAGACTTGGAGATGACGGATGGTGTTATAATATGTATCCTTGGCTATGGAAGCAGCGTTACTTTGCAAGTCCTGAGTATTAATGCGCCACGTCGCAACTGAGCGGAGGGCAATGATCACCATAGATAACTCAATATTGGCCTGGAACAGCTCTCCATTCATGTTTCATTGACTGTTGGTTAGTGGTGGCTTTGCGACGCAGTAAAAGAGGCCAGTCCAGGGTCCACTGGCACTACTATGCTTGAGCACAAGAGCTTAATGTTTCAACAGTCTAACCAGTCTTCTTAAGCTCCTTCAAGCTGGCGTTTTGTGCGCCCGACAAATGGAAATCCTCGCCCGGGAAACGGGGGGCTGACAGGCTGTGCATGGGCAAGCTGGGAGCATTTCTGGCGACGCCAAGTAGGGACACTCGGATTGTAGTTTCACAAAACACCTTTAGATATATAAAGTGCCACAATGAGAGTCTAGGTGCTTTGGACAGAGCTTCGATCCTTGTTGCACTTTGCATGAAAAGTGTACACACTGTTGATAACTTAACCGCCGCAGCGGTTCTGTGGCTCAAGACCTGGGAGTTTTCATGATCGGTTGTAAAATAACTGCCTGGTGGCGCACGGGTAAGATGCATCCAACTCGATGTCACTGGAATGCAATGATGGTGGTCTCCCGATCCACCCTTCATCGTGCAAAGCTTTCGACAACAAAACTGAGCTCGCAGGCGTTGCTCGAGGCGCGTGACGGCATGTGATGAAGAAATTTGCATCAAGAACAAGGTTTTATTCCCCCCTTTTCCAGGACAGAGCTGCGGGCGCAGAAATCAAGTGCGGATGATGAGTTCGTGACCCGCAGCCACAGTTGGTTTGATAATGCAAAAACATAATCACCTGAGCATCGCATGCTGACTCGCCAAGAAAAGCTGCATCTAAGCGCCCGGGCGCTGAGGGAATGAGAACTTCGCACCACTGCTCACTCTTACGGAGTACTCCGTACATTTTTGATATTTGTCCAAATCCTCAAACGCAGGACATGCTTGAAGTGTGAGTTGCCCTGGGTGCTCCACAGAAAGGTGATTGGACAAATGGGCGGGTTATCCGACGCATGAATGGTCAGAAACCGGCCCCGGGAGGCTGTCTTGACTGCCCAACCAACAGCCCAATGGCACCACCCCCCCTTGCAGCCGACATTGCTGCAGCAACGCGTCTTCTGACCCTGGCCGGCTGAGTTCCCAACACCCTACACAAAAGCGGAATGGCCCGGTATCATGATCTGTGGGGGATCGAGGGTGGAGTCAGAACACCAATATTTCCTGGATTTCGAGGACAAGAGTGCAGGCGACGCAGCGGGAAGTTGTCGAAAGGCGGACGTCGTGGCTGGGAGGGATCTTGTAGCATTTCAAAAGGGCGACGGAGCATGCAGCATCGAAAGTTGGGGGAGAGAAAGGTCAGCAGACCTGCATGAGTCGTCTCATTCCATTATCCCTCGCATTTTTGGATACTCCGACGAGTCTTCTGAGGCGACGATCCTTGAATAAACATGTACTCCGTGGTTGTCGAGAGCATTATACTTCGTGCTGTATGGTAGTATTTAACGACTGTCGCACCCATACTCCGTACTGTAGCAGATATCCCCTCGTCAGCCGTGCTTAATCTCTCTTCGCAGGAGCCGAAGCAACAGGACTGAAACTCCTGAAGATTGCTGGGCGGATTATCGTGAAATCGAGCGATACGAAGATTGGTGCTCGACTTGCGACGTGATAGGCTGCGGGCCGGCATTCCCTGTGGCTAAGATTAGTGCAGGACCTCCGGGGTTGATCAAGTCCAGGCGCCAAAAGGCGTTGCAAGGGCAGTGAGGAGAAGCAAAAAGAAGCACAGAGATCAGAGGCGAGGAGGGCTGTGGGAGGTCCTGTTTATTTTTATAATTTTTTTTTTATTTATCGTGGCCTCCCCATCCTTATCGACTCTTATCGTGTCACTTTTGCGCTTGTTACTCCCGTCCTTTGCATTGTTTGGTCGCCCTGTTCTAAAAAAGTTTTGTTGTTAGGCAGCTTTTCGTCTTCACTTTTTTTCTCACCCTTCCCGCCTCACACTTTAATTTCCCAAACCCATTCTCTTCTCTCACCGTCATTACACTCCTCGACCACTGACAGGGCGCTTCTGGGATCCTCTATCCCCACCTGCGTCGCATCCAGCACCTCAAGGAGCCCAAGAAGGTGAAGTCGCCCTGTCGTGTCGGGTGTATATCCCCTCTGACTCTCTTTCACCATGGTGTCCTTTCAATGCGAGGTGAGTTTCGTCCCCATTCCGCGTCGATTTCTCTTACCGAATCGCCGGAGTTACGCAATGACTCATGCTAACGTGGCATTTCTTCCACTTGTTGGCTGCAGGCCTGTGGTGATGTCTTCACCAAGAAGAAGCTCGACCCTCACCGGGGCCAGTGTCGCGGCGCGACTTTTTCCTGCCTCGATTGCATGGTGCACTTCAAGGGCACGGAATACAGATCGCACACGGTACGTTATATGCCTGTCCGCTCAAGACATCATTCCCGCACTTCTGCGGCTGCTGCCTGGTTGTTTCTTTTGTGCCTTTTGCCCGCGCGTGTAGTTCTCGCGTTACCCTGCATACCGTGGGGACCAATGGATTTTTTTGGCCGAGTATCGATCGGTCCTGTTGCGCATGGGTGGGGACCCGGTTCCTGTTAAGCATGCGCTGGCAGGGCCGGATGATTCGCGTGCCCTACACACGAACAGGCCCCCCATCGCAACATTGCATCTCGTGATTTGCTTGAATGCTATGGTTGCATATCCCAGCTAGATGTTATTGGGCAGTGTTGGATAATACCCTGCGCCGACAGGATGCGGGGATAATTGCTTTGCTTTTTTGGATTCTATTCATTTTGATGTTTTATGAAATATCATGACGGAGAACAAAAACTAATTGACGGCGGCCTGCCTGGTCGTTCGATGTCTTGACAGTCATGTATGTCTGAAGCCCAAAAATACCAGGGTGCTTTATACAAAGAGAAGCCTGCCAAAGGTCAGAAACGCAAGAAAACCGTGACCATTGCCGATACCGTAGCAGCAAAAGGCTCTCGTAATCCTTATGTCGAAGACGCTCCGGACGTCGATGATATCAGACCACCTCAAAATGAAGCCCCTCCCCCTCCCCCTGCCCCGAGTCCTCCGCCTGCGACCGCATCCCTGCCACCCGCTGCCTCATCGAAGAAGGAAGAGAAGAAAGACGAATCTTTGAACGTGTTTGAATTTCTAGTCCCTGAGGATGGTCGCAATGCGTCTAAGGTCTCCTTGGGAGGAACAAAGGAGCAGATGAAGATGGTCAAGGACGCACCAAAGCTTTTTGATGTACCCAAGGAGCTTGCACGCCTTACAGATGGTCGGGAGGATGACGAATCTGTCTACGATGTTGCATACGAGGAAAATGGCTTCTCGTATGGTGCCGGTCCCATTCCTCCTGCTCCATACAACCAACCATCGAATATATCCATGGAGTTTTTGACGCCCGTCCCCGGATATAAGAGCAAAGGTCGATCTAAGAAGGACTATCCGCCTTCTCTAGAGCTTAATCGAACAAACAGCGATAAGAAGAGAAAGCGAACAAATCCAGAACACATGGTCACCCCGGCAAACCAGACCAAGTTCGAAGATGACATCTCGATGGAGGATGCTCCTTCAAGCATGGTGGTCAATGCGCCGACTCCGGCTCTTAACCACTCAGGCCTTACTGGAGGTTTAAGCCGGATGACCACGAGGTATTCACAGAGCCCAGATTCGCCCGATTACAGGAGTGACCGTGAATATCTAAATGGAGACCGTTATCCCCATCCTGTATCACCGATCAAGCGAACTCGCCGGGCAACCAGAGATCCAAATGACGAAAATGGTCTTGGAATTTCCGTCAAAGGCCGTTCAGGTAAGCTTATGTCAATACTGGGTGGCAGCACCACCGGTATTACCGCCATAGGAGGCATTAGTAACGATCCGACTTTAAAAGCTATCGTTCGTACCCGTCGGCGCAGCACACCTGACGGCGAAAAGGAGCAAGTCATCCATGTTCGTAAACAAAAGCGTCACCGTGTTCGGCAACCTGAAACCGTGAAAACCTCCAAATCAAAGCATAGGACGAACGATATTCCGGCTGCGAATGATGAGGGTGAGTGGGATGATTTCGAGGATGAACGGCCGCGACGACTCAAAGCAATCGAGTATAAGCGGCAGACCGACTCTGAGGACCGGTCGCGTTCTCCGCGTCAGGGGTCTACGTCCAAACCCAAGGAAGATAACCAAATCGTTATTTACAACCATGGCAAAGATGAGTCCGAAGACCTTGACTTGCTTAAGCGCGAAAAGGCCAATGTCTTTTTATCGCTTGTGAACAAGGGCCCTGAAAGCGAGCGAGGCTGCTCGATTCATAAGATTCTAAAACGTTTCCACCGTGATAAGTCTGCCTCCCTGGGTTCGGAAGAGCAAGAATCGAAGGAAGGTGGAGAGCGGGGGAGAGGTCGAGGTCGGCGAAGGAATCGAGGGCTTGACAAGGAGAAGAAAGATGAGGAAGAACAGGATTTGTGGAGGATGTTGAGGTTGAAGAAAAACGACAGGGGAGAAGTGGTCGTCTTTTTGCAGCCGAATACTTGATTTACCTTTTTTTTTCCTTTTTCCCCCCCCCTCTGGAGCGATTCCTCCTTTCGATTCGATGCAAATGTAGTGTCTTGTACTTTTTAAGCATGTGCACTTATTTGATTAATTTTTTTTGGGATCCTCTCTTAATTTCTTGGACTGCTCCGTCCCCTTAATAGTCTCCTTCGGGGTTGGTGGTTTCTATCACTGGGCTTCTTGGGTCCTAGTATTGTTTGCTGTTGTATAAAATGAGGCGTACGGAGTAGAGCTGTAGTTAGTTATAAGTACCACTTCTATGCATGGCGTGAGATTTTTGTTTTCCTAGTTTCTCAAACCCACCCATCGCTGCTTCGAGCTCGTTCGAAACCCCTTCAGTCTTCACAACCCTCGTGGCTGATACGGATATGGATCTACATTTGTAGTTAAGCAAGTTAACTGTTTTCCTTGACTTAATTCAAATGCAGGCGGCATACGGAGTACCGATGCAGGGACGGAATCTAGAAAAGAGATCAACTCCTCTCGCGAGACCTTGGCCACTTAAAGGTACGGAAGGTTGGAAGCATGAATGATTGAGTCACACAGTCTGGCCCTTGCAAACGTCACCAGCTCAATTTGATCACGGAGTACGGAGTATATACGAAGCAAACTATGTACCCGCAATTCTGCGGGGCTGTCGAGTCGAGAGTATCGCGTTTTCCAGATATATGGAGTTAGAGTGGCTGGATAAGTTCTGAGCCGTTTCAAGTTAGCTAGAGTTCGATTCTACGCATCGAATATAGCCTGTAAAGAGGAAATGATCAAAAGACATCGAATTCTTCGACTGATGATGACGATGCGCGATGTTGAAAGATCCGAAAAGAGTTTAGGCTTCCTAAACCCGGTTTGACTGGACTTGCCGGCTAGTCGGCTTGGCAGCGGGCTAAGCAAGGCTGCTTGACGCCACCTGCGCGCGATGACTCAGCAAGCGGGCTGTTTGCCTCCAACTCCGATTATCAGAAATCAACTCGAACGTGGAATTCGCCCTCTTCTTCGTTCACTTATCTCTCCTTGACGCCCAAAAGTTTTTATATTCTTTGTTATTCATTCTTTGCGTAATTTTTCTGCTTCTTCTTTTCTCTTTTTTTTTTTTTCCCCACTCTTCACAGAGGCTGTTTTTTTGAAGCCTCCAGGAACTTTTCTTTTTACTCGATTAACGTTCACATCTCTCAGCAGTGAAAGAAGAATTAACTTGTTCTTCCTCCGTTTAAAAAGGAATCTAGCATCGAATATTTCCGATCCGTCACAAAAAAAAACTCAAAGAAGCACTGCAACGAAGTAACGCGAGCCGATACGCCGCACGCAGATCGTCGAGAATGTCTACACATATCTCTCAGATTGCGGAATCGCAAGATGGAAATGAGCTGAGACACAACGATTCAAGCAGAGGTGGTCGAGGAACACATAATAGACGTAATAGGAACCGTGATGGTCATGGGGGACGTGGCAGGAGTGGTGTTGCTCATCATACATCCGGCGGGGATCGCGGTTCACGCCCTTCAGGGAGAAGTCGAGGGAGAGGTGGTAGACGGGGTGATGGCGAGGCAAGAAGAGCACAGCATATTAGCGCTGCACGAGTGGACCCAGGTTCTGGAAGAGTATTCGCTGGACGATTGACGAGACCCGATGAATTGGAAAATGCGAACGATCGCACGCCTCAGGGAACAAATGATAGTGTTGAGAATGGCCCCGCATCCTTACGAGCAGATGCTCCGGAGTTCGTGCCTGGAGCTCCTTCAAAAGCTTCACCTTCAACCGCCCTTGATTCCTACCTACCAACGCAACGTAAACCGAAACAACCCAGAAACCCCAAGACGAAATCTACCGCGGACGATATTGCTACTCGTACACACGAAGATATACAGAATGGATTCTACGAGTGTCCAATTTGCACATCTGAATTGGGAAGAAGATCAAAAGTATGGTCATGCAAGCGCTGTTGGACTGTTTTTCACTTGAGTTGCATAAAAAAGTGGTCGAACAATGAAGGATCAGCAATGGAACGCCCACGAGGCGACGATGAGGAGAACACAGAAGCATTGCGGCCTCGATTATGGAGGTGTCCCGGTTGCAATTTGCCACAAGATGTTATGCCGTCGATTTATAGCTGTTGGTGTGAAAAGGAGATCGACCCTCGACCATTACCCGGCTTGCCTCCACATTCTTGTGGTCAAAGCTGCTCGAAGTCTCGAAACGGTTGTCCACATCCATGCAATTTAGTCTGCCATGCTGGTCCATGCGCCTCTTGTCAGGCCATGGGGCCAACTCAGCGATGTTTCTGTGGACGACATGAATCTACAAAGAGATGTGTGGATACAGATTACGAAAACGGATGGAGCTGCATGAAGATTTGTGGCGAGCTACTATCCTGTTTGCGTCACAAGTGCCAGCGTCCTTGTCACGAAGGCCCGTGTGGTGCTTGTGAGGAATCCGTCCACGCTAAGTGCTATTGCGGGAAGGTCACTAAGGATATGCCATGTAGGGAGACGGGAGAGGAGAAATACAGTGAACGTGGGATTGAAATGGAAGAAATTTCCGGGGAGATTTCAACGTGGACCGGGTCATTTGATTGCACGTCCATTTGTGACCGTGTCTATGATTGTGGCCTGCATCGCTGTCAGCAATCATGTCATCCTCAGAGCCGGGCAGTGCCGCACTGTCCAAGCTCTCCGGACGTTGTTAAACATTGTCAATGTGGAAAATCACTTCTCTCAGATATCCCAAATGCTAAAGCGCGGACTTCGTGCGAAGATCCGATCCCCACATGTGAGAAACCTTGTGGAAAAGTGCTGCCGTGCAAACATACCTGTCCAAAGGTATGTCATAGCGGTCCTTGTCCGCCATGTTTCCTTTCTGTTGACATCAAATGTCGCTGTGGGCGTACATCATCGAAATCCCTCTGCCATCAGGGCTTTGGTGAGCCTCCTCAGTGCATGCGCGTTTGTAAAGCTACAATGAACTGTGGCAGGCACACATGCGGGGAACGATGCTGCCCAGGCCAGCGCCAATCAATAGAACGGCAAGCCGCTAAGCGAAAGCTTAAGCCATTCTCTCTTCGTCCTCAACAGATGGTTGAGGAGATTGAAGCGGAACATATATGCACACGAGTATGCGACCGGACTCTAAAGTGCTCCAAACACAATTGCCGGGAATTATGCCATAGAGGTGTCTGCAAGACTTGCCCTGAGGCCATTTTTGAGGAAGTCTCATGTCACTGTGGCAGGACAGTTCTTCAACCACCGCTTCCTTGCGGAACAACTGCTCCGGCATGTCATTACAACTGCGAGCGGCCGAAGCCCTGTGGTCATCCGCAAACCCCTCATACCTGTCATATGGACGATGAAAACTGTCCGAAGTGTCCGTACTTTGTGGAAAAGAAGTGTCTCTGTGGAAGAACGTCGTCCAAGCAACCATGTTCGCAGCCTAACGGCCAATGTGCTTTCATATGTTCAAAGCCCTCCAAATGTGGCGCCCATACATGCCAGCGGTTCTGTCATAGGCCGGGAGAGTGCTCGGATTCGAACAGCCCTTGCCAGAAGACATGTGGAAAGCGTCTTAAAACTTGCGGACATCCCTGCCAAGAGCGCTGCCATGCTCCGTATCCTTGTCCCGAGTCCACTCCATGTCGATCTCGCGTTTCTATTACCTGTGCGTGTGGAAGGCTCACGGAGGAAAAGAAATGCAGCTCTACTCGCGAAAAGCCAAGAACCTCTGATGAAAGATTAAAATGCGATGATGAATGTGCGCGTCTAAAAAGAAACCGTGACTTGGCTTCCGCTTTGAATATTGATATAGATCCGGTTACAACTACAGCTGCCAATCCGACTGTAGGGCCACAGGACTCGGATACTCTGCCATATTCGGACGATACCCTCGACCTGTACGTTCAGCTATCCTCCTCTTCGACATTGGCTACCCTTCAGGGCTATGAAGCAAGCCTTCATGCACTCGCTACCCAAGACTCGCAAAAATCGAACCGCTTTCCACCATGCCGATCCCAACTTCGTGCCTTTATCCATTCTCTTGCAGGGGACTGGGGATTCCAATCCGAAAGTTTTGACCCGGAGCCAGTTCGCCATGTTTTTGTGTACAAAGCTCCGGGGTGGATCTCACCAGGTGTCGCTGCCGCCGGCCAAACGAGGATTGGCATTCGTGGTCTAAGCGTCATTGAGTGTATTAAATTACGAGAGCGTGAACGCGCAAGGGAAAAAGAAGCTAGGAGAGCAGCCGCTGAAAAGGCAAGACATGAAGCTGAACAACTGAACGATGAATGGACAGTCCTGGAACAGAAGGATGAACATGGGTGGTCGAGAGTTGTATCGAAGAAGAAGCCACAGTGGTGGAATGATAGTGATATTCAGAAGCTTGCACCGAATTTAGCGCAGACTGGACCTGGCGAAGGTAGCAGTATGGGACTGAGCAGTGGCAGGTTTGGCAGTCTCATATTGAAAAGTGGTGTCGGTAGGGGAAAGGAAATGGATGGATCAAGTTCACGTCCTTCTTCGTCAGGGGGCCGAAAGAAGCTGGCTAGCGATGAGGAGGTCGTTGATGATTGGGAGGAGGAGATTGAAAAAGAAGAGAAAGCAGAAGAGAAAGAAAAAGAGGAGGAGAAAGAGAAGCAGGAGCCGTCTGATGTCCTTCCGCCTGATCATCAGCCTTGGGATTGGGCTTCTGAAGGGGAAGGCGAGTCATATATTGTCGAAACCGGGTTTCCAATCGTTGGGAATTGATTCTCCTCTGGGAAAGGGTGCAGATAGCGCTGGTGAAACGTTGACCTGTGGTGCACAGGAGGATTTAGGAAATATGTAGTTACTCCATACTCCATGCTCCATAGAGGCGGTATCAATACCAAAGATGTCAGAGTCTTAATCATTTCTTTCTCGCCCCGTACTTAATTCTTTGAATTGAATAATATGGATGTTGGAATATCTTGGCGTCTGTGGCACTATACCACGCAACATCCATCAGCTATAGCTGGGCTAGGTTCTCTGTCGTAGACGACCCATCTGGTGAGCTACCGGACTTGCAGTCTCCCATCTCAACCACTCAACCATCATCCTTTCAGTTGAAGGATCTGGTAACTGATCAAAGGTGCACGGAGTACTCCGTAGTGGATAGATAATCCCTAACATGGAAGACTGACGAGTGCATCTATTCATGTTGATTGGAATACCAAAGCTGCACGAGTTTAATTTCCCATGGTTGGTTCGCTGGGCTTGGAGGCTTTTCGAGGTACCCGGATTTTATTCACTCTCGGCAATCTATTATTATGCAGTATTATTGCACTCAAAGTTTTGTAACTAGAACGTGGCTGTAACGCGGAATATGTACGGAGTATATAGCTAGAGCAATCGGGTTGTCTCTGGGCTGAACCTTGACAAGCACGAAATCAAGAATGGCGGCTTTCGATCCTATAAGTCGGGTACCGAAGAAGATCAGGATTTTATCTCTGCGCAGAAAGTCAATGGATCCCGGTTGCTACCCGACTGCAAAGCTTGGGATCGGCCGAGCAATGGCTCTCGTTTTCAGGGATGATCCGGGGTAGCAAGGTAGCAGTAACAGGGATCGCTGGATGGAGCACACAGCACTCCCTGCGTTCTGAGCTGATTCTCGGACAGCTTCGGCGGCTAAAACTCACCGAGCATTCAAAACGCCGAGAATAAAATAATGATGGCAGATTTCGTCGAGAGTTCTGTGGCTGCCAACTCTTCTGAGTAACATGGGAATGGTTTAGTTAGTTAGTTAACTGATAGCATAAGCTTTTGGCTTTTTTTGAGTCTCGGGCAAATTGAGCACTTAAAGCCAACCATCGTCTCTCTGTAAATTTCTTCCAAGTCGCCTGCAAAAACCGGACCGACTTGCTGTCCGGTCATTGCTCTATCCTTCGTATTCTAAGTCTCCGGTTCGGCCAGCCAGTCATAAGGACCAACTAATTCTATCTGCTCTTCGCTTCACCAGTTCAAGAGACGCGATGCAACGTCCGTGTTAAGCTCGGGTTGCCGATCCGCTCGATATTTCTCCTAGACAAAGTATTTTTCTTCAGTGGCACGGGACTCATTCGTTAGTTAGTTAATGCAACGCTGATCCATCCAGCCGTGGCTTTTGCACAAGGTTTCTCTTCCGACCCAGTGTCTTTACCCAGCAAACCGAACGGCCAAGCGACCGGGACCAACGTCCCCGCGGGACTCAGCGTTGCACGACCTTTTTACCCCAGGGTACTGGATCGCTTTCATTATTTAATACCAGGCACCCCGCGCGAAAAGCCGAAAGGCTTTTCCTCTCTCCTTTTCTCGGGATGCTACGTAGCTTGCTCATCATGATTTCTCCGGCTGTCCTTGCGCTGTGCGTTGGCTTTTACATCTTTTCTACCTTCGCCGATTTAAGTTGCGCAACGCCGATTAGACGCCATTCGTCTTACCCATGGCTGAATCAAGGATCTGGTAGGCCTGATTCTGGCCAGGAGGTTGATGCTTGGGCGAGACAAGATGATCGACTGGGTGCGGTGGCGAGTGAGAGCTCCATATGTAGCGGATTTGGGATTGATATGCTGAAGCTGGGTGGGAATGCTGCTGATGCTGTGAGTATTTGATCTATATGCTGACGGTCATACGCTGGATCTGGGGGCTACCTCTGGAATTGTGAAGTTTTGCGAATCGAGTGCTAATTTGGAATGGCCGTCACTGTAGATGGTAGCCACAGTCTTTTGTGTCGGAGTAGTTGGTATGTCGTGAATTCCGACATCTCCAAGCAAAAGTTGGAACTGAATTTTTCCCATAGGAATGTACCATAGTGGCATTGGCGGTGGAGGATTCATGCTTATTCGATCGCCGGATGACACATATGAGTTCGTCGACTTCCGCGAGACGGCCCCTGCAGCGGCCTTCCAGGACATGTACAACAACAACACCGATGCTTCGATTTTCGGTGGCCTAGCAAGGTAGGAGAAAATGCTCTGCGTCTGCTGGATGGAGTCTGGATGCTAAACTTCCACTCTCCAGCGGTGTCCCTGGTGAAGTTCGGGGACTTGAATATCTGCACAAGAAGCATGGGCTTCTTCCATGGCGCCTCGTGATGCAGCCCGCTATCCACACTGCCCGTTACGGATTTCCCGTCACCGAAGATTTAGTCCGTTACATGAGAGAGGCCACTGAAGGAAAAGAAGACTTCCTGACAAACAACCCGACTTGGGCGCTGGATTTTGCTCCTAACGGTACACGTCTTGGACTTGGAGACACTATCACACGAAAACGATACGCAAATACCCTCGAAACGATTGCCAACTATGGTGCCGACGCGTTCTATTCCAGTGCTATTGCGGAGACCATGATCCAGGCTCTCCAAGCACAGAATGGCACGATGACCTTGGAGGACTTGAAGAATTATACGGTCGATATCAAGGAAACTGCGCAGATAGATTATAGAGGATTCAAAGTCACGAGTACATCTGCTCCATCAAGTGGTGCAATTCTTTTGAGCACTTTGAATATTCTAGAAGGTTATGATGATTTTTTCGCCCAAGGAACTACGGATCTGAGCACTCATCGTTTAGATGAAGCAATTCGATTCGCATACGGTCAAGTTAGTCATCTCCAATAACACGCACTGATAGTAGCTATTTACTAATCAATTATGCAGAGAACACATATGGGTGATCCGCGCTTCGTCGAAGGACTCGGTGAGTTCCAGCAGGATATACTGAATAAATCCGTCTCCGCTCAGATTCGCGGTAAAATCTTGGATGAGCGCACTCAGAATATCTCTGCATACGAGCCATCCGGCTTTGAGATTCTTGAAACGTATGTGTAACAAGACCTATTAGACACAAAAGATGAATTTCTAACCATTCAGTAGTCCCGGAACATCTCATATTTCCTCTGCCGACCGCAACGGCCTCGCTATCTCTCTAACCACAACTGTCAACCTCTACTTTGGCAGCAAAGTCATGGTCCCTGAAACCGGCATAATTATGAACAACGAAATGAATGATTTCTCCATCCCAGGTTCCGACAACGCTTTCGGCTACCGCCCTTCCCCAGCTAACTACATTCGCCCCGGAAAACGCCCACTCTCATCCATTTGCCCAACCATCGTCACCCATCCCAATGGGACGATGTATTTCGTCACCGGTGCTGCCGGTGGGTCTCGTATCATCACTTCTACCCTCCAAAGTGTCATCAACGTTCTCGATCGCCATATGACTGCCCCACAAGCCCTCGCTGAACCACGTCTACACGATCAGCTTGTCCCGAACCTAACAGAGGTTGAATGGTCTTTCGATAACTCCACGGTGGCGTTCTTGATCGACCGCGGACACAATATCACCAGGGTTGAGCACGCATCGAGCACGGTGCAATCTATCAGAGTATTGTCGAATGGGACATTTGAGGCGGCAGGTGAGCCGCGACAGCTTAACTCTGGTGGGCTGGCGATTTGATAAAACGAAAACGGGAAAAAAAGGCTATCGGGGTTGCAATTTTGCTTTTAAAATGCTTTACCCTCCGTATAGATCTGGTGTTTCTGCGCCTTGAATTTGGGCGTGATCATGACCGTACATGAATCCATGAAATTATTATTCCCTACATACATCTCGAGAACGCTCGTGGCGATTTCTCTATATGCATGGATATATGCGAAGATAATACATATGACTATTCTGTTTTTATATAGATAATGTCGTCCCCTTGCTCTGCAGCAAAGAAAGGAGTGAAACATGTGATGGTAGTATTTGAAAAGCGGAGAGCAGGATAGCCACCCTGTAAATACTTCTTCCCCTTGCAAGAGATGAAGCAAAAAAGAAATATATGACCAAGCTGAGACTCGAACTCAGGACCTTTTCGGTGTTAACGAAACGTGATAACCAACTACACCACTCGGCCGGCTTGATGGCAGAAGCCATCAAAAGCCATCAATCTCTACCTAGCTCATATCGGAATTCATGTGGCGTTGGTCAATCTCGGATTTGGTGTGCGACTTTTATCATTGCGATTGACGATATGGACACATAGACACATTGAAAAACCATCAGCATAATTGGAGTTTGCAAAGGTTCTAAGGTTTTTAGGTCAAGATAGAAAGCAAGATGAGTCATCTCTGAAGTTGCAAGCCTTGCCAATAACCAAAGCGCGACAAACTCGTCATTTCGGCCTCAATGCGTACCGCACCAAGCCCCTTGCAGCTGAAATTCCCGTATTTGCGGCTTTTATCGGCGCGCCGACCGTCGTGGTTGTTGAAGAGCGCTAACTAGTTACCTGACCCCAGTCTCTCGCGAGGTCCTTGCTCTACGCGTTGGATGTGAACTTTGCTTCTTTACTCCGTAGAGGGATGACAATTCACCTTTGCAAATACCAGTGCCTGCAGTCAGAATAGGTTTCCTTACAATGGCCTCCTTTGCTCATGATGAAGCCCAGTACTCCTCATACTTCAAGCACGGCGGGACTTCTTCTCCCCTAGAGAAAGAATCCATTGCTCACCTAGATTGGACCACACGTCGGTTCCCATATTAACTACAGGTTTCATATGTCCTCAAACTAAGAGAGTTATCCGGTATAGAGCCGCCAAATTCCCAAGGCCTGACACACTCTACGCTCCGTACCATCACGGATGGACCTCAGCCTCTGCTACGTGTAATGTAGGGCTATCCTTCTCTACCCGCCGTACTTTGCAGGTAAATAACGATGAGTACTGGATTTTTGCCCCTTGAACCCGCAGAGATGAGGGAAGACCTCTCTCCCCTTTTCAAGCACTACGGCATCCCTTCGGGTTTTATCACCGAGCGATTGCATGGGGTCGCTCAATCAAGTGGCTCACGTTTCTCCCAAGATGGCTTTCATGGTATCTTTCTTTAGTTCCTTCATGCCCCTGAGAACATTCGCTTTTGGACCTCCTTTTTCGTCGCGTAGCTAAGCCTGACTTTGCCTGCCCCAGCGTCTTGGATTCAGACTCTTTGCAAAGTCATTCCTATTAAAGAGGTCAAGAGCCAGGGCCTTTCCCCAGGAACTACCTATGAAATTATCAACATGCAAACTGGAGGGCCGAAAATCACAGAGCCAATCAAAAATCCTATGGCTGCGCAGTGGTTACTTTCTGAGCTGGCGTCCAGCAGCAGTCAAAGATGTAAACTCAAAAATGCCCAATTCCCAATCCCCGGGGCGTGTGACACTGATTTGTTTCGGGGCACCAGTGGCACTGAAGGAGCGCTTTCAGAGGCAGGCTAGTAGCGACACGTGGAAACAAGCAGTCGAACACCCGTTCCAACCGTGGCTGGTTGTACTGGAAGAATTATTCAAACAAATGGATTCTTAGGCTTGGAATCTAGCATCCGTCTTTAAGGGGATTGAAAAGGTGGGCTGAGCACAGTTGAGCATAATTTTCAAATTCACAGCTGAGTTATTATGTCTAGGAAATCTTGAATTCAGCTCAAGGAGCCGAATGGACCAGAAGACAGCGGGAAGACGACGAAGCGGTTGAATTCACAGGCCTACATAACCTTGCAAAGCATTGCACATACCTTGAGGAGTCGCTTGATGCCATGGATCTTATACACGCAGATCTTGCTCTGCAATACGAGCAATATTTCAATCTGTTAGGAGTGTCCTCAACGTCTTCATTATCTTCTTCGTCTTCTTCGACAACCCTTAACCCCAACCTGGGTAGCTACCAAATATCGCAAGAATTTTGGAAAACCAAAGACATGCTTAGACACAAGAGAGGGCTATTCATGTCAACCAATTTGAGAATCACCAGCTTGGAAAAACGAATAAACAGTGCTATCAATCTGGTATGAATATGCTGTCTCCCCTTAGAGAGCAAGAAAACGAACTGATGAGTATACCACTGTTTCGGCAAAATATTAGGCCTTTAACCTAGTAGTTCAACGAGACAGTAAACTCATGCTGCAGGACAGCCTGAGGATGGACACGTTGGCCACGGTCACACTGATATTTCTCCCTGTTGCGACTTGTTGGTGTAGGTTTCTGTCTCCCCATTCACCTTGCAACATAAAAACTCGGATGCTGATTGAGACCTGCATTTCCACTAAGGAAAGACTGTTTTTGGGTCACAATTTTTTGGACTTGATACCGGCTCGTCACCGCCGCAACTTGAAGTAGCGAAGAATTTCTGAATCTTTTGGGTTGTTCTTGCTGGCATTTCGATCTGCGTTTTCTTCATGACAGTAATTGTGAGAAGGGCTCTGTTAGGTAGAATAGAGACCTGGCAAAGAAGGGCGTAGACCGGATGAATTTCCAGGAAGAAGATGTTGATAGCAAATTGCGCTAGTGCGGAGTTCAGCGGAAGTTGTAAGCATCGAGGCGGGCTGTCCCTGGAGAGTGTGGAAGGGAATAATACAATTTTCCGATCCGACACGCTTCCTGGAAATGGATGGATGCGAGTGGACGCTGCCACGGTATTACTCCATGCCACTCTGCTCTCATTTCTACTCTGAAGACGGATTCATCCCAGCCAAACCGATGCTGCACCGAGGAGTCTATGGGCAAAGGCCAAACCAAGTCCCGCTACTTTCCCCAGAAACGGCCTGATCTTGCATCATGCCTCCCCTTCCCTCCCACCTCGGCTCCATCCTTCGGTTTGATCCAAGAAACTCTCGCTCTTGATCCGTTTCGCCTGCTCATTGCGACCATCTTCCTCAACCGCACCAGAGGCGAGGCAGCGATACCAGTGTTATACGATGTCTTTGAAAATTACCCAACTATTGGCTCCCTGGCCGATGCGGATGTTGACGGCCTCGTGGCAATGATCCGCAAATTGGGCTTCCAAAACGCGCGTGCCAATAAATGCATCTCAATCGCAAAGCTTTGGATGGTTTCTCCGCCAGTGAAGGGAAAACGGTTTAGGAAATTACACTACCCGGATAAGTCTGATGGCCTAGATATAAAACCTGGGGAAAGCATTGACGACGAGGATACCCGCATTGCCTGGGAGATCGCCCATCTTCCTGGAATTGGTGCCTATGCTATTGACAGTTGGCGGATATTTTGTCGTGATGTGCTCCGTGGCGTGGCTACAGATTGGAATGGAGCAAATGCTGAAGAGGGATTTTTGCCTGAGTGGAAATCAGTGCGCCCCAAGGACAAGGAGCTTCGTGCCTTTTTAACCTGGATGTGGCTCAAGGAGGGTTGGGTTTGGAACCCGGAGACAGGGGAGAGAACACATGCCACGAAAAGGATACGGCGTGCTGCACGTCGAGGGGGGTTGGTTATCGAGAAGAATGGAAACTGGATCTTGGAAACCCCTTTGGTAAAGAAAGCCAAAGGATATAAAAAAGGAAATAATACCAATCTGCCCATAGGCATATCTAGTGAACATAGACTCCGAACTGAAGCAAATATCTAGTTAAGATTTAGACACTTTGTCACCAAATTTCAAAGGGCGAGGGATTCATATTAAGAATACTCCGTACTGCGGCTCCCAACGGTATTTACCCCCTGGGTGGATAACTAAATATCAGTTGACTCTTGCACTGAGCGACCCAGAGCTCAGTCTTCGTCAGCACCTCGCGCCAGGGAGTTGATGTGTACCCCGGCGATTGGACGATCGTCGCACAATCGCGAGTGGTGTTTGGGGGATTGAACAGCACAGCCAATCTCGGCGGGCAGAGGAAACGCATTGGGCTGCGACGCTATTTCTTCTGGAATGTCTGGCACAAGCGCCCTGTTCCAACATCGTTTCACTCACTTGCACAGACACACCCTAAGCTTCTCCCATCATCCACCAACCACAGCGGAGAAACCTTGATGCAACGCTTACTTTCCACACTGGCAACTTTGAGCTTCCTGAAATCAAGAAACCTATTCGTCGATCCCTGATGCCTGACGGCAGCCGCTTCGGTCACTCGCTTGGGGCTGGAACTTTCGGTGGCCAGCAGCGGCGGTCAGACTAGTCAACGAGTCATTGCGCCACGACAGACACTCTCGCCCTCACCTCGATGGTTCTTCCCACGATACGATACTATGTCACCAAAGTCCAAACCGTCTATTCGCCATCGTGAACGGAACCGTCATCGAGACCAGGATAACGGCGAAGACGAAACTCCTCAAAAGAGCACCCCACGTCGCGTCGAGACCAGGGAACGCCGCCGACGGTCGTCCCACGGAACCTCCACCCGCTCATCCATAACCTCTACCAAAAAAAGCACTCGACGCTCCGATACCGCTCGCCATCCTTCCTCCTCTACATCGAGTTTGAAAGATAAAAACAACTCCATGCCTGGAGTCGAAGATCCCTACGCCGAGTCCCTGTTAAGTTCCAGGGCAGGCAGGCCGTACCCCTCGTTTTCAAAAGATCATTGCAAAGAGGCGATCGGGAGTCGAGAAAACGTGGGAATGCGAGTAAATATTTTAACCCCCGAGCCTACAGATATAACTGTTGAAAAATCGAGAGACGGCAGGCCGCCAAGTCGAAACAAGAATAACCAACAGAAGAGACAGAGCACAGCAACCAATACTACCCGTCCCCCAAGCCCACCTCTTACGAATGATGAAAATCAACCCTCGCGGAGGAGCACACCTAGCGTCAGTAAGGCAACGGAGATAAAAACGCCCTCTGCAGGGAAGACGAGTGATGAAACAAAAAGGCCCAAGAGCCGAGCACACAGCACTAGGTCATCCTCCAGTCTGAAACGAGTATCTTCTGAACATGCTCAGAGGCATGGCGATAAAATACAGAGACCCGGCACTCCAGCGTCAAAATTCAACATTTTCGACGCATTTCAGATTCCCCACAGATCATCGACGGTTTCCTCAAGGCAGAGACAACAGACAAAAGATGATAGAGTGAGAAGATCAAGCAAATCTCAGGAGACAGTCTCGCCGACAACATCTGTCTCTGAAGACGAAACTGTCTTAGGACCTAGCAAACCTACCACAGCCTCGAGACACAAGACATCGTCCCCGTTACCCTCGCGGGCTAAGAAGCCTACAGATAGGTCTGGGACTCCTACCGGCGGGAGGTCAACTCCGGTAAACATCCAAATATCCAACGGGCAATCGACGCCTCGGGCGGCTAGTGTAAATCCTCCACCGCCCCCACCGCCTCCGGAAATACCACTGACAATACCCAAGGTTGATTATTTGTTACAACACGGAGGCTTGAATTATCATGTACCACGGAACTTTCTAGGTGCCGGCGAATCTGCAAATATGCCCCAGCAGCTTTTTGACCCGTTGACTGTTGGAAGTAGACTATTCGAGCCGTTCTCTAAACTACTCGAGGACTACGGAACGGTAATGTCGAAGCGTGGCTCACTCGCCGTCGCGACTGGGTACAGATCCGTTGCAAGAAGGTTACTGGACAGGCTAGAGGCGGTTTTCGCGCGAGATATCTCGCAGGAAGTGTGTGAATGCATCATGTGCATTGAACATGAACCCTCAGAAGACGCCAGCGGAGTTAGTTGGGGCGAGGTTCTTGAGCTTGTCTCTGGTCGAAGCGACTTGCCCGCCTGGCCACCGTTCCAGATTCATACAGAGCCAGATGCAGCAGAAATAGGGAAGACAACACATGTACCCATGCAGAAACTCGATATTGATGTACCGAGGGAATTAAGAGAACACTACGTCCTCCAGTCACGGAAGACAAAGCAGGCTGTGGATGATTGGCTCTCTCGCCAATCCCAAGATTCTACCAGTGCACCAGAAATGATTGACGATGAAACTCTCGCTTTTGCCATGCTGACCTATCTCGAACCGGAGCAAAGAAGACTTTTTAGCAAGTTGCTTGACCTGCCCACATCACCCCCAGCTCCAAAACCGCTGACACCAAAGCCACGAGAACGCCCAGAGGCATTAGCCATCGCCGGGCCGGCCATTCAACGCCTGTACCGCCTTGCTTCGGAGCCACGCGACCCGGATACGGCACTTTATATGGTGAACAACCACAACATGCATCACGCCCTGGCTACCCTTTCCGCCATTAGCAACGATGAATGGGATATTCTCATTTCAGGTCGCTTTGATGGTTTTCTTCGAAGCGGCGCTGAAGACGATCTTCCACCCACTTCTGCTACAGCACCTCCACTAGACGGTAGATCTCGGTCCCCACGAAAGAACGGCACCAATAGTTCACGTCCAGCTAGCCAGCCGTTTGGCCGTCGAAACGGACCAGCTTCGTTCGGGGCGCCGATATCCGTTGATGAAGAAAACGAAATCGCCGCTTTGGCAGAAATTGAGCGAGATATCTATGTGGGCATGGAAGCTTTGGAGGATGCATTCGAAGCTTTGCACTACAAAGCTGAGGCTGTTCGCACTGCGTTGCGCGAGCGTAGTGCTGGGCTCGCCGTAGCTAGCCAAGCGCGTCGTGGAAGCCCGGGTTATTTGGGTTCAGTTAGCCGAAGCCCAAACCCAGGATTCTCAGGATTTGGCGGCCATCCTGGTGGAATCGAGTGCGAGACGGACGACGGAATTGACGACGGGCTGTCCTCGATAGCACCGTCCGAATCTGCTAGTAACATTAGTTCTAGCCGAAGGCGAAGACCGAAAAGACGAACTGAGAGACGCACACCATCTGTGGTTGGGGAGGAAGATGAAGAAGACCACTATTTACATGTGCCCAAGCGAACTGGCACAGGAAGCTCTGGCAGAAGAAGGTGATTTATTCCTGACAATCAGAGCTCTGCCTCACCACTATCTTCTACTCTCTTTTTTTCCCCCAAACTCTTTCGCGCCTATGTTTGGTTTCTTCCCGCTTTCATACGTTCCAGATTGCATTGGCCTCGGAAACTGCGAGACTCCATTGTTGGCCAAATATTATGAGAAATGATAAAATTACGACACCACGGTATGAAGGTTTAATTGTGCCTATCTTTTCCTTTTCTTTTTTTTTTTTTTTTTTTTTTTTATATTAAATTTTGACGATTGCATTTGGCAGGTTTATATCTTGTTTGCTAGTTTCCTCCCAAGTTTCTAATCCAATTCCGTCCTCACTGTATCCTTCCCTCTTGTACTCCTGGCATCATGAGTTGTATTGCAAATCATAACTTCATTTGTTTTCCTGCAGGAAGTTATGTGTAATGCATGTTATGCAGCTGTATGCAGGATTGTGGTTTCTTCACCACCAAGTACTCCAAATAACCAGACAAGTGCAAGTCATTGTATTTACTCACAATGCATTGTTGCAAGTCCCTGACAAGCATAAAGTCTTACCAGTCAATTTAACTTCCAATTAACCTATCAATGGCGAAGTTGGGAAGATGTCTTTCCAACATCTCCTCTGCTTAATTTCTGATGAACTTTCCCCGTGTTTTTGCTTGGCTTCTCGTGGATTCATAGTTATAGAAAAGCTGAGGTCCTTGTGGTGATCCTCTGAACACTTCTGTGTACCGTTGAGCACCCGCCATACCTCGGAATCCGCCTCCAATATGGCTGAGTTGTAGTGTCTGGGGAACTGTATGACAGTACTTATAGGGGCATTTTGTACCTCAGACAAATGATAAACCAGCATCGATCCATACAGATGGGTGTATGTGAGCTTCCCACTTCATTATCACCAATAGTTAATTCAAAACAGCTGACAACATTTTTACCTAAGTGCCCTTGAACTACAATGAAAAGGGTTCCATGATTATACAAGGGCCACAATCAGCTTGGAAGACGGGTGTGTCAACCAGATAAACTTAACTGCGGGCATTATTACCCAACAATAAGGAACATATACCGATTGCAAAGGTAAGAGGTCAGGGTCAATGCGTTAGAGAAGGCCCCGAAAGTTGCAACTATATTTTACTACATATCATGGAGGAACAGCCAGAGACGCTAACCCATTTTTTTCAGGAAACAGAGTAGCTAACTAATCTATGTTGGCTCCACTCTACCGGCGGCAGTTCATCGAAGGTATGGAACTGTGTTATAAATAAATATTCCAGACTCACGACCCTGAGAGCGCCCCCATTTGATGCCTGGTAGTAGAGAATGATGCATTCAAATGAGTTTGACGTGCACATGAGGTATTGCCGCGCTTAAGGTAAAATTAACTAGCTATGCAGGCTCGCGCACCACATCCACAACAAGCAGACACGCGGGTACTGTACACCTAGCTGGGAGATAGTGGCTCCATCATAGATCTTGCTTTATTCCTGAGAAAATGTCTCAGATGCTTATTTCGGCGACAAAGCGTGCCATGTTTAGTTATTTTACGAATAAGGCTGCATTTTATGGCCGGCCACAGGGATTTCGATATGCTATGCAATTGCGTTAATTGCAGGTTCTTTGGGAATACGTATAGAAGCAATATAGTTCACTCCCCACTTCGTAGAGATCAACCTCCCCAGATGGGCCCAAGAGGCATGCTACGCCTTAATAACATTTCCGGAATAAGAGGCATAAGCATACGGACCTTTTTTGAACAATGAGGATCTACCTCGATGCAACTAGCCAGGAGCTCTTCAAATACTTGTACGGTACATGTTTCAAAAGCTAGATGACCGGCAGGATAAGCGCTTTGTGCGTATGAAAGGGAGTGCAACTGCAAGAAGGCGAGCGGAAAGCCGTGATGACCAAAGCTCACAGAAGTTACACTGTATGGGATCTATAGTCTCCGAGACGGTGGAATGATGAGATCTCCTAAAAGAGCTAATCGAAGCGTGCCTGATTTTTCTGCTGTTTTATCTATGGCAAGGACATCTCCGCGGGAGATCCAATTGACAGCATTGCTCAACCGAAAGGCCAGAAGGTATTCCGAATATTGCAAAGCTTAAGATGATATTTCTCTCGGCCTTCGGCGTCATAATTTCGCTTGTTGAAGCGAGCTTTCCGTGGCCGTATACGGAGTATTCCGTAATAACTATCCAAATATCAACAGCCAAACATATTGACGGCCGATGCTGCAAGTACAATTGCCGATCTCATATCAAAAATCGCAATTCGGAGAGCTATTGGTGTAGCCGATCAATCATACGACTTTAGCCCAAGAGCCCAACCTGTGGGTTTGTTTTGTACCACTAAAACCACGAAATTCAGGGGTTTATTGACCACAATCAACTAACTAGCCGCCAATGATCACCGTTTTGGGGATGTTCCCTTCAGCAACTAGCCTCTCCACGCACGCTGGTTTTCGATCTTTTCGAGAAGGATTGGCGAAGTTGCCTGGCCAGACTGCACAATATCAGAGCGGATGCTCATCCTCGTCCTCGTCCTCGTCCCCAAGGAGGAGGCCCAATCCGCAAGGGGGTTCTGGTCAGATCCTCCCAACACAAGAGCATCCACTCCACTCTATCAGTTCTGTGTGGATTAATCTGATAGACAGATTGCTTAAAAGACGATCCAGCGAGTTTTCAATCTGGCTGCTCGCGGTCAGCTGTTATTCGTGACACGGGCACTGAAACATAATCAAGTGATCTTGTCCCTCAGCAATCAACGCCACAAACTTCCGCTTTAAACCCGGCAAAGGCGTTTCTAGGCAAACTTTGATCGCGCTGGATGAAGGCTCCCGACCGTTGGTTTTTGAAAGAAATGGCCGGCCCCCACACAGCCCTCCTCTCGGCGCAAATTCACATCATTCTTCGCCTGGAGATACCAGTGAGAGCTCTGACCGACAGTAACTGATTATGTTGGCTGGTCACCGTCTGACTGCGACAGAGATTTGTGTCACCCTTGGCTCACTGGTAAAAACCGTGACGAATGGATCTCGGAACCGCGCCAAGTTGAGTCGGTCCACCCCGGCCATCTGGCCAGAGACCTGAGGCTGGATTTTGTCTGCTCGGAGCTCCCAGTTACATGGTGACTACCCCAGGTCCGTTCAACGTAATCTTAGAGAACGTCTGGCATGAGCCTTGTTTTTCTTCTTATCGCCTCTCTTCAGACAAAGAGGCCTGATCGTTGAGCTGTCAAACGTTTCGCATGCATGCGGTTGTTAGACAAGGACGTGGGCTTCAGTTTAACCAGATACTATCTGAACGCGGGAACAGGGATTCAGAAAGCGGATTCCGTCTTAGCTTCAAGGCACTCTTTTGACTTTTGTCCGTCGTGGAAGAACGGGAGACTTTTCCGACAAAAGTGGACTGCATTGGGGATGTCAATATGTCTGGATCTGGGCAATTATGGGGCCCCGATAGTGGATGTTGGAGATATAGTCCCTTGACCGATGTTTAGGACCATGCTCCTTTCCCAGTCCCTGTGCAAGCAGCCCTTCAGATCCTCTCCGCTGGGTTACCCAGGCTCTAAATTCTAATTCTTAGAGCCACCACTCAGCATCAACACCCCGGATTGTGACATATTTTGGGATGTAAATCCCTGTTTTACCGGACAATTAGATTCATTGTCCTTAGGGCAGAGGGGGAATAAGGCAGAAAGCTCTATATTCTGCATTTGGAAGAGCTCCTCAGGTATGTAATCCCATTATTGCCCTTGCAAAAAAAAGAAAAAGGACCCGTTTTCTCTTTGGTATCTAAGTACCACAATCTACACCTGCTTTTATTTTGACCCCTCCCCCCCCCGAGGCCACCTTAATTGTCCCCGGACCATCTTCGACTGTGTGAGTTCAGATGTAACGAGCACGACACAGACCAATATACCATGATTTTACGAACCGCTCTCCATTTCATCCTTGAGCAGAGGCGTATTGACGATGGACATGCCATTATCCAGCGACGAATGACCCCAAAAATCATTGACCCTCTTCCTGTCTCTCACCGTCGGGGACTCATCGCCGTTGGCGTCACATCGTTGCTGTCAGCCATCTCGACAGTAGGGCTATTCCTCTTCATCACATATCGTCTGGTTTTCTGGCGCAAGCAGCACCCCAACTATATCGGCTTCAACCAATACATCATTCTGATCTATAACCTTCTCATCGCTGATTTTCAAGAAGCCCTCGGATTCCTTCTTTCTATAGAATGGATTGCCCGGAATCATATCAGCGTCGACTCCCCGACATGCCCCGCTCAAGGTTGGCTGTTGCAGATTGGTGACCCAGCAAGTGGGATATTTGTCACGGCGATTGCCGTTCATACCTTCTTACTTGTTGTTATGGGAAGGAAGATGTCCCATCGGACCTTTATTTTCTTTGTGGTTGGCCTTTGGGGGTTTTGCCTCCTCCTCGTCTTGACTCCTACGGCAATGCATGGGAGGAAAACGTTTGCTCCAAGTGGTGCCTGGGTATGGGTTCCCTGACAACCTACCATTCTAAAATCGGTATTAACCCCGACTTTTAGTGCTGGATCGACGAAGAATTCGAGGCAGCCCGCCTCTGGGGACACTATCTATGGATTTTTGTTGCTGAATTTGGCTCTATAGCGATGTATTCCATCCTTTTTTTCTACCTACGACGACAACTTTCCGCTTCTCCACTCATAAGCGGAGGGCAAAAAGAACACTTACGCCGTCTCCGCCGCGTCACAGGCTACATGGTTCTCTATCCGCTCGCATACATCGTCCTGTCCCTTCCGCTCGCAGCCGGCCGCATGGCAATGGCCCGTGGAGACAAGCTAAGCGTCGTCTACTTCTGCGTCGCGGGGGCCCTGATCGCCAGCTCCGGGTTTGTTGACGTAGTCATGTACGCAATGACTCGTCGAGCGCTCATTGTGGACTCCCAACCGTCCAATATCGACAGAACGTACGCCTCGGCTCGACACCAACAAAACCACAACCACATCGCGACCGTGACGGCGGAAAATCGGGCATCCCGTGCGCTTTCGCGTCGGTCCTACCAGCACCATAGACGACGGGATACGGAGCGTACACACCGTCGAGGCTCGGCAGATAATATCATACAAGAGCAGCCGGACCTGGAGATGCTGGGTTTCGGAATGGGAAAAGTATATCAGAAGACCACGATTGAAATTACAAGTGAGCCATTAGATGCCAGGGAAGACGTGAGCACCGGCACGGCCTCATCGACCGGCCCGTCGTACGAATTGGTGAATCCGATTGATGGGATACCTGTGCCAGGAGGCGGTTGGATGTCTCCAAAATGAGTTTTGAAACGTTTGATATATTGTTTTTCTTGATACCTCTTTCGGTGGGGGACTGGGGCTTGCTATGTTTTCGGATAATATGGCTCTCCTTGTATAATGGCGTTTCGTGAAAGGAGGTTTAGGTGCTACGGATTTCAATCTTGGTGTTCATGTGCGTTGGCTGCAAAACGGCTTCTAGAGATAAAGGGCTTTATCTCTTTCCTTTCTTACATTCCTCCCTTTTCCCCCATCATCTTCGTTTTTTATTTTATTTTATTTGTTTTATTTTATTTTCCAGGGGTTGTCTAATGGATGCCCTAGGGCGAAGAGGACCTAATCCAATAATCAGAATGTTGAAATAGATTCTCACCTGTTGGTAGTTTAGAGACGGCTACATTCCGCGTTTTGTTTGCGAATCCGGAATATTAGTTAGGTCAGAAATCGTCCCCTAAACACAAATAAGGTTGATCTGTAGTACACGGTGTCCCTGTAACGGGGGTGTCGCAAGGCTCTTTTTAATTTTCTTTTCTTCATTTTTCCCCTCGAAAACTATAGGTAACAAGTGGTTAAACCTACCAAATACTTAACTTACCTGACCGCACAAAATCCCAGGCGGTCAAGTCTCGCCTTTAGATTTTCGCTCTACAAAGGCCGCTTTGGTGGTGAGGAAAGACGGTCTGATTTTCACCGCAAAGACAGACGCATGCATATGTATATGTATGTATGGGCTTTGCGGCAGGAGACACCCAAAGTCGGGAACGTACATAAATACGTATCTCACCCGCATCGGACGGAAAAGGCTGGTATATGCTAGTATCCGTCTCGTGCAATGGACTTTCGCACCGGCTAAGTCCGGCGGTCTCTTATGGAGTAAAATATACTTAATGATAGGGCTAGAACCTCTGTTATCCGCGGAGGATCACGGAGCACCGGTTCTGGGGGTGGTCCTTGCAAGACACTGGCGGCGATGTAAGTCAGGGGGCGTGCGTCGTTCTTTCGGAGATGGGGTAGTATCATTCAGACCATCTAGTACTGATTTCGTTGAGGAAACAACAAGAGGAGCCAACTATGGGTTAGGCTAATTCCTGCAAACCGTTCCGGTGCTCCATTTCATGTGGTACGTACTGTGATATGTCACTAGCGATGAGCAATAAATTTTTTTTGGTATGATCCCCAGGCAAAGCACTGATGGGTGAGGAATGAAGCTCATTGGATTTGGAAAGAATAAAACAGAGCAGATAATCTGCCTTGGCGCAGTGAACAAGCCCTGTGTAATCTCTAGGGCAAAGAACTAGCCAATCCAGCGAAAGGAATGGCTTGGAGAGATGGATTGGCTGTACGTGGAATGCTATTTCCACTGGCTATGTTCAATCTTTTTTGGGGAGAGGGGGAAGATCGGAGAAAAGGCCGGGCTGGCTCCAGCCAGATAAAAGATTTAACCCAAGTCGCGAGCACAGATCGTTGATCGACAGTGATATCAGTATTAACTTGTCCAGCGCATAGCTTGCCACTGATGATATGCTCTGCGAAGCACGAGGAGCTAATACCTGGGTAGTCGCCTGGAGCCAAGTTGGCGACATTAGCTAAGGTGACTTTTTGAATTGAGAACGTGCTGCGGGATTCCAGGCATCATGATGAGCCAGATGGAAGATAGAAATGTCGAGAGAGACGGTCAGACGACCGGGCTGTCGGAAGCGAGTGAGTGGGTGGCAAGTCGGTCAGAAACGACTCCTGGGATGCCCCTTTCATCAATCTATCACCATGACGCCATCGTGACTGCCCCAACGGGAAGTGCATCAGAGTCACTTCTTTCTGTAACTCAGTTGCGCTGACATAGAAGTGAGGTAAGCAGCCGCCTGTACAAATAGCCACTGTCTCTTCTCTGTTTGTCTCCTGGACTTCCCGGAGCTTCACCTGTCGGCGATCTGAATACCCAATCCGGCATTCGCAAAATGTACGCAACGCGCATAAAGGCTTTCATTCGCCAGCTCTTTTAACGGAAGAGCCGCAAACCCTTTGAATGGTTCACCTCAGAAATACATATATCTCCCAACCCAGTCACCCCCCACAAGTTCTCCCACTAGCAGCCAACAAAGCTAACTAACCCAGCACAGAATGAGGTGAGTTATATCGACCTCTCAAATGTAGATGAATGGTCCAAGGATGCCATAGTTTCCTGGAAGTGGAGGAGACCGAACGCCTCAAATTCGAATCACCATGCTATGAGATGGAGGACGCTGATTCATGCGCCAGTTGACGTTGGGCCTTGAGGGGTCTAGCTCAGACCTAGCAGGATGTATGTATGTATGTGTGTATATACACATACATCTGAAAGAACGTGCGTCTCTGCCACTAATTTAATTTATCACACTGGCTGACACTAGTCTTGGTAAAATAATCCCAATCCATCGACAGTGTGGATATATAAAGTCGTCCTTGACCCAGCTTGAACCCAAGGTTAAAGACAATTTGGGTGAGCATTAGGCTTGACTTCGTGTAGATGGACGGGCATGGCAGGTGGGAACCTGGGCAGATTCTAGCAAAGAAGCAGCGGAATTTAAAGTCGCATGCTAATTTTGATTGGCACCAACTCGACGCAGTTACATCGAAGACATTCTCCCCTGGCCCAGCAGTCTTGAAGCACACCCTTCAAAAGCACAGGTGTGTGTTACGGTTCATTCAAGCGGTTTTGATCAGATATAATGGACCCTCTTGTTTGGGGAAGTAGCTTGATGTGCACGGCCCCTTTCTCTCTCTCTCTCTCTCTTTTTTTTTTTTTTTTTTTTTTTTTTTTTTTTTTTTTTTTTTGGGTGGGGATAGTATATGACTTTGAGGCGTGTAGGGATTTTGTCTGTAGCGCACTTTGTACAAAGTCCCAGAGATAAAGAGCACTTTTCTCTTTCCTTTTTTCCCCACCAGAATCTTCAAATAGACTTTATGTTGGGACGTTGACAAACGTCGGCTGTACACTATGGATAGCTAACAGGAGCGCGAGCTACTCGAGGTTCTGACTTGCATTTGGCTCCTCTAAACGAATACGTGATATTGACGTCAACTGTACGGGCCAAAAGGAAGGAATGTCGTTGCAATAGCCTTGAAAAAGAGTGTCTGCGGCTCTCAACCTTGGGCAGGGGTTATCGTAAAGCTTCATCAAGGAGTCAGCCGGATATCGAATCGTACCATGGCTCTTGCGGCAGGAACCGTCTGATTGGGACTCAATATGACGAATAGACATATTCTGTCCCGTGAGCCACACATTATTTTCATTTCCCCCCTTTGTTTTTCTTTGTCTCCACACAGAATATATTAGCACCGACATGCGTTTCGCCAGTCTTTCCAGCGAATTCTCCAAGGTCTTCCACATGAGAAAGGCGTTGTCCCAATGAGTGAGAAAGCCGAGACAGGAACTGCCCCTCCGCAAGGAGAGGAGAAGCTCACCGTCAGTAGCGACACTGATTCGGAAAAACTACAAGATGGCGTGAAGCAGGCCAAGGCTGTGGCGGCAGCATGGACCAAGACTGCTCTCGTGGGAGCATACGTTGGGTATGAGCCCTCGAGTCACATTGCTTCGCATAAGCTGGATGCCTAACTTGAATGTGAAGGATCTTCCTGGTGTTTTTCGTCCTTTCTTTGCAGCAACAGATCACGGGGAATTTGACCGCATATGTGACAAGCGCCTTTTCCAAGCACACCCTGTTGGCCACAACGACCGTAATCTCCAGCATCATTAGCGCGGCCGTCAGACTTCCAGTGGCAAAGATCATGGACATCTGGGGTAGGGTTGAAGGGTACTTGCTGATGGTTTCGTGCTGCACTCTGGGTAAGCAACTCATTGCCAAAAAAAATCCATATAACGAACGCAACCGACCTTTACCGATAGGTTTGGTCATGATGGCCTCTTGCAACTCTGTGGAGATGTACGCCGCAGCACAGGTGCGTTAGAAAACATAACTCACCAGTCTTGAAAGAAATAGGTTTCTCTGACTGGAGGTCGATAGGTATTTTACTGGGTCGGACATAACGGCATGGCCTATGTCCTCGATATTTTTCTGGCAGACACTTCGAGTTTGAAGAACCGAGGCTGGCTGTTCGCCTTCTCGACCAGCCCTTATATTGCAACCACGTTTGCCGGGCCGGCGGCTGCTCATGCGTTTTATCGCTTCAGCAGTTGGAGATGGGCTTTCGGGACTTTCTCGATCGTATTACCCCTTGCTTCCGCCCCAGTAGCCGGCATCTTTTTTCAGAGCCGGAGGAAGGCGATGGAGTTAGGATACCTGGCCAAGAAGAGGAGCGGTCGAACCCTAATACAATCAATAAAGCATTACTTCGCCGGGTTCGATGGTAGGTAGCCACAGTATCCCCTGGACTAAAGCCAGTAACCAACCAAAAACTAAAATAGTTATCGGGATGATATTGCTCATCGCTGCCTTCGCATTAATTTTGCTTCCATTTAGCATCTCCACTTATCAAAGTGCAAACTGGAAGTCACCAGCGGTGATATCAATGTTAGTCATCGGAGGATGCTCTCTTGCCGCCTTTGTTCTCTGGGAGCGGTTTGGTGCTCGGGTGTGTCTCGCGCCATTCCATCTCCTTGTCGATAGAACGGTCGTCGGAGCGTGTTTGGTTACCGGCACCGTGTTTCTCAGTTTCTAGTATGCAATGCTCCAAATCTTCCATTTGCCTGAACAAAATCTGGGCGCTGACAATCCACCTTGTAGCTGCTGGGACGTGTACTTCCTGTCTTATCTGCAGGTGGTGCACCGCCAAACAATCCAGAACGCAGGATACATAGGAAATATCTACAGCATCGGGACCTGTGTTTGGTCCCTTGCGACTGGGGCGTAAGTTGCTCAGATATCCTCAACCTGCGGAAAGACAGCGGCTTAAAAAGAGGTTCACAGGATAATCCGTGCCACCGGCAGATTCAAGTATCTTGCTCTGGCTGCGATCCCATTGCAGATGATTGGAGTTAGTTTGATGATCCGGTTTCGGAAACCGGGGACAGACATAGGGTTTATTATCCTATGTCAAGTTCTCATTGCCCTCTCCGGTGGTACGATGGTAATCTGCGAACAGATTGCGATTATGGCAGCAGTCAGCCACGGAGAAGTGGCCGTCGCTCTCGCTCTTCTTGGGCTTTTCAGCAGCGTTGGAAGCGCGATAGGACAGACGATCGCTGGTGCCATCTGGACCCATACGATTCCGCAATACTTGAAGATGTACCTCCCCGAATCCGCAAAGTGGAAGGCAATGGAGATATACAACTCTCTGGAGGAACAGCTGTCATACCCGATGGACTCACCAGAGCGCCAGGCAATAATGTCTGCCTATGAAGTAGGCCAGCGACGGATGCTGATTGTGGCACTATGTGTGCTGCCCCTGGCAATGGTGTGGATTTTAATGTGGAGGGATATACAGCTGAAGAATGTGAAGCGGGCTAAAGGAACGGTGTTTTAGACAGCCCTTAGATGCAGCTGTACGGGGTATGAAAGGTTGAATGATCTTGTCTGTTGCTTTTGCTTGCAAGTATTGGATATTGGAATATGCAAACGCTCGATCAATGATGACGGCTTCCCATGTCTTCTCTTCCTAACGTCAGAGAAGAGAGGGGGGGGGGGGGGGGGGGGGGGAATTTCAAGCACCTTGGCGGACCAAGTAGCAAACGAGGACCCTTCAGGCACCGAGTCGCAGCAGGCACATCCGGTTCTCTCGTGTTCTGATATAAATATCGTCAAGACTCAAGGGGTCGAGCAGGCCAGACAGGGCCAGGGGTAGGGGAGGAGGTTCGTAAAAGGGACACAAAAAAGTCTGGGGCGGCCGACTTTTGTACACATTTTATGCCCCAGCCATTTCATGAATAATCAATGCATAACTTGCACAGCGCCAACCCAAGACAAGTGGGGCTGTGCTATCTTTGGGGCTTCGGATGCGGCGTTACTGTATGTACCAAATGGCCATCCGCTGCCTCGTGCTCTGTGCACCCATTCGCATGAGCAGAAATGCGTCTGGAATGTTTGTCCCGCTTGATAGGAACCGCCAACACGACGACACATGTTCTGTAGACAGAAGTTTCTGGATTTGAAACCCTCACGCTTCATATCCGTTGCCAGGTCCGGAGTTCGACTCACTAGTTCCGATATCTCCTTCGAACCCGACCACATGCAGGCTGGAAAATATGGATGAATGTGCGTGTCGAGTCGTCGAGATGTGCAGTATGAATTCAGCTGCATAACTTGGCGGACCCGACGGCAACTCGGCATAACACGAACACACGCCATACTGCCTTCGGCTAGTGCGGGGAGCTGCTTTGTCATTGAATGTTAAATGAGCTACCAATAACATCCAAAGCCTATTCTCGCTCCTCCAGCCCAAACTCGCTCCCGTGGTTAAAGCTTTCTCGCGAGCTGAAAGGAATGATTGGGGATTTGAGGGGGGAGGGGCCCTTCCGAGCCCGATGGAGCCCGTCCACCCGGAGTCTGCTCCCCTGCGATAGGTGGATAAATTGTTATTTCGCGACGCCAGTTTGACAGGTGTCATATCCTCCCGCAAAATGGACAGGAATATCCGCAATGAATCGATCAAATCTTAAAGGCGCAGAGAGCCCCGGAGAGGGCGAGGATCCGAGGCAGCTAGGGGGCCCGCTAAGCTTTCAGGACAGAAAATGCAAACGCTTAACTCGCGGTGGCTGCCATCCCCTTGGGCTTTCTCGGGAGTTCGGGACCGGTCTGCGGCCTCGAAGACGGCTTTTTCTTAGGCTCGCAGGAGTGCGGTACATAGCTTCGCCGGAGTACGGAGTTAGGGGCTAATTTATGAAATCCGTCATAATATTCCACATTATGCAAAGAAAATTATTTTCCTGCGCCTTTTATTTTTCTTTTGCTCCTTGACAGGGTTACCTGCACTATATCTACCTTGGATGCACCCGAAACCAGGTCGTTTTGTCGGCTCAAATCTGGGCGGTTTTTCCCATTTTTGACATTGGAAACCGAACCAACAAACTTATTCCCATATTGGTATCATTATGATGGCAGTCTAAGCTGTGATCTGTGATATTTCGTGCAGTAACTTGCAAGTTCTCAGTCTCATCATAAGGCCTCCCCAAAACACAGAAAGAAATAGGGCTGATCAGCAGGAGCCACTATAATGGCGGATAGCAGTATGGGTTTTCTTCTTAAATGCTGGTTTATAACTTATTGCTAAAAATCACGGACTTTCGTCCGATATAGGAGCTTCGACAATGGTCGAAGCAGGCGGGACAGATCAACAGCCGAAATCGAGTAGCAGAAGCCCCTCAGTGCACCGAGGAGAGAAATCCAGCGATGACACCGTTGACCTTGAACTTGCCATCTCTGATGTTGAAGATAAAGATGTGAAGGTACCAGAAGAATCCCGAGATCCAAATATCGTCGACTGGGATGGCCCAGACGACCCTCAAAACCCCTTAAACTGGAAGATTAAGAAGAAGGTCATGATTGTCTCTTCAATAGCGATAATCACATTCATCACGTAAGTTCTTTCCCCCCTGGCGCATTCACCCTAGGTTCGTTTCGGTTACAGCTCTAACCCAATCTGCCAGGCCTCTCGGATCGTCCATGTTTGCGCCGGGTGTTGCAGATGTGATGAGGGAATTCCAAAGCCACAGTCCAGAACTCGCCTCTTTTGTCGTCTCAGTGTATCTGTTGGGATACGCGTTTGGCCCGCTAATTCTCGCGCCCATGTCCGAGTTATACGGCCGATCACCAGTTTATCACGTCTGCAATGTCTTTTTCGTTGTGTTCAATGTTGCCTGCGCTGTCGCGAACAGCCTTGATTCTCTTATCGTGTTCCGATTCTTTGCCGGTGTCGCTGGTTCTGCACCTTTAACTATTGGTGCAGGTTCCATGGCGGATATGATCAGGCAAGAGAAACGTGGAGCAGCGATGGCAGCGTGGGCCTTGGGTCCCTTGTTGGGTCCTGTCATCGGACCTATTGCTGGAGGATACCTGACTGAGGCTAAAGGATGGCGATGGACTTTCTGGGTCCTTGCGATTGTTGTAAGTCCAAACGGAATGCCCCCAAAGGCTGATTTATATGGATTGGTGCTGACTTTCTGACAGTCTGGTGCGATCACAATCAATACATTCATATTCATGCGAGAATCGTACCACCCCATTCTTTTGGCCCGCAAGACGAAACGGCTCATCAAGGAGACCGGAAATCAGAATCTAAGATCAGCTCTAGACAGGGGAATCGAACCCAAGCAACTTATCCTCCAGTCCATCATTCGCCCCACAAAAATGCTCTTTTGCTCGCCTATTGTGTTTCTACTTTCACTCTATGTTGCCGTTGTATATGGCTACCTCTACCTCCTCTTCACTACTATATCATCGGTCTTTCACGACCAATATAACTTTTCGCAAGGTGAATCTAACACGAGACCACAGTTCGTCGAGCACAGCTAATATGGATTGTCTAGGAAACGTCGGCCTTGCTTTCCTCGGTATTGGCATCGGAAGCGTGGGCGGTTTGGGATTTATCTCTATAGTTTCGGATCGGCTTCTCAAAAAGCTATCCGCAAAGAGTGGCGAGATGAAGCCGGAATACCGTCTTCCCCCGCTCATCCCAGGCGGCTTGTTCATCCCAGTTGGGCTCTTCTGGTATGGCTGGACAGCTGAATACGGGGTACATTATATCGTCCCTATTATCGGCACCTTCTTCGTTGGAGTGGGCATGATTGTCACCATGGTAAGGCCCCAGCGTTATCCATAACAATGAAGAAAAGCATCTAACAAGGTATAGATGGCGACGTCCACCTATCTTGTTGATGCATATACCATCCATGCTGCCAGCGCGATGGCAGCCAACACTCTCCTTCGTTCCGTTATCGGCGCTGTTCTGCCGCTTGGTGGGCTGAGGATGTATGAGACTCTCGGCCTAGGTTGGGGTAACTCGCTCCTCGCATTTATTGCATTGGCCCTTGTCCCGCTTCCGGTAATATTTTTCCGTTACGGGGAGAGAATACGGACGAGTAAACGATTCCAGATGACATTTTAGTCGCTTTTTCCCGCACCCTCCTTCTTTTTGCCTTTTTATCCCATCTTTGTTCGTTGTGCATATTGATCAGGCATGTGTCTATAATCTCCTCTGCTTTGCTCTTGATTGATACCATCCCTAGATATATCTACATTCCCATTCCATGTGCATATTACGTATTCTGGCCTGAAATGTTGCTTTCAATGGAAAGCTTCACGAACAAAGTTTTTCTTGGTTTTCATTCATTTTGTATTATCACATCCGCGATGGCGTTGCGTGAGGTATATGTATAACTGTATGAATCTTAAAGCTGTATAGTATTTTATAAGAGTTAGAATTGTATCTAGATCCTATATCTACCCAATATCCAAACTAGATTAATTCTGCACGCAATGAAGCCCGCCTACTGCCCACGGACTGCTCTTGCGGTTAATTCATGCTAAAACTTTCAGTTGATCCATCTGTGGGAGTTTCTAGAAGCTCCAACTTGTTGTCAGCAACGGCCAGAATTAAGGAGCTGTGATTTGTTCGGAGTGCGGAGTACTGTGAAACTTTGATAAATGAAGTGAAGTCATAAAGATTTAAAGGTTCAGGAAGGGAGTTGTTGAAGAAAAGTTGGTGTTCGTGGAGTAAATTTGTCAGGAATTCAACCTTTCTGATGAGCTTAAAGCGCTACCAGAGACTCAGAGAGTTAGTTTTCCAGTTTCTCGAATTTTCCTCGGGATAACCGGTACAGCGGTAAGCTAAGGCAGCGAGTGACAGATCGTTCCATGAAATTTACCTTTTACTTTCTTTTTCTTGTGCATTTATTAGTGTGCCATACAGTACAATTAAAACTCAGGATCCGGGGTTTGAGAACTACCACCGGGGAAGTCGCGAGGACTTCATTTTCGCAAAAAGTCTGGACGGAAGCTCTCGTTGGCCGACAGGCAACGCGGGGAATTGTCAGAATAAGCTCGGGCCTCCCCACTTGGCCGCTGCGCTTAACCACGCCGTCGGTGTCACTTACATCATCACCTGGCATTCAAATCCTTTAATCACCCACCCATCGGCAGTATTGTTTTCAGTGTGTAAATCTACGGAGGAAAGAGGCAAAAATCGCTGCTTGTTAAACGGCGATCTTCAAGAGATGTAGGAATCGAAGATGCTCATCCATCCACTTGATCGTTATGGCAGAAATTGACGAGGATATCGCAATTGTGAAACTTCCTTTCCTCAGGAGCCACCACCTATAGCTTTTGCTGACAATGTCTCTTTTCAAGAGTTACGACGATGACAGAGATTCCACCCTAGGCGAGGATATATACCCGTATGGTTGTTGGCGTGCTTTGAGACTAAAAATTGCACAAACTAATTAGTCCTTGCTTTTAAAAAGAGAGACTGAAACGCTTCGTTCGAGTATCATGGACTATCAATACGAGAACGGAAGAAGATATCATGCGTATCATTCTGGATCATACTGGTGAGTTCCAGATACCTTTCTGTGGCACTTCCTGGAGATCAATGAATCCACTTGTGGCTGAGTGATTGATCAGGGGACCCAACGACGAGAAAGCCAAATGGCACGCAGATCTCGGGTATGCCGCTGAATTCTGCTTTTTGTAGGAATGGAATTGATACCTAATTCTATGCGCCATAAGTCACTATCTCTACAAACTTCTCCTTCGTGGAAAGTTATACCTCGCTCCGATACCGAAGAACCCACAAGTAAGGGAAACCACACCGTAACACCACTCAAAACTAGGTGTTGATGTTTTAATCACAGCGTGTAATTGACATTGGTACTGGAACTGGTGTGTCCTCTCACATTGTTTTAAGATCGATTTTAATTTACAAGCTAATAGCCTTTCAGGAATATGGGCCATGTTCGTATCTACTGCTGACACCATAGTACAAAGGAGCTCTGATTTTTTTTATTTATATTTTGTGTTAGAGAATTCGCCGATAGACATCCATCCTCAGCAGTAACCGGCACAGATCTCTCTCCAATCCAACCAACTCTAGTCCCGCCAAATTTGTCTTTCGAAATTGACGACTGCTGCGACGAATGGCTGTATGCTCTAGAAAGCTTCGACTTTATCCATGTTCGAGGCTTGTACGGCTCCGTGTCAGACTGGGATGAGTTCTATATGCGAGCAATAAAGTATGTGTTCTACCTAAAAAGGTCTGCCATTTTGGCTTCATGGATAAAGCCGTGCTCTTTCTAAGAGTGCTGACATGTTTTCTTCTCAATAGCCACTTAAAGCCCGGCGGATACATCGAACAAGCCGAACTAAGCGTCAATGCAAAATCAGATGACCATTCTACCGACGGAACTGTCATGGAAGAGTGGGCCCGCGCCTTCTTTGACGCCGGTGATGCTCTTTGTAAATCATTCCGCACAGTTGACGAGGCGAAGTCAAAAATCATTGCTGCCGGTTTTGAGGACGTTACTGAGCATCGATTCAAGTGTCCGATTGGCGAATGGCCGGAGAATCCGAGGTTGAAAGAGCTGGGGAAGGTTATGCGCTTATATTTAGAGGAAGGGGTGGAAGATTGCTCGGCAAGGCTACTGCCAGAGGTATTAATGGTAGGTGTCATGCTAGAATTCGGCATCATATGGTTTCTTTTCTTGTGGAGTGGATTGTTTTGACACAAGTATCAAATTATTGATGAATGTAGTGGAGTACGGAACAAGTCAAAGATATCCAAGACAGAATGAGAAAAGCATTACGGGATAATGCAATCCATTCATACTGTGAGATGTGAGTTCCTCTGCATGTTTGACACTGGTATGCGATTAACACATTTCTAGATCTGTTGTTCATGGTCGAAAACCTTGTCGCGACTGACCATCTCTGTTGCTTGTTTGGTTGCGCGCACCAGGGAAAATTAGCAAGAGATGCAGGAATGCATCTGGGGAAAGTTGTTTCTTTTGATGTCCCTTGCTTAAATAACTAGAGAAACAGTCCAGGTGGGGGCTGTTAGAAACTAAACTACCAAAATCATCTAAGATCATATCATGTGTTTGTATATCCAGTGCATGGAAGCCAAAGTATACAGAAGCTTGGGATGCCTGAAAGAAGTGAAAGCAAGCCCCCAGACAACCAAGAATATTTTGTAATTTTAGTTATGGTTCAGCTCGAACTTGGGCTCAATGTACCTCTTCAACTCAGCTCGGGCCTTGGTTTTCTGTTCGAACGCATACGCCATGCCAATCAATTCCTGCTCGCTCCAATGCTTTCCCATAAAACCAATTCCGAACGGAAAGCCAGGGCTAACTGTAACGAGTTCTCTACGCGGTTCGTGCTCAACTTTCTGATCTTCGGGATACGCGCCAAGCGGCACACTGATCACTGGGGTACCAATGACACCGGGAACCGGGTAGGCAGCATCAGTTGGAAGCACCGTAGCATCAAGGTTATGTCGCTCAAGAGCACCAAGGAGGCCGCCTTCGCCACCGAAGTAGAGGTTCTTCTGATACAAAGGCCAAAATTCAGGGGAGGTGTTGTTGAATCCTTGCTCGAGGGCGAGGTCCCAAGTCTCAGTGTTGCGGTTTGGGTATTGCTCGAAGGGCGAGGACTGAGTAAACTTGCGAGCGTCAGCCAGACTGTGTATGTTTTGCGGGTTAGCTTCCAGCTGGGAGAAGTAGCGTGCGAGATCGCTGATAAAATCTGCATTAAGGACACTGCCGGGGATGTCACTAGTCACGAATTCTTGATAGGCAGTGAAATTAGTATCCTTAACAATGATAGCCCCTGCGCTCTCCATGATTGAAAGCGCAGAGCGAAAAGCATCTAGAACAGGTTTATTTGTAGGGTTTTTGCCGAATGATTCTAGAACATTAGATGGAACGCCGATACGCTTTCCCTCTAGCGCAGTGAGTTTGCATGCCGAAACATAATCTGGTAGATTGGAGAACGGGATAGCAGAGGTGTAATTATCATTTGTGTCTTCCCCTGCAATGGCTTGGAGAAGCACAGCTGTATCTTTGACCGTTCTCGTCATAGGCCCAATCGTGTCCTGATGGGCGCTGATTGGAATGACAAGGTACCGAGAGGTCAGGCCGACTGTTGGCTTAAGCCCGACGATATTGTTAGATGAGCCTGGAGACACTATGCTTCCGCTTGTCTTATCAAAAGTTAATATAACTGATCCACAAAGCCACACGGGTGTAAAATAGAAACAGGAGAACATACTTCTGTGCCCAGAGTTGCCCAGGCTAAACCAAGATCGGATGCCACTCCACTACCGCTTGAGCTTCCGCTGGGGTCCTGATTAGGGTAATAAGCGCCAGTGACCTGACCTCCATATGCATTCCATCCATTGGTGCTGTTGGTAGACCGGAAATTCGCCCATTCAGAAAGCCCTACTTTTCCCAAAATGATTGCACCGGCATCTCGTAATTTCTTTGCCACGGTTGAATCCTCGGGGAGTTTTGTATTCAGAAGAGCATAGGAGCCAGCTATATGTACAGAAATTAGCACCTAGTCGTTTAACCCAATGTATGTGGAGGACACATGTGTCAGCAGGCGCTACTTACCAGTGGTTTGGAGTTTGTCACGGGTACCGATGTTACCCTTTAGTAGAATCGGTAAACCATGCAAAGGACTGAACTTGCGTGTTAGACCGAAATGAACGTCTGCTGTTAATTTATACACACCCTCTGATATTCTCTCTGTGTCGCTCCCGGTCAAGCTTTTTAGCGGTCTCAAGAGCGTCCGGGTTCAACTCCGAGACGACATGCAAGGTGTCGTTCACTTCCTTAATTCTCATAGAATACGCCTACGGGATACACCAGTCATTTAGTGACTATCATTGAATTAGGTCTCAAAATTAACACTGACATTGACCAAGTCAACGCTGGTAAAACATTTGCGGGACAAGCCATCCTGGAGCTCCTCGGCGGTCGCGTCAATCAATGACGGGTACTTGCACGACTGACCTTCCGAACCAACTATGTGAGATTTAAATTAATGCTTTATTCGAAGCATTTAGCTTGTCACATACCTGCACAAACAGTTGCAGGCAGCGGAATCAGGAAGAGTCCGGATGCAATGCATTGCAGCAGAGAGCGCACAGAAATCACCATTGCATCGAAGTAAAAAGAAAAGATGAGAAATTTCCGTGCTAACGAGGTGGGAAGGCTGCTTGCTATATCTCTAAAGGTGGATATATGGAAACTACAGTTGAGATGAATTAATTTAACTCACCGTTTTATTTCTGTGGTGGTGGCCTGGAAAACAACACATCAGCCGTCTGGGAGAACCTCCCAGGCTGCGGGATAGAATCAGCCATGCAACCCAAGAGACCCTGCTCATTGGATTGGATCGAGCGCTCCCGGCCCAAGAAGGCAGGTCGGGCTGGGTAGAGAATATTGGAACGGGTTCTTTGTTGGTGGCTGCATGGGCCGGGGGATGTCCCGAATTTCACCAGGAAAACCACTGAAAGCAACGGGCATGGAGACGAGGGCCCTTGCGAGTTCTCGAATTCTAGTCTTCGGCTTCATCATTAGAGCCGATTCGTGCCGGTTTACTCGGATTTCAAACTATGTGAACACGGAAATATTTCCCTTGCGCTCCTGGATGACGGCACTGTTTCAAACTCCTTAAGTAAGTGAGTGAACTTAAGTGTGCACCAACAAATCCTCGATGGTCTAACGGTTATGATTTCCGCTTGTCATTTGTTAACAATTAACAAGCGCGGGAGACCAGGGTTCGACTCCCTGTCGGGGAGAAATCATCTTTTTTGCTTTTTTTGGTTTTACGCTCGCTGGCCTTGATTTTTTGCTCCTTTTTTGGTTTTACGCTCTCTGGCCTTGATTTTTTGCTCCTTTTTTGATAATTCTCGTTTGTGTACCTCTTGGGTCTCCATCATTTCCCCAGGCGCTTTTCTTCGATGCGGACTCACCCACCCCCATACGGAGTACACTGAAAAGTTTTATCATATCTGAAATTCATTGCTACAGTTTACTCCAAACTAAATGCTACCCCTGTCCAAGGCAAAGGCTCTATGCCGGGTAGGGTATCTCCCTTTTATTTTCTATCCCCCTATCTTTCAGTATTTGCTGATGTTTCAATAACTTATGCGCTAGGTCAATAGGCCAAGTTGGGACTCTAATTTCTCTGGTTAAGGGCTATCCCGTTCTCATGCGGGGATAGTTACCCCTCCGTTGTTGGTATGAGGAACGTAGTCCCCCCGTGCGGCGTGAATCCGCCGGCGCCTACTGAGTAGTATTCGGGTATAAATCCACATCTTCGTTGATGGCGACCTTGCCATCAAGGCGGAACCCAGCTACAATACAAAGCACTTGGCCCAATCTATCAACTAAAATTTAGGGAGAAATGCTCCCATCCTCAGCTGAGAGCCTGGGTTCATAAATAATGAAAAGGGGGTCGTTCGAGCCCCATTTTGACATTATCATATCCCCTAGCCATGTTTGCCTCAGGATGAGTGAGTCGAAGAGCGATCGATCTTCGTCGGTGCCAGCCGCACAGTTCCTCCTTCAGGTCTCTCATCACCTCGAAAACTCAAGAATTAAATTCCCCGTACTTCTTTCTTTGGAATAATACTGATTTTGAAAATGCCTCTTTCACCCCAATTTCCGCCGCTCGATATACCAAAAACGGACATTCTCACTTACCTGTTTCTCCAAGGCACAATTGCATCCGATGCACCAATTTGGACTGACGCGGAGAATCCAAAAATTAATCTATTAATGAGATGTTTGATCCAGGAACTTATAGGTGAATGGTCTACAAGTCGCTCCCGCAGAACTCGAAGCAATCATCCTCGAGCATGATGATGTCGAAGATGCCGGAGTCGCCGGAATCATGTTGTAAGTTCCGGTCTCTACTGTAGATTTTATCTGTTCGGTCGAAGCCAACTCAGACCTGTCGAATTTAGGAAGGAGGAGGAATATCCCGCGCATATGTGCACCTGAAACCCGGTGCACAAAGCAAGATACCACCAGCTGATATTCAAGCTTTCATAAAAGCACGGGTCGCCAAGCATAAGCAGCTAATGGGTGGAGTTACGTTTATAGAAGCAGTACCAAGATTGCCTAGCGGAAAGATTATACGGAGGTTGCTAAGAGAGTGGGCAAAGAAGGATGCTGAAGGCTTCAGTGATACAACCAAAGCAATGTTATAAGTGGGGAATGCACAGATGCAGGGGTTTGGTCTACTTCTCGATAGCATTTCCACTAGATACAGAAACAAAGATAAGTATATTAGAATAGCTTAAGAGTTCATAATACATCTGCTGTGACAAGGTGCTATTCAAGGTCTCGATAAACAAAAAGGGAACATGTGTATACAAAGGCGGAGAAGAAATAACAAAGGACGAATCAGAGATAAATTAAAGAATACGATACTGAGGAGCTTGCGAATGTCGCTGCGTTAATAACAACGTCCCATAAAATCAGATTCAAAGCGTAGTGTTGGAAAGCGATACAAGAGAAGAGAACAAAAATCTATGGATTGTCGTTTTATAAGGGAACGTCATCCATTTCTCCTTCTGACCCATTTCCGTTTCTTTTCGCGCTGCTGTCTTTACCCTTCGCTGAGCCAGGGCGGTTGCCTGACGGTTCAGGGGGCTTTCCTTGGTCCTCTTCTGGCTGCGGCTCAGAGGACAGGGGCTCAGGTGATTTAGGTGCTTCATTGCCGTTGGTGATCACTTCACTGATTCCATTCTCTTCGACTTTCTCGGTATCATTATCATCATCATCATCATCATTACCTTCCGCTGTACGTTTATCGGCATCAGACGAAGGGGTGGGCATTTTGTCTTCATTGTCTTTTGGAGGAGCCGGAGGAGGTTCATCTTCATCCGAATCGGTACCGTTGTGCGGCATTTTATTCTGTGGACCGCCCGGGAAAGGGGTTACTGGAGGCTCACGGTGCTCTGGTTTGAGTTCAGGCGGCGATTGAGATATACTTCCGCGGTTCTGACTCTTTACACTCGCGGCACCGGATGAATTCAAAATAGCATGCTGTCGGTTTTGATGAGCACCGACACCAGGCCCTATCTGCCTCAATTTCGGATCCGCATTTAAGTAATATCCCCGAACACTGACAATGGTGCCCTCTCGCTCGCAGCCATCGACCCACTCTGGTCGCACAACTGGAATGTTCATCTCAACAGCTTTCTCCCATGAAGGGCCTCTGCCTTCCGTACAGACAAAGTGTGTGGTGTCTATTTGTATCGAATCCACGATTTTCGCACCAATTCGTTCGACCGCGTTCTCAAGTGAGGTTCTCATCTCTGGCGGCATAATACCCGGAGTGACAGTGATTCCAGATAGATCTGTCATTTTGTGCGTTCGGCACACTAATTTCTGAGAACTAAATGTGCCCGCGGACGTGCGCAGGACAAGGTGAAAGGTGTATTCAGTGTCAATGGCAAGTCCGCTAATCTTTGTGCTGCGCATTTCCAACGGTCGAGGGATAGATCCTGCCTTAGAATCATTGCGATACAGGGATAGGGACTTGAGCGAGGCTGTGGCTAGGTTGATAGGATCCCATTCAAGGACAAGCGATGTCTGTGTCGCATTTTTAAGTCGTAGTACGGGGGCTGATGGCGTATTGATCCCATAGGTGTGAAGAATGCGCTTTTGAAGAGATTGGAACGCCGACACACTGGAAGCTTCGGCGGCTAGGTTTCGCGATACAGTGATATCAACAATGCTGCCAGAGGTGATGTCGCTAGGCAAGAGGACGGATGGAAACTCAATCTAAATCTCAGGGGTTAGCAAGATGCCCAAGAAGAGAAGAAAGCAGAAGACAAGAATAGAGCTATATTGGGGCCTGACTGGCTGAATGGTTGTGAAATTGGGCACGCACAAGTCGGTTGTCTTGGGTTAGGAGGACTGCGACGCCTGCGTCAACCTTCCCAACAGTCAGGGACACCAGCATCTTTGGGGAGCTGGGCTGAATATCCTTTCAAAAATTACAAAGTAGGATCAAAGCACATCTGCCAATTAACTAGGGGCTCAGAGAGCTGCAGCTGTCATCAAATGAAAAGGGTGGGATTCAGTGTGTTGTCATCTGAGACTCCTGCCTGCCTGCCTGCCTCCCTTCACAGCTACAGGTCGTTGCTTACGCCAATGCACTGACGCCAGCCGCCCTTATCTAAAAGGGGAACTGAGACAATGCTGCTTTATGACAATGTGGCTTGGCGTTAGTCATCCTTCACGTGGCTTTCTTGGTTGATGTCAGCGCCGCCAGTGACCAGCGTCAACCTGCAAGCTGTACACGTTCACCATGGTGATACACTAACCTGATGTCGTCGGGAAACACCAGTCCATTGGTGAAATTATCACTACCTTTGGTAAGTATGAGCTGATATGGCATTCTTGTTCATTAGTGTATCAACAGTTAGTCTCTGACTCCCACGCAAAGCAATATCAACAAGATGTCTTCCAGGAGCTTCGGACGGAAGACAAGCTGGTCATCCTGGCCCAGGGACTGGGGCTCTTGCGCATTGTGACAAATCTTTTGCATGCATATGATGCTGCAGGGAACAACTTAGTTCTCGTGATTGGTGCAAACGACCGTGAAAATGAGTGGATTGGTGAAGGTCTGTTAGTGCACTCGCATTACAGCGCTTCCAAAACAACACTGATCTGTTTCAATCCATACATACAGCCCTGGCAGAACATTATGCAGTCAGTAAGACTCCATTGGCAAGAGGTCTCAAAGTCATCAATACAGACAAAGCCACGGTTTCTATGAGGTATGTGTGGAGTGATAGGTGTCCTGCTGCCTGGTGCTAATTACACCAAAGACAGAAGCTTTATGCTCAAGGTGGTATATTGAGTGTGACCTCACGGATTTTGATTGTTGACTTGCTATCAAGTATGTCTCTTGCATGTTAGTGCAAGCTCATTGTTAATATGATTTAGAACTCCTGGACCCGGAAACCATTACAGGAATGGTCATTCTACATGCGGAAAGGTGCGGCTCTAAATAGCATCTACTTAAGTGACTTGCTAAAACATGATGTCAGGGTAGTTTCAACTTCTCTGGAAGCTTTTATTATCAGAGTGTATCGCCAGTTCAATAAAGCTGGTTTTTTAAAAGCATTTTCAGACACTCCTGAGCCTTTCACAACTGGGTTCTCACCATTGGCTAACATGCTCCGGAATTTGTTTCTTCAAAAAACTTCTCTGTGGCCTCGCTTTCAGGTTACCGTTGCTGAATCGCTTGAGGGCCGCAAAAGAGCGGAAGTTATTGAACTCGAGATTCCAATGACAGACAAGATGAGAGAGATTCAAAATGCGGTTCTAGAATGTGTTGAAGTCAGCATAAGAGAACTTAAAAAGTCTAATCCAGTTCTCGACATCGACGATTGGAATGTAGAAAGTGCCTTGCAAAAGAATTTTGATGTTGTGATCCAACGGCAGTTGGACCCAAATTGGCATCGCGTCAGCGTAAAGACCAAGCAGATCGTTAGTGATTTAACCATTTTGAAGAATATCTTGCAGTGGGACTCCCGTCTTATCTTTCTTGTGGACAAGAATCTGATTTGCTGGCTAGTCTTCTTCTCACGGATGACGCCGTGTCACTTATCAAGTATATTGACACCGTGATAGCAGCTCATTCCCCTCCGCCTGGGTATACAAAGCAGACGTATTCTCCATGGCTTTATCTTGAAGCTGCCCATGTCCTCCTTCAAACCGCCAGATCTCGAGTTTATCGTGGCAAACTTGATACCCGAGCTAAACTTTCAGATCCGTTGTCAAAGATACCCGCTTCTTTAGAACCTGTTCTTGAAGAGCAGCCAAAATGGTCAGTTCTTGTGGATGTGCTAAACGAAATTGATCGTGATTTACACCTAAATCCAAGACCGAGCGATGATTCAAATCGTACGATTCTCATCATGTGTAGTGATCGCAAGGCATGCCGGCAAGTACGTGAGTATCTTCATACGATGTATGTTAGAGTCTACGCAGCGAAAGAAGGTCAATCCAGGGTTGAGGATTCTTCAGAAGATATGGAAAGCTGTCCATCAGCCGAATTCATGATGCGAAGAAAGCTTCGTGACTACATATCATGGAAGAGGGATTTTGCCAAAGTTCGGAATAGTCTTTACGGCATAAACGCGAAACAAAGCCAGCCAACAGAAGTGCCAGGGTATACTTCTGCCACCAAAGACAGGAAGCCTGAAAGAGCACCACTAAACAAAAGACGAAGGGTAAGGGGCAGCAGCTCTGCAGCCTCAAACTCTGGCAGAGCTCCGAACTCTACCGTCCAAGAAGAAACGGATGATACAACCCAGGTATCCACCCTTCTTGATGGGGCTCTTCAGCCTACTAAGCCCGAAGAAGCTGAGAAAGAGGATACTGTCGTTGATGAGCTGCATGACATGGATGACTATTACGAGCTTCTCGACATGGAGGATTTAGTCATCATCCACGCGTATGATGGAGACATGGATGAGCATATCCTGGAAGAAGCGAGGCCGAGGTATATCGTCATGTACGAACCGGATGCAGCGTTCATTCGCAGAGTAGAAGTATATCGCAGTTCCCACACGGACAGAAATGTACGGGTATACTTCATGTATTATGGGGGCTCTGTCGAAGAGCAACGTTATTTAAGTGCTGTGAGGCGTGAGAAGGATGCTTTTACAAAACTCATCAAGGAAAAAGGGGTATGTATCCTTACTTGCCGTCCCAAAATTTAGCTAACTTTGGTGATAGTCTATGGCCATGAGCCTCACACACGATAAAAACCTTGAAGATCCCCAGGAACAATTTCTTCGCACCGTGAATACCCGTATTGCTGGTGGCGGTCGCCTGGCTGCTACTGCGGCTCCACCGACGGTTGTCGTTGATGTTAGAGAATTCAGGAGCCCGCTCGCATCACTGCTTCATGGCCATAGCATGGTCTTAGTTCCCTGCCAGTTGACCGTCGGCGACTACATCCTCAGTCCAGACATCTGCGTTGAACGAAAATCTATTCGCGACTTGATTAGCTCGTTGAAAACCGGCCGACTATACAACCAAGCTGAAACTATGCTTCAGTACTACAAAACCCCCGTACTCCTAATTGAATTCGATCAAAACAAGTCATTCACATTTGATGCTTTCACGTCATCAACTGCGCCCAGTGCTTTCGTTGCTGACAATCCCACCTCGTTCTCCGCGCCCTCTTTCTCATCTGGAAACATTATCAACCCGACTAACCCAAGATCCACTCAACATCTCCTCGTTCTCCTTACTCTTGCCTTTCCCCGCTTGAAAGTGATTTGGTCCTCCTCCCCTCATCAGACCGCGGAGATATTCACTGAGCTGAAAAAGAACGATCCGGAGCCAGATCCCATTCGAGCGGTCCAAATCGGGTTGGACTTTGATATTTCCGGCGATCCATCCGCCTCAGGACCCAAAGCGCTGATGGCTGCAGCCGGGGTCGAGTATCGAATGTTCAATCAATTACCACAAGACATGCTGGAAACGGTGCCTGGGTTAACACCTCACGGAGTGGAGAGTTTGATGCTAAGAACGAGTAATATCCACGAAATTGCTAATATGGAGGTGGAGGAGCTGAAAGAGATAGTTGGCTTACAAGAGGCCAAGATGATTGTCAAATTCTTTCGGCGAAGTGTTTTTGATGACGAGCCAGGGGAGAAGCTGTGAAGTATACCCGCAAATACCCCCAAAGAACATTGCAAACAAGTGTCGTTAAAGGCAACTCACGAGGAAAATGATATATGAAACATGCTACTTTTACGTGATCTTCGGTCCATTCGATTTCAGTGCTCACATTATCTATGCTTCATTCTAACAACCTTAGAAAAGCATAACACCACATCATGACAAGCAAACCAAAGGGAAGGAGCAAACCAGAAATAAGGCCATCAAACGAAACTCATCATAAGTAGCGTTAAAAGAATATATGAAACGGACATGAAATCGGCGGAATGGAGCAGGAGGACTTTAGATCAGTCATTCTGGGATGACGTAGTACCCGCGAAGCTTTCGGGCATGAGACACCGCAAATGCGAGTAGGGTGCGAGGCATGGCGAGGGACGAATCGAGTGGTGAGAAAGGGGGGCAATAGCCGGCTGAGCTCATATTTACATGGTAGCCATTTTTTTCGCGAAAAATTGTCCGACTCCCAGCCCTGGCGCAAGGGCTGTCTAAATTCGCCGCTTGACTTTTTTTTTGGTGATGGGAATGGGTAACACTTATTTTCTTTTTCCATCATGCAACGACAACCCGTAGTATGACAGGCAGGGGAATCGTCTGCTTTTTCGGCGACATAAGTAGCCAGATACGCGCAGGTAAGAATATGACCCCACCGGTATCGGAAATTGGAGGGTGAGATCGCTCAGATCTCGTCGATGTCGATGTCCTTCTCGTCGGCGCTCTCGCGGTCTTCATCGAATTCGACATTGTCATCAAGACCCTCATGGCCGTATCTGTAGATGAAAGTCCTCGTCAGTAAAACACAACAGTGAAGGACTATTGAAGGCGAAACATACGTATCAGTCTCGTTGATCTTCGCGCTCTCTGGCAACTCTCCATAGGCCTTCAAGCTTCTGGCCTCGTCGGCGCTGTACTTGAGGATGACATCCCCCTTCTCGTCCTGGTAATCTCGCAGGGACAGAAGGATGATATCACCCTGGTTGATCCAGACCTTCTTGCGGAGTTTGCCACGGATATGTGCCAGTCGTTTCTCGCCGTCGAAGCAAAGAGCCTCCAGGCGCCCGTTGCCCAACATCTTAACCACCTGGGCGTATTCCTGGCCTTCTTCCTTGAAGGTCAACTCTCGCTTTTCATTGTCGTTCTCGTTCTTTCCACGACGTCGGTTTTTACCACCCTGTGAACGGAAGGAGGGGGTCAGCTTCTGATATTTTCTTCTTCTTCTTCTTCTTCTTTTTTTTCCCCACGATGGAAATCGGAATGCGTCCCACAAGAAGGCGGTGGATAACTATCACGAATATCTCCTCGCCTCTAAGCATCCCTGGCCTTCATGGCTGGGAGACTCGCGATGTCGTGGTCGCATGCATCCATTGTGGCAACGCGGGGTTAAAATCAGAGGGGAAAATCCTTACCTTTCCCTTATTCTTCGGCATTTTAACAGCAACTCAGAGTGTGCTTCTTCGAGGCAACGGGTTCTCGGATGAAAGTACCTGTAAATTACAGCGATATGCTGGTCCTGTTGGAGAGAAGAAGTTTGTCTTCGTTGGTTGGTGCTGTTGTCACGGTTTAAGGCTCTTTATACTGATGAATCGTTAAAGAGTTGGTGGGGGATCTGGGCTGGATTAGCTCAGCATTTCCCTTGCCACCCTGGCGCAATTAAGGTTTTTTGTCCGGATCTAGCGCCAAACAACTGTCGCTTATGTCAGAGTGCTAAAAGTGGCAAGAAACGTCTACTCCGTACCTTGTTGCACTTTGCAGTGCCGCGGAGGACGAGGAGAGCGTTGAAGAAGTCAAGACAGCATAGACAGTGAAAGTATGATGGAGTGAAAATTTCGAGTGTTCTATTATCTGCCCTAAAAAGTATCGCTGAGGAAAACCGTGTAGTTTTGCAAGGAGATATTGATCCGGATTGTTGTGCTCCTCTCACTCGTGTTGGGTAAAAGGTCATGTAACTATGTACGGAGTACTTAGTCGATTCCACCTTGTCGTCATCCTGTCAGCCAGTGAAGCAAGGGGTTGTTCAACAGCCTGTCCATTCACTGTAGCAGTTTGGACGATCCAGCCACTTCTGACTGTATCATCAATTCCACTCAGGGCTCAAATGCGAATTAATCCCTGCTTCACACAGAGTCGACTTCTTGGTGCTGCGTACCCAAGCCTGGCACTCCATCCGATGGGTCGGCGTTCTTGGCATCTGCAACATTTGATATGATCCAACTTCGTGCGTTACGTCGTTTCGCAGCGCAGCTCAAGCACAAGACCACTAACACCCAAACATCACCGCATCCTACCTTCTCTCAACGCCATATTTTGACTCTTTTCGTGGTTGGTCGATTACCCGCTCCCTCTATTCCCAATCTCACCCTTTATTGCCGCTTGTGGCTCATATCTGGCTCGGCTTCACCAAGCTGCCGTCCGACTACTTGGCTGCCTGTTTGCTCGATGGCCCCAGTGATGCTCAAAGCTACAGTTTAATCGTCAAATCTCCCTTTTTTCGACCGCCACCGGTTCTGATCCTCTTCTTGACCCATAATTCCCGACGATGCCCTCGATCCTATCCGATGCGGACAAGGAAACCGTGAGACGCACAGTTCCGAAGCCCTCAAATAAGATCCTTACTGCCGCCGTTGCACGATTATATGTGGCGTATCCGGACCGGCATAAATGGACATATACTGGATTGCAAGGTGCGGCGGTCATCGCGAACGACCTGGTAGGACACACATTCTGGATCAAGTTGGTTGATATTTCGGTAAGCCCCTTATCTTACCCACATCTCTACTTTTCTTTTTGGAGCTGACAAGGTACACTTACGCTATAGCCCTCCGGCAGAGGTGTCTTGTGGGACCAAGAGCTTTACGATGGGTTTTCATACAACCAAGACAGAACTTTTTTCCATACATTCGAATTAGAAGAATGCCTTGCAGGGCTGTCCTTCGCCGACGAGAAGGAGGCGAAGACATTCCTCAAGAAAGTTTCAGAACGGGAAAAGCATGCCAGCAAAGAGACAAAAGCAACTCCATTCGCTTCAGCGCGGGGTCAGGGCCCTGCTCCTGTAGCAAACGGGAAAACCCATCACCGTTTCGGACTCGGAAGCCTTCTGGGACATCGATCATCATCCGCTCCCACACCACCACCACCAGCAGCAGCAGCAGCAGCAGAATCCATCATACCACCCAAACCGGCGCCGTCGGAGCTTCTCCCTGCTCCTGTGCGTCATGCAGGTCCCGACGGAAAGGCTTCCCCCATGGATACCGTTGATCCATCTTGGAAGGGGTTGCTAGATGAGCTTCTAGCGATGGGAATAACGGAGGAACAAATTGCGAATAACGCCGACTTTATCAAATCATACATAGAATCAAAACAAAATGACGACCAGCAGCAGTCCGCGGAGAACCCTTCCCAAGAGCTTGCCCGAAAACCAAAGGCGGCACCCCCAGCTCCACCAACAGTCCCTCCCTCCAAAGCTTCGTTAACTCCACAAAACACCGGCGGCACAAACAGTCGCGGCGCGCCGCCGCCACCTCCACCGCCCCGAAAACCTCATGCAGATACTACTCCTCCTTCCCCGCCTCGCGAGTCCCCGCCGGCATCTCCAAAGAGAGACCCATCCCCTCTGCGGCCAAGATTCCGAGCTCCCCCGCCGATCGTAGATGCTGGTAAGTATGCTTATACAAGTGCGCCGGCTGCAAGGAACCGGGCCGCTTCCGGTTCGCACACTGCAGGAGCTGCACCTATGCCTCCACCAAGACCTCCCAAGACACCTGAAGATGGCCCATCTCGACTGCAACCACCGGCACCACCATTCCGTGGTGAAATTAAATCTCCAACTCCTCCGGCCCCTTCAAGCAGGGGTCCGGTACCTCTTCCTCCTCGCCATGATGTTAGCCCGCTGCAACCACCGCCCTTGCCACCAAAAACTCCCCATGCGACCAGCCCATCACTCGTCCCTCCTCCTCCACCCCCACGGGCAGCTGCCACACCGCCTCCGCCCCCGCCTCCCCGACAGGCACAACCGCCATCTTCGACCGCCACTACACCACAACCCCCTCCACCTCCACCTCCACCTCCGTCTAGTTCAGGACCGCCCGCTCCTGGACCACCGGCCCCTCCGCCTCCTCCTCCACCTCCAAGTGCGGCTCCGGCCCCACCCCCTCCTCCGCCACCCCCTATGCCGTCAAGCTCCGGCCCACCTCCTCCACCTCCACTTCCAAGTAGTGGTGGTGCCGCTCCTCCAGCTCCTCCGGCTCATCCACCACGCCCAGGTAGTGCGGCTATGCCCAAGCCCGTTCCCGGCAAAGATGACCTAATGGCTTCTATTCGCGCTGCTGGTGGGGGAGGTCTACGGAGGGTTAAAGATTCAGAAAAACGCGACAGAAGTGCAGTCGTACTACCAGGCGCATCAACCGAAACCCCAGCCGCTTCATCAGCTGCTCCTCCGGCAGGTGGGATGATGGGAGCTCTTCAAGAAGCTCTGGCTAAGCGGAAACAGAAAGTCAGTGGAAGCGGTGAGTATCAACATTCTTTTACGTTTCGGACCGCGCTTTGCACCTATTGATTTTCCTGATCTAAAGCTGATGGTTTCATAGACGATGAGAAGTCTGATGATGACTGGTGATGGAATCCCATACGAACCGTCAGCTCCATGCCTCCCAAGCAGCTCCTCGACTACCCTGATTTAAGAAGCCGCAGAATATATGGTTGCTACCAGAATAGCATTGAAGGCTGTGAGCATGTAGAGTAAGAAAAGAAGTTAAACTGTTAGTGCGGAATGATCTGTTCAGCTATGTACTGCCCCAAATTGAGCTTCACATGTTCCATAGGGTAGTCGATAGTGGTATTATCATGGGGCTTATTTTCTCTTATAAATATGGGTTGATTTGCCAACATTTCCCCAGTTTTAAGCCATGCTATGTATATATGAAGTTTGTAATGTAAGCTTGTCTGACAATGTCAAAAGTTGCGGACATTCACCCAGGCGTGCTATTCGACATGGCCCGAGTGCGCGATTTGCCATGTCCAACCGCTTGAGGCTTCTAGGAGAAATGTTAATGATACGAACGGCTACCTACTCCGTAGAAAGTATTTTTGAAGAAATTCTTATCCATGCTAAATCTTTATTTCTCGCGAGTCATAATCAACATATTTGTTTGATATGTATGAATCCCCCTGGATTGTGGAGATTCAGGAGAAACTGGAAGGGGGCTACGCGGGACCGACGAATTTCCGCCCGAGTCCCGACCATATCGGAATTTTGTAGGCCCGAAAAACCGTGGAACCCCAATGAACCCACCATAAACAGCACCTGAAAGGTTCCTGCAGCAGGAATGACATGTTTACTGTTCCCAAATAGGAAACAGTTCTCATTTTTAAAGATTCTCCTGCCTGAGAAACATTCCCAATTGCTGTAGAATGATTTTGGAATGACAGGAACATTCTCAGAGTTGCTGAGAACATCAGTAGGAATCTAGTTGGAATACTGTCAGGAATTAACTACTATAATCCTAGTTCCAGACACCATTCATTTCTAGTCCTTGATCAAATATGTACAAAGCAGGCAAATCTCAGAGAAATGAAACATCCCAGATGTATAGTAGAAAGGTTCTGGAATCATGATTACTGAAAATCAGATTACCACTGGCATTCAATGCCTCACTAATCAGTATGATGTAAAGACTTGGCTTTTTAATTACAGGAAGTCTAATAATGGTGTAGTTGCTGCCCTCTAGATCTACCTGCACAATTGGTAGATCTAAAACCTGATCTCTTATCATTTCCAATACCAGAATCACTAAAAAGAATACTCTTTCATTTGTATGCAATTTATGAATGAAAATGCTGATAATTTGCCCAATGGTGGGGCTGGTTCCATGCATATACTTAATCAAATCATTAACCATTAGTTTGATTTGCTGGTCTCCAAGTGAGAAAGTAATATTCTTATAGAACTATATTACAGTTGAGTCTGGTTCCACTACAGACAGCTTATTCCAATCTTTCTTATATGCATTTTAGAGTTTCTGCAAAAATAAATAGAGATTCAGTAATACAGATAGCCATGCATTCAGAATATCTAGTACTGGTATCATTTTTCCTGCAGATTGTTGTGTTCAGAGATTCAGAGAATACTCACCAGCAATATCTTTATCTTCAGCATTCAGTATCTCAAATTCATCTTCATGCAGATTAGTATTCAGTTGGAGTAAGTCTGCAAAAAGAGTTGGGCAGTACTTATAGAGATTAGAGATGTACTGAATCAAGAATGACTCACTATCAGCAAATGCTTCTTCAAGTAGTAGAAGTAATATATGTCTGAAGCTCTCTTGCATTAACAGAATCTTTTTAACATCTTACTTGTTTATTCTCTGAACTAGCTTCTTGTATTTCTGATGCTTGTTCTCTCCAATAAGAATATTGTAATTATTTGGAATTGCATATTTATTTGCTTGTGCTGGATAATGTATATCAACATGCATATTTGAGCAGTTTTTAAAGCTCTGAATTATCTTTGTCTTCTTTTTTAAATTGAAATTTTCTGCAATTGAAACATCTGTCTCTTTAACATATGAATCAAGTGCTGGAAGCTCAATTGGAACAGGAAATGATCTTGTACTGGTTATGAAAGCTGCTCTAGACTCTGTTCAAGTGCCTGCTGAATGAGTAGTCTTAACAGCTGATGCAGCAGCATTAATTAAACTTTGTAGATTCTGTCAGACTGTTGTGATAATCTCTTACAATTCTGTAAAGGCAAATTGAGCTGGTGATTAGAATATTAGAACAGAATTGCTGCATGCAATTCCAGTATAAATTCAAATAATTAAATTCTTTATTAATCTTTCAGAGTAATCTTTAAATGTTACAGGCATCATTTATTATACTGCTGGATTTATCTATTTCTGGGTCATGTAGTATCAGAGAAGAAGCAGAATTATAATAGATGCTTGTGTGTACTTCTGTAATTGATAGAATTTCAAATGAGTAAGCAGAGATTGAAGATAGGCTCATCTCTAACAGAATGAAAATCTCTAAAGCAATTTACAGTATTCTTTTTGATTATGGAGTGTAAGAATTACTGAAACCAATAAATAGTGTGCCAGTTTTGATATTTCTGAAAATTCACTGTAACATGGGTCAGAAAAAAAGAAGGTCATCAGATTAAGAGATAAGTATTGTAGTGGGGATTCCAGTACCATATTAGAACAAAGGTTGTTCCAGTCTGAGGCACAAAACCCCCCCAGCTACTATCTCTGAGCTATATAAACCATCTATAACCCCTGCATCTCACTCAATACCTTCACACACCTTTGTACTTTTCCACACACTCATTCTTTATTGCTAGTTTGGTTATTAGTTAGAGAATATGAAGATCTCTTGTTCATAAAGCTTGCCACTGTTTCTCATTAAAGCTGCCTGTATTAGTACAGGCTCTTTAGTACTATTATTTCTTATAAGCTTAGGCATCCATTAAGGCATGCTTCTCTGTTCTTACTACTCAGCCATTACCATTCTTACTATATTGTGATTTTTCATTCTTCTTGCACTCTCACCATCTCAACCAACTCATCTACTTTAACAAGGCATCCCATCATATTCTGCTTCATTTGGTGACCAAGCTGAGACCTGAAGATGATGATGCAGTGATTTGATGGCTGCCAAGGAAGAAAAACAAATTCTGAGACACATGAAGCAATACACTATTTCAAGATAAGATCTTATGAACTAGGAATACAGTACTAATCAGGTTTTTGTTTAGAAACAAGATTAGGGAGCTTAGATTTGAATGGCTCTTATCTAAAGCTTGCCTGAAAAATAGGTTTTTTTGGAAAGATATTAAATCATTGAGAAACAACAGAATATACTGTGTGACATGACCAAAGATCAAGAAATCAAGAAATCAGAATCAGAATCAACTATAATTGAAGATACTACAGAATCATACACAACTATGTCACAAGATGAGAACAGAAGAATTGTAGTTCACTCTCACATTTCTATACCTTCTTCTGGCATAGCAAATGCACCTTGGTTTGATGGCAGAGATGCTATCTTGTTTATTGAAAGGTTTTATCAAATGTGCAAGAATCATGAGGTAATTAATCCTAAGAACATTATCAAACAGTTGGCTAGGTACTGTGTTACATGGATTGAAGAATGGATGAAGACCTTAAAAGACTACAAGAAAGATAATTGGGAAGTATTCTCTAAAGAGATTATTCATGAATTTCATGATCAGAACATTACTTACAAGATTCACCATCAGAATTATCTTTAAGCAATTACAAAGAAACCACATGCTTGGAATAGCAACATTTACATCTATGTTTGAGAATACACTACTATCACCAGTACAGTACAAGCCAATGGAAGACTTGATGAATTCACTAAGATGTCTTGATTTCTTCAGAGACTGCTCAAGAAGCTCCAGAATAAGATTATTGACAAGGCAAAGCTTAATCTTTCAGACAATATATCATCTATTGATTTTAGGAAGGTTGTTCAAGCAATCATGGATTTGATTAACCAGTATGAAGAGAATAAGAAGATCTTTAAAGAAGATGAAATGAAGCTGAAGAAAATGAAGAAGCTTGATAAGCAATATCAATTAGCTAACAAACTCTCTACAGTTGAGGCTCCAAAAAAAACAGCTAGTTCTGTAAAGACTGAAGAATCTGAATTGAAATTCAAAGCCAAGAACTCTGAGAGCACCAATATTAAAGCTGCAATTGAAAAGATGACCAACAAGTTTACAAATTTGACATTGGCCATGAGAGTACAGTCAAATCAGATACAAGAGAATTCCAATCAGTACTATATACTGCAGAGAGAAGAGCCTTCAAAATCCATACCAAATTATACAACAAATATGACTACTAATTCTGCAACAGTACAAGAGAACACCCAACCACAATTAGTTAATTCTTATGTGGCTCAAAACAGTTCACCAATGACAAGCTATCATTCTAGTGACTGAGGAGAAGCTCAAACTGGAGAAATTTTAATATATCTCTCATGCTTTTACTGTGGAAAATCTGAACATCATCAATCTCAGTATTACAAATATCAATCCAATGCAAATAACAGATTCTGTCATATTAATAATGAAGGGAACTTGTGCATGAATTTCTCTGGTCAAAACTATCAAGTTGTCACTTCTAAATCTGGAATATCAAACATGTATATTGTACAGTCTATAGAAGAGAATGAATGGGCAATTCCAGAGTTAACAAGCTCTAAAAAGAAGATCAATCAGCAAGAAGAGATATCTCCAGCAAATTTAACCAGTGTGAAAATCTAAGCAGGACAACTTGCATACCTAATGTCTGATAGAGAATCTGATTCAGATAAGAAATATGAACCACTAGAAGAAAGAACATCAGTTAATGTTGAAACTGTTGGAGAAGCTAAGAACAGTCAAAAAGCTAAGATTACAATACTCTATACTCAGCATACTGGACAATTTATTATCTATCAGGATAATCAAGCTAGTGTCAATAACAATATCATGGAAGACATTGAACCAATCAATCAGAAGAAGCCTGAAATTCAGAACAAGATCATAAAGAAATAAAGATCAAGATATTCTGCAACAGATCATTTATTCTCTCAGATCTGTAATTCAACAGATGCCAATGAATTAATGGATCAAATTCTCAATAGAAAGGTCAAAGTGT